TATATATGTGATAAAAGTCATAAGGGGTAGAGTTGAAGTGGATAGATTACAAAATTATTAAAGATTGTCTATAACAAAGATGTCGAGTGTTGTTTTCATGGCAAGCTTAGAGAATGGCCCACTAAAGGAAACCATCGATAGTCTGTTTATGTATAAAAGATATGTTGATGATACCTTCATCGTATGTGATGAAAACACTTCAACTGCCGAACTTCTTAGAATATTTAATGCTTCTCACCCATCTTTGCTTTTCACGATCGAAGAAGATTCGGGTTCTTCGTTTCACTTCCTTGATGTTAAGCTAGATAGAAGAGAGAATGGAACGCTGTTAAGGTCGATTTACCGAAAGCCAACATTCACTGGGCAGTACACTAACTTCAACAGTTGGGTACCATTAGGGAGAAAGAGAAATCTCATTCATTCCTTATGCTCCAGAATTCGTAAAATCTGCTCTGCAGAGACAATCGTTAGGGAACTAGATAACCTTCGATCAAATCTCCTCAACAATGGGTATCCCACAAGGTTCATTGAACGTAACATCAAGAAAGAATCCTCCCCGAGACAAGTCACAGTACCAAAGAAAAAACTGTTTATGAGTCTGGCATTCAAAGGTGACACCATTTCAGAATTGTTTAAAAATCGTTTATCTAAATGTGTTAAACGCACTTTTCCTGCAGCTGACCTGCAACTAGTTTTTACCAGCCGAAATATAATCAGACAATGCGTCAAGGATAGATAACCGCTTTTGTCCACATCTATGTGCATTTACTCTTTTACCTGCTCTTGTGGAGCTGTTTATATTGGACGTTGTAAGCGTAATCTCCGAAAACGTGTAGCTGAACACTATCCGGTTTGGTTAATGAAAGGCGAACGTAGAACTGCAAAGTCGTCTATTTGTGATCACCTGTTAGAGTCTGGTCATTTAGCCCCACGTGAATCGTCTTTCAAAACTATATACATGGCAAAATCGAATCGATCCAAAAGTTTACGTTTTCTTCACTTATGCATAGCCGAAGCTTTAGCTTTACATGAACAGAAACCTAAATTATGTGTTCAAAAGAGTTTTGTCAAACCCCTTCCTTTACCTTGGTCATAATAATGTTCTTTCTAGTTTTTATTTTATTTTACCACTTGAATTCTTTCCACTTCACTTCACATCTTCATTCTTATCGTAATCGTACTCTTAATTTTCAAAATTTTTAGACAACACTTGACATTTTTGTTATAAAACAATCTTTAATATTTTTGTAATTTATCCACTTCAACTCTACCCCTTATAACTTTTATCACATATATACGTACATTGACTGAGCAATTATTTAGTGCCACTTAATAACCTTTTTCTGTAATATGAATACGACTGTACAGCTTGAAAATGAAGTCGTTGAAAAGAAATTTCTTCGCTGAACAAAAACTGTGTTTTTACTTATGAATAAATGGGTATTTTTCGAGATTTTTGGATTTATTTATTTATATTTAAATGTTTTGAGTATGCATTGATAATTCTTGTTATTTACTATATTTTTGAGTGTAAATTTCAGTCGTCTAATCTCGTGTAACATAGAAGTTAGTTTATTGATAATTCTGAGTTTACTAATGTACACTCTTCCTGCTTTCACCTTTCTTCTTGCATCCAGAAAGCATATACGAAGATATTTAGAAATTGTCCCATATTTTAAGAATCAGATGTTAAAAATATAATGATTTGTAAATCTTGCTTTTACCTGTGATGGTCGTGTGAGTGTATTGATCCGTATTCCAATAGGCAGACCATAAGCATCATTAATGTAAGAGTACAATAATATTAATACAGTATAATTTTATGTTATATAAAACAAACTTATCTAGTATGGAACGAAATTGTGCGTCCAAAAGTGACATGGAGAAGACTATGTTCAGAGGAGGTGAAAGTTTATGGACAGTTGTAGAGCCCACTTTAGAAAATAGGATAAAATGGAGATGTGCTGTTGAAGTTGTTGACGAGATGGATTGAACACACGCCTAGGAGACCGCAGAGTAATATCACTCACCTCGAGTGGAATCGTAATGGGAAGCGAGTAACAAGTTTGGTTTGGTTCGAGTGTGGGAAGGAGGAGACTGTATGTGAAGGAGGTAAAAGTTTGTACATAGTCTTGCAACCAACCGAAAGTAATCCCATAGAACAAGGTGAAATTGAAATATGTGGATAAAGTCTCATTATGCAGTCGGAATACAAGGGACAGAAACTTAGCTTGACATCTTTTGCTACGAGTTCATCAGCTATCTATGATCTTTGAAATATTCTTGGTTAATTATTTGTTTACATATTCTGTTCCATAAACGACAATTCACTACTAGTCTGACAAAAAGATTATTCATGTAAAATGTGTGTTGATGAATAGCTGTTCTACATTCTGATGTCAATTTAGTATGTACTTCTATGAGTAACTGAGTTTTCCGTGAGCAGTAACCAATCAGCTGCACTAATTACTAACCAGTAGAATCCACAGGTAAATGAATTTCAATTCATAATAATGTTGAATGCATGGACTTGATTGGTTTCAGGACTTTATCATGAACTGACAGCGGTTAGAAGACCATTGGAAAACCTGGGAGTACTGGATAACTGTTTCGTTCTAGTTTGGGACTCTTCATCAGTACGCACACACTGAGGTTCAAAACCCAGAACGTTCTGGTTATAAGGAGAGCTCTGATGCTCACTAGTGACTGGCCCTATTCATTTAGGTAGTTACCTGGGTTCTAGTGGAAAGTCGTGACTAGTAGGCTACGGTAGGTCAGTCGTGAGGACAAATACTCGCCGATGACATTCGCAAGTGGTCGCGCCATATCGTGAAATGGTAGAAGTTGGAATTTTCATGGACTGGCAATTGGGTCTGGTCCCGGTGGCTTACTGGTCTACGAGCCAGCTCGTCTTGTAACCGGAAGGTCCTGAATTCAAACCATGGTGGTGGTTGCGTAATGCTGAAAAGTCCTGAACTAGGATGAAACTGCTGTCCTCTAACCGATGTCAATTCATGATGAAATCCTGATGTTGTGTGACTGTTCTTTTTGTGTTTAACTTATACTACTTATTATTAGTAAGTAGCATAATTTTATATTTAAACGTAACAGCTGTTGAATATGACTGAAACTCATCTCACTTATTGTTAAACCATTCGATTTGGTATGGTGTAATTATCATCTTAGGGTTAAAGTGTATTCGTTGGACATTCGGATACCTGTTTTTTTGCTGATCTGTGCATTGCCCCAGTATTTTTATTTCCATGCGGATCACTGCTGACACAATTTCTCTGGGTTTTTTTTCTTATTAATCCGAAGTGTTAGTGCATTTGATGGCATCCACAGCCTCAGATACCTCACAACTTTCGAGGTGTTTCTCTTCATTCTATTTATCATATGACTGTGTGTGATAAAGCACCACTGTATTTTAGACAAGTGTTGTGTTTTGGATTTTTAAGCATAACATTTAGTTCAATTTAATTGAACTTTAGATTTTCTCGTCGATTGATTGGACCGAAGTGCTCGGTCTTAGGTAGATGTGCCGGCTTCTTGTGAAGATGCTTCGACGATGTATGGGCATTTAATTAGAATTTAATTGGTGGATGGTGACTAGTAGTGGAATCCAGGATGGGAATTTCGTCCTATGTGGGACTTTTTCGAACGCTTTGGTGTTTGAAACTATGGGCACTGGGTTCGAGCCTCAGTCGGAACACTCACAGGGGAACGCAGGTACATCCAGATGGCGAGTCCCAAATGGGATGAAATCCACGTCCTGGATTCCAGTGCTAGTCACCATCCACCAATTAAGTTTAGTTCAATTAAATGAAAATTCGACTGCAAATTTTTGTCTGGGATTTCTTAGAAGAAGTCTATAGCAGTTAGTTGTAACAGAGTGAAGTATCTGCTTTAGCCTTTGTGTATTAGGATTCAAATCACTATTATTGCTATTATTAGCAGTAGTATAATTATGTCTTTAGATTCTGTATGGAACATAGTACTTCAACATAACATTTCCATTTCAAATAAAGTTTAATTATATTTTAATAGTTTACACACAATGATAAGTTTTGTTATTGGTAATATTTCGAGCAAAATTACTGCCCGTGTTCACATCACTGTTGGAATTGTTTTATTTCCATTTTATCCTATTTTTCTGTAGTCGTACTAAGCTGGTTCTCCGATTATCTATAAACTCTTATCTTCTCCTCGTAAGATCTGCTTCAACTCATCTTTGGAAGCCTAATTCATTGTTTCCTTTTGGAGTTCAAGCTCCAGGGCCTGGCACACGATACCACCCGACGGTTGGGTTTGAAGCTAGCGACCCTAACCCAGAAAATCAATCCAACCGCCGTAGAAACTTCAACGTACGGAAAAGAATATAAAAAGATACAAATCACTAGACACAAAATGTCAATGTATTTAAAGCATATATAAATTGTCATATATGTATATATTTATATATATTACAGGTAATTGAAAATACGTATATATATATATATATATATATATATATATATATATATATATATATATATATATATATATTCAATGAAATATGGTCAGAAGCAACACATTTTGAAATTGCACTAGAATAAATTAAATGAGGGTGATGATTACGAAAGTTGACATCTATGTTAGAATTATGCAAATAAACATTCAAGGTATGTTATTATGTATGAGAAAAAATTGTCTGTTTGTTTTCAAATGAGATAATCAAACTTCTTACAAATAAAAACATTGAGTGAATAAATGATTCGATTATTAGCTAATCGATCAAAATAGATCAATAATTAAATCAATAAAATAGATATATGACAGAAGCAGCATTTCTTTTTTGAATTCATGATTCATAATTCATTAAATAGATCCTAAAAAATATGCCGTATTCTTTTCTTTTACAAATTATTTGACAAGAAGAAAGAGGATTGTGGAACCATACGGAAAGAAATTCACAGAAATTCATCCCATTGAACTGTATGGATATCATCAATACAAGATATTTATTCATCTGAAATAGGAGGAAACAGTTTTATTCGAAAAGTTGCGAACTATTAGAAGTTAGAATTCACAGGCCAGGCCAGGCATTAGGTTCTATTCCAGTAGCCAAATGGTCAACGAGCTAATTCCGTCATCTGAAGGTCCTATGTTGAATCTCTGATGAGGTCATAGGTGCATACTCCTGAAAAGTCTCAAACTAGGACGAAACACATATCCAGTAATCTAACTGATGTCAGTCGGTGATCAAACTTGGGAAAAGACATATCTGAGTTATTTGGACTCGTGATTGACCGCCTGTAAGACTGTATTGCATATTTTTGGTTGAACACTAGTCAGTAACTAATGTGATTTATCCAGTCCTATCTTTGGTACAAACTGATTTCCATCAGTCAAGTGTGCAATGTGGCCATCATGCTAAGTGGCTCACCATCACGGTGTACTGTAAACTGTTGGTGTATCCAATCCAGTACTACAGGAGGTCATTCACGGGCCCGAATAGCTCAGTGACAACGTCTCCGCCTACAGCACTGAGTGATACGGATTAGAATTTCAGGAGTGCTACAAGTTCCTTCAGTGTTTTAGATACACCTTGCTTCTCTGTCTCTTTCTCCTAACAACTTTGGATAGTATGTCTTAAAGCTGACCAGTAAATAGTATCTGAGAGATATTTTAATTAAAAGCTTCCATTTCGTGACATTTATCAATCAAACAATACTTAGTGAATATCAACAAACTCACCATCCATATAAACACCATCAGCAAGTACTAATTGTAGAATACGATCATAATAGAGTTTTGTTTTTTCTTCGCCTAAAACATTTGTAATAATCTGTTCACTTTCTGTGATAGTTTCATCTTCATCTTCTTGTAATGCCTAATGAAAAGCATTAATAGAAGAAAACAAAAGTGTTATAATGTATATAATATAAAGAATAGATATTGGACAATGAAGTGGAATGTAATTATACATTTATTATCTATTTATGTAGCACATAATACACTGAAACAAAGTTTATGCTTCGAATGCTCAATCACTTATGACCCTCAATTTTAATCCTTATCTTGTAGTAGAATTGAGGGTGTGACTGACTTAGTTACAATATGAAACTGTGTACGAAGTTGGAGTAGTTCAAGCTACCACACTTCATATACCACACAACGGTACGAATTTAAAGAAACTGTTATTAATTGAAATAAGAAGGAGAAAGAATAGTAACATGGAAAAACATGAGAGTTTGACGAATCTGTAGGATTACAGAGAGTTAATGTATAGTAGGGCAAGCAATACTGAAGTTGGGCTTCGGTCGAGTAAGGAAGGGAAATCAATCGACGAGGCTGTGAAGCTACATCGATTGAGATGGTTAGGACATGTGTTACGCATGCGTAGTCATCGCCTCTCTCGACTGAGGGGCAATGTTAGCTGAAATAGGGTCAGGCTGGAAAAGAGCTAACAGCGGTCAAACCAAAACATGGTCCCATCTGTCAATGAAATCCACAACAGTTAGTTTAAGCCATGTAGGAAGGTATAGACTGGCTTCCTGGTTGGGGTCCTCGGAACGGTAAAAACCAATGGCTGGAGACAACCGGTGATATGGCCTAAAAATCCTCGTTCTCAATGGCTGGCGCAGATGCATCCACTCTTTGTGACTTATAATTCTCAATGAAACTATATTGATCTTCGATATTACTATTTCTTTTGTCTCATATCTCTGTCTACTGTCTCTATTTTGAATGTCTTCTAATTTCTTCTCTTGCTTTGTGTACTACATGGAATGTGGCGACTTTAACTACTGTACATCGACGCAGAGTTCTATGTTAAAAACAGACAAACACAGAGTGAATGCATCCGCCCGCATTGAGAATGATCTTGAGTCATATTACCAACAATCTCAAGCCACTAATTCTTAGCATTCAGACGTCCCCAGTCAGGTAGTTTATACCTCCCTACATAAATGACACAAACCAACAGCCGAAGACTTGACGGATTGACATCATATTTTGATTTGACGACCCCTAATTCTTTTTCAACCCAAGTCTATGTCAGCTAACATTGTTCATTGATGAATGTGGTAGCTCAGCATGCATATAACATGTGTCCTAACCATCACAAGCGATGTAGCTTCAGAGATGTTGCACATATTCTTGGTTTATTTGAAAGAAGACAGTCCTTCAGTTATGAATCTCTATTTCTACTCTATTTAGTAAGTTTTGAAGGTTGTTACATTGTTCCTTCATCATGTATGATCTAGTGTGACTGTCTGCAAGTCTAGAGTTGAACATTTTATTTCTAGATTTTTTATCTTGTTAGTACAAAGATAAGAGTTAAAAGAATGTTCACAAATTTACTAACTTGTATAGTGTAGTTAATATTAACTAAAGAGGACAAGTTGGTTGAAACTTTTAGTTGTTGAGGCGAAATCGAATTTTGTGTTATACAAGCGACGTGTGCATTAGTATGGGAAAATAAGCATTTTCGATATTCTGGTAGGTGGTGTGTAACATCACACCCGTGTAGTTAGTACACTGTACTCATTTATTCTTTCGTTCGTTAATTCGGATCAAGTTATCCAAGTACCTCAAGAAAAATAACATGTACGAATACAACATATATCTTCACTTTCAGTGAGATTGTTTGATAAATCCATGAGGATGTGAGTAAAAATTATAAACATAACAATGTAACGCGAGTTGTGAGAGTAAAACAATGGAGAGTGAAGTGTGGACAAGGGGTGGTTCGATGACCTTAGTCAATACTGACGGCGAGACTTGATGCATTTTTAAGTTAGTACTTAACACTTGTGCATCAGACGTAAATTTGTGAATACATAAGGAGGTCGAGTTTATTCAAAGTTACCTCATCGATACTTTACAGAGGGAGATTTATCCAATTTATGGTATATGTACTTATAAAGTGAAGCTGTGACTACTGGGTTTTTTTTGGTGCCAGTTTGATGGTAAGTTACATACTCCTTGTTTGTCAGAATTAAATTTGACTCTGGTGAGCCAATGCAAAGTCAATGTGTCTCTGTTTTCAAAAGTTAGGTCGGCATCACAAAGGCCTCGTGGTGTAACGGTTAGCACTCTGGACTCTGAATCCAGCGACCCGAATTCGAGTCTCGGCGAGGCCTTTGGTTTGCATCGTCCAGCTCAGACACGGAACTCCACTTAATTCAGCACGACACGTGTTAATATACACGGCAGTCCTAACCATACAGATACGTTAAGCATCCAAGCAGCTAGTTGTCAGAACTGCGTCCCATGTGCAATAATTCGTTGTGGTTACGCTTCGCCGCTTTTTCCCACAGGAACTTTAGTTACTGTGCATAATTCCCAACCAGACAACCTATGAACTAAATTTGATGACTGTGAAATATCCTTATTTCCGATCATCGTTATCAAGAAATGGTCATCTTAATGTAAGTGTAGAAATTGGATACTGTTGTAGAACTCCATATTAAATAAGTTTATTTTAAGTATCATACAGTGATGCTGTGTTAACAACTGGATGATGTTTAGAGCATAAATTACTGCTCATAATCATATCAATTTAGTCATATGTCACCTCTATCTCCACCTAACTCAGTTAATCACTGAAGCTTTTCCAGTCGGTGAATTTTTTTTGGGACCTGGGATATGTGGGTAAAAGCGTGGGCAGTTTTCCGTTCAAATTTGGGCAAAGTGGGAAAAGGTGGACTGATTTCGGTTGTAACATGGATAAAGTGGGAATAGGTTGGTAAAGTGTTCGTTGAAAAGGTGGGCAAACGGGGAAAAAGTGGCCAATATGGGTAAAGTGGGCAAATTACATAGCATTTACACCATTTTTTGCCCACCTATTTGCCCATCAAAACTACCCATTTAGCCCACGTTTCGCCCACATTGCCCCAGTGGATTCTCAGACTGGGGTATGACTAAATTGATATGATTAAGAGTAATAATTTATGCTCAAAACATCATCCAGTTGTTAATACTGCATCATCACTGTGTGTTTGGCGGCCTGTTTGACATCTGGGCTACCTTTTTCGTGCATCTACATATTGCATCTAATAAGTCATGTTTTCATTCCTAATTTTAATAAAATATGATCACAAATCGCATAAAATACAGTAATTCATTCATTAAACGTTTTAAACCATATGACTTTCATGCAACTAATAATGCATCTAATAAATCTAAGAGAAAACATCATGCTGGCTGGCAGCGTGCACTTAAACAGACACCTTTATATCGTACAACCATTCCTGTTATTGTCACTTCAAACTGCCGTTCACTTCCCAACAAAATTATGCATCTCCAGTCTCTCTTATCATCTGATACTTATCACAATACGGCGATTGTTGCATTACAAGAAACATGGCTCCATGAACTCTATGATGACAATCTGGTTTCCCTAAATGGTTTTACATTGTTTAGGCAAGATCGACTATGCTCCAGAAAGAAAAGAGGTGGAGGTGTTGCAACTTTCATTCATTCTCAATGGTCAACTTCAAATAATGTATGTTTTTCTTACTCTAATGACTTTATTGATTGTATAACGGTCAAATGCCGCCCGAAACATTTATCCAAATTCAAATACGTCTTCATCTCTAATATTTATGTTACTCCTGGCTGTTCTGCATCTGATCTATCTGATTTTGCTGATGAATTCACTGAATTTGCCGTTACACATCTTGAAAACTCTTTATCAGTTGTCACAGGAGATTTTAACTGCTGTGATTGTTCTTTCCTCGTATCATTAGGTCATGCCAATATTGTTAAATTCCCTACTCGACTTGATAAAACCCTTGACCTGGTGTTCATTAATGATGAGGAAATATATGAAGTACGCCGACGTGCTCCTATCATGAACTCAGATCATTGTATTATTCGGATATTACCTAAGATATACAGCAGATCTCACTTTAATATCTTCTCAAATCTGTCCAAGAAAACACAGCAAAGGTGTTACTCACAAGAAAATATGCTCAAACTAAGATGTATGCTAAATGACACTAACTGGGAACTTTTCAACGAACACAAACTGGATGATACTATTTCCAATTTGACTGACTATCTTAAATTCTGTCTTGATATATGCTGTCCAAAACAGATAATTTTCAAAAGAATGGATCGTTTTTCTTCCCCTCATCTCAAAAAACTTCGTAGAGAAAAAGAGAAGCTGTACAAGACAAAGAATAAATCTGGTCTTAAGAAGATAAACACCCAAATTAAATCTGAAATCAAGAGACTAAACAACATTTATAATCAAACAATACTATCTTGTAAAACCTCAGAAAACATATGGAAGCTCTTTAGAGAAATTACTGGTTGTGGTAAGCATAATAATTTTGCCTCTTCTATTGATGTAAATACTCTCAATAGATCTTTCATCCGCCCTCCAAATGTCCTTTCTGCCTTCAATTTAACTAATAACACGACCAGTGACTTTCATCGTTTCAATACTTCTGATGTTCTTAAATGTTTGAAATCTCTTAAACCTTCCCAGAGTCTAGGCCCTGATGGTATACCTGCCATTGTTTTAAAGAAATGTGCTGATATTTTAAGTAACCCACTTACAAGCATTCTCAATACTTCTTTTTCTAATAATAATGTACCTTCTCTGTGGAAAGATATTAAAATCATCCCTGTACCCAAGTCTGGTTCTGGAGATAGTGTTAAGTTTAGACCAATTGCCATTACCTCTCCTTTCTTGAAACTGATGGAGAAATTACTCTTACAAAAACTCATTCCCTCCCTAAGCTTCTCAAATGATCCAAAGCAGTTTGCTTACAAACAGGGTAGAAGTACTTTGGATGCTGCTGCTGTGTTTCATCACAACATTGTATCCTCCTTAGACAAAGGGGCCAAGTATGTCCGTTGTACTTTCCTTGATTACACATCTGCTTTTGACTCTGTACCTAGAGGCCTTTTGTTAAACAAGCTTAGCCTTACACAAACTGAGTCCTGGGCTATCAACTGGCTGCACTCTTACTTCTCCAATAGGATGCAGTACACGGTATATAATGGTGTAGCTTCCTCTCCTTTGCTTACTGAAGCTGGTGTTCCTCAGGGTGCTGTTCTCTCGCCGTTTCTCTTTTCCTTCTTCTTACATGACTTACCTCTCTCAGACGAAATCAACTTCGTCAAATATGCAGATGACCTGACTGTTTCGCTTCCCGTTAAGTCTCAGTCAGACTGCTTCAAATTAAATAGCTTCCTGTCGGACATCAGTCAGTGGTCTAAAATAAATGGCCTAACGCTGAATCCCTCAAAATGCCAGACTGTCGACTTCTCCTTTAGGCATAAACGAGATCTACAAACACTAGTAAGCACTCATGATGTCTGTAGAATCGAGGGGACTATAATTGAAACAAAGTCTAATGCAAAATACCTCGGATTAGTTATATCTTCCGACCTTACTTGGTCATCTCATATCCAAATGATTTCCAAGAAAGTGTTTCGTCTAACCTACTACATTAAGAAACTCAGACTAACTGGAGTCCCTCAACCTCTGCTTACACAATTTGTCTTAAGCATCTGAATACATGTGAGAAATGGTCTAAAACCATACTCTCTGACCCCCAACACCCCTCTATTCCCAACTCTCTCCCTGCATCTCATCAGGTAGAACCAGAAATCAGTATAAAATAATATATGCTCGCACAACCAAGTATAGGAACTCAACGATACCATATTTGGCCCGTGTTCTAAGTGACAGAGACAATGTTAGGCGTGAAACCTATGACTTGCTTTGTTGTTAATAACATAATTTTGGCCCTTGTTTTTTCCCCCTTACACTATCTTATTTGTACTCTATAGTGAACAACCTTCTTAAACATACTTAGCTGCTTAAAATTATTATCATTGGCTTACATTTTTATTCTTTATTCTATTCCTTCTTTGTACATCTACTGGGTCCGACTATATTATCACTATGATTATTATAAATTGTCCCGTCATTAACCATCATGTAACATTAGTTTTGTGGTTGTTCTTTGTTCGGCACTATTTAACTGACAATCTTGTTTGTTATCGCCACTATCACCATCTTAAAAATTTTGTATTATGCATGATTCCTCACACTGCCACTACAAACAACCGCATTAGTACTGACAAAAAAAAAACCTGAAATGTTTATCTTATGATTGCTTAGTGTTGTTCAATCAAATTAACTGATCATCTTGGCTATAAACATTTTTTTAAGAACATCTCATAATTTCCCGTATGATTATAGCTGTTACTGTTCACCACGCATACACATATCGTAGCTTCCACTAACTAATACTGAAATATTTTTTTTCATTATTTGTGTTGATCTTCTTTTTTACTCAGTATTTTTATTTGCATTTTTTTTGGTTATTTCTGTTTCTTTTTTGGTTTTTTTTATATATTTTTTTTTATAATACTCCTTTTAAATGTACGATGAAATTAGATGCAATATTTTAGATATGTGCTGAAAATTCCACACTGTATCACAAGTACTGTTTCTGGAATAAAGCGGAATTGTTATGTTATGTTATGTTATGATATTTAAAATAAATGTTCATCCTACTTTTTAACACAGGAGTCAAGTTCACGCCCAAACTTACAATAATTCTAACCTCTATGCATCGATAATGACTTTCTACCGTAAATGAATATTTCATCTACCTAAAATAAACCCACAATGTACTGAAATAACTCTGGTCATTATTCAAAAGGGCACTGGACCCTTAATTAACGCGACAAAACATTAAAAATAGGATTTGCACCTGAAGATAAGGCCTTTAGTACAGAAATAAAGGTGAAAAAATTGCCACTATGCGCCGAATTGTGAGTCTCTTAGTTCTGAAGTAATGCTAGTCATTGATGAATCTGGGTTGGCAGGACTGAAACAATTCTGATTAGTAAAGGACAGGGTGCTGAATTAATGCCAGTCATGCTGAAAACCAGCATCGAGTTCTAGTCTGTGAGCATATTTATTTTATTTTGATTACAGTTTGATTCCACACTGTATTTTTGGTACAAGTATGGAATTTTCAGTGTGGATATCGGTAGCCCAAATTTCGCAGGCCTACCATAGATATCAGGTGTGCGTCGGCGTGGGCTCGAACCCCGGACCATGTGCATGGTCGGCGATAGTTCTAACCACTGTGCCACCGACGCAATGATTAGTGCTTGAAATGTATTCTTCAGACAGTTGGAAAAGTGGTTTTTAAGAATTTCTGCTTCAGTGTCACCCTTGAACTCTAGATTCATGAAGACCGACGCACATGGCAAATTCTCTAACTTCAGGACTGAGTTATAGGGTTGTGCGTATGTTTAAGAACTCCAAATACAACATCTCTTAATGACGAGTGCTAACATCTCTAAATGTAGGAGGCTAATAACATTTTATCGACCGATTCTTGACGTCTAAATAATACGCAGCCATACTACTCTGCGGAAACCATCAAGTGACATCACTAGAAAAGCCATCGCTCGAGTGGAACCCGAAAGGGAAGCCGCGAGTTGGTCGTCAGCGTGAGGGTAACTTGGAGTTCATGTAAAGAGGAGATGAAAGCATGTGGGCAGACTTGGAGCGGGATGGAAAAGCTGGCGGAAAATCGAACGCAATGGAGACGCGCGGCTGAAGCCCTATGTTCCTCTAGGAATTAAAGGATATAATAATAATAATAAATCAGTTACTATAGCCTGATTTTATGGCTAGTTGAAACTTGTATTTAACGTCCATTAATTTCGATGGATAACTCGAATGACATTCTGCCAATCAGATGTCAATTCCCTTGTGTTAACCAAATGTAACAATTTGGCTGTCATGTGACTTAATTTTTTCTCTAGTATACATACTCACTACTCAGGGCTGAGCAAATATATTTGTTATCCTATGCTCTCCTATTTCCAATCCAAAAATGACTCAGATTAAACAGTTAATTTGACACTTTAATAATCTTGGATATGTGAAAGTGTTAGTCTTCAGACAGAAAAGCGTACAAATAACCTTGAAGCGCCCAATAGGAGTCTGCATGGTAAATTGAATTTATTATTGATTAACATGTGTTATTTCATGGCTAAAGGAGTAAATTAATATCCAGAATGGTGCCTTACACTAAAATCTAACCAATGTTTATCTGCATTAATATGATGTATTTCAGAAAAAACAACTTAGTTTTAAGACAAGCCACAACCTCACATTCTCACTAACACTAGGTGTGAGGCAAATTAAATTTTATGCTGTGACTGTTTTGATTACAAGAAGGACTGTTAAAGGAGGAGAGCTCTGTGTATATTGGTCTTTCTACAATAAATCTTTCAGAAGATGATGGCAAAGTTCAACAATAGCGTCCCAGGAGTGCGAACGCACGAGTGATCTTCAGCCGACCAAACATAAAAATGAGGAAGTTTTGCTTAAAAAATGATGTATATTGACAAGAAAATGCTTGAAAACTCATTAAACAGGTTATCTTTCTCTGATATGGCTTAAAAATGCGTCCTAGATATAACCGGGAGAATCAGTGGATAAGTTAGACTAGTTTCTGTACATGTATTCACCGAGATGACTACAGATAAACCGTTTTTGTGAATCGCTTATCTCTCTCATCCTGCTTGCAGTCTTCCAAAAAAGCCCTCGGTTGAATTATTATGGTTTCCAGCAAGAGGATAGATGACTACCTACCAGGAAAACGTAGACAATAAAACAAATTAAAATAAATGCCATCAGCTGTAAATCTATCCCTAATTGTACCATAAGCTTAATCCTACCTAATCATAACCCTTATCCAAACCACAATTCTAATCCTAATGCTAATTATAACCCTGATGTTAACCCTAACCCCAATACTTACGTTAACCCTAATCTTAACTCTAACCAGCTCCTAACACATAGTCCAAACAGTACTTAAAAACGTGATCTGGGTGAAATTTGATCCTAATTTGGTGAATAGGGTTGATATTTCAGCTATGATAATGACATATGCTGTTAGCCAACGACTAGCATGTGTTCAAGGTCATCGAAGCGTTTGCACTTCTGGGACGCTATTGTAAAACTTCGCCAAGATGATTTCAACCGCGTCGTGGTAACGCTTTCATTTTAATAAACTAAATAAATTAAGATTGGAATTTCAAACATTACATGTAGAGATTATCAACAAGACGTAAATTAAAACTTAACAGCCTTTTGTCTTTCAGATCATGACATATAACAGCAAAATAAGTAACTGAATCCATTAAACAGTGGAAATACCAGAAAAAAATGACAGATAACTCCTAGAATCCTTGTATTCAGAGGAATCAACTGATAAAGAGTAGATCACATGACAAAAAAGTCAAACTTCAAGGTCAGTCAATAAAAACGACCAATAGGAATGCGAATTAAAAAACAATCATAACTAAGATCATCAGAACAGACAACTACGTCATACATAGAGAATTCAAATAACGGTGAGGATCTTGTGCCTAGAACGATAATGAAAGCTATGCATTTAAATCACCTAACTAGCTCAGAAAGAACATAATTACATCAAAAAGATTAAATTAATTCATCATCCTACCTGAATCACATTGTAAGCTTTAATTAACAATTCAAAGCCTAATTCTTCTTCTAAATCAGCTCTCATTTTTTCTAAACGTAGAAACTGACTATTTTCTAAATGATTTTCACCATTTATTTTATCTGGGATATGAGTGTTCTGATGATGAGGAAGATGTTGTTGAAGAGTTTCTTTCAATTCACCATTCAACATTGAGTCATCGTCATCATCATCATCGCTGAATACATCTGAATCGTCGGATAAGTCATCATCATCGCTGGAGATTTCATCAGAGTCTTCTTCACTGTCACTAATATCAAAGTCGGATTCATTCACTTCAGTAACACGTGCTAATCGATCACTATTTATTGGTTTACAAATATTAATGCCTGCTTTATTGTTATTATTATTACTGTATGTTCCTTTTCTGTCTTCTTCGACTTCGTTGACTTTGATGATTACTTCATCATCATCTTCTAATTCTTCAGTGATTTCATCATCTGTATTCTTCTCATCGAATTGATCATCTCTGGCTGTTGTTGTTGTTGCATAAACCATTGATACACAGTCTAATCGATTAAGAAAATTACCTAATTGTTCACTTGGTGTGATGTCATCAGGTTTATTACTATGAACATCTTGTGATAGTATAGTAGACTTCTCATGTGATCTTTTAGAGTATGAATTCATTCCAGTATAACTATTAGATGAAGACGACTTTCTTGATCGACGATGATCAATAACACTTCCTTGAACTGGTAAATTAATAGATACTATATAAAAGTAGAATATAAAGAAATGTAAAAGGGGCCTGTAACAAATGAAATGTGTGATAGAAAAGAATAATGAGGACTGAATGAATCTGAAATAGTTTTTTTCCTTCACATTCAAAGTGGAACATAGGGCTTCAAGTTAGAGGTGGTCATCACGTTCAACCCCTTCATTCCCTATCTTCGAACTTGGAGTTGGTTGAAACCAAACCTGCAGTATCAATATTACATTTAACAGATGTGAATCGCACGTCATGTGTTTCGAGATTCCTACTTATGTTGTAGTTAACATAGAAATACACAGGATTAGAATGACTAATTATATAAGAGTAGTAAGTATCAAACTCATCTTATGTAAAATGAATATTAGAAAGGTGAAGTACGTGACTAATCTGTTAAATGAATTGTATGTTGCAAATAAATGCAACCGAAGAAAAATACTAAAGCAATCAATGCGAATGTAATACACTAGTAAGTAATACTTCATAGCCAAGTGGTTACGCAATCATGGGGATTTGAGGCTTTTTTTGTGTCCAACCGTGCTAGAATGATAATATTAGGTAGGCATCTATTGTAGGAAATATACTTTTGAGCTCTAGTCTGTCTGGTACACTGGAAACGTCACACGCAAGAAGTAAATGGTGCCAATCTCCATCATACAAACGGATTCAAAATCAAGACGTGATTGTATTAACATAACGCCTTTCCTATCTTCTCACCATGTAGCGTTGTCCATATCCTATGAAATATATTCCAAGTGTTAGCAACCAAGCTATTCTGAAACAATAATTTCAGTACTAGGTAATTGGTTGAGAACTAGAACAAGATTGTTCTTAAATTTTCATGAGTAACATTTCGTTTTCGTTTTCATGAGAATCAATCACACTTATGAAAGCCTTATTCACATCACTCCATATGAATCACTGGTGTTGAACTTTTAACGACACTATTAATGCTTGTTAATTTAATGTTACTAGCGTATTATACGAAAAACATTAAAGTAGCCCCTAATGAATTCACAAATATTGATTGTCAACCACCTACGCCCTCAACTGAATTTTAATCGAGTTACTTAAATGAGGACACATTGAGAAGAGTAGCACATGTGTTGATAGGCGGAATTAAGACGTCAGATAATATTGGCCTGTATAGTAGGCGTTTAAAAAAGGGTAAAATTGATTGGTTGTCTGTCAGTTCAACTCTTGGTCTAACTAGCACATATTAAATTATGATTGGTCCAAATGCAGAGTGGGAGTAACGACCTTATCAATTACATCTTAATGATGAATGACAAGGGTAGACTTCCGCATAGATTCGTTAACCTAATCAAGTATGCAACATGATAAGATTGGCAAGGATTTTGATGCTTGAACAGTGTGATTGGCCACAATAGACTTAGTAACCAATATTAAAATTTGCAAAGTCAGACTAAAAAAAATATTTTACGAGTTGATCACGGATTGATATCAGTTAGAGAAGCATTGAAAACAAGGAGTACCGGACAGCTGCTGTTCCATCCTAGTTTGGGAATCATCGGCAGTACGCCCTGGTTTTCAATGCTTCTCTAACTGATATCAATCCGTGATCAACTCGTAAAACATAACTAATCCTTACAAACCAAACTATAAAAAAAATATACCTGATCTTTTCCTTGATGCACTAAGATCATCTTCTCGAGTAGATTTATCAATGTACTTGTTAATACAATTGTTATTTATTGGGCCTATAGATCGTTGAATTCTTTCTGAATGAATTCCACTTTCTTTACTAAAAGAATATTCATTATATTGATTGGAATGATTAGTATCATCCACCATTGATAAACTTTGTTTAGAAGATTCAACTTCGGCTTCAAGTGAATTCTGTGAAGAATAATCATTTTCACCTTCATCATTCTCGTCATTATCATCATTATCAGAGGGTATATAATTCATTGGATTTGCATTGGTATTTAAAATAATTTGTAGCATACTTTGACGTACTAATTCAATATCTTTCTCATCATCCTCTAATTCATTAACTGGAATAATTGAACTGCCGCCTTTTCCTTCCTCTTGTCGCTCTTCCTCTTCTACTTCTTCGCTTTTAGTTTTATTTGAAGGTATATTGATATTTTGGGAGCTTATTTCATGAATTTTAGGATCTCTGAGAGGAAAATGAATGATATTAGTGTGATACAGAGTCTTACTAGCAAGCGAATGCGTAAACTTTAATCTCTTTCGAATTAATTCACATATCCACCCATCAAACATCCTTAGTAAAAGAAAGCATGAAATATAAGCACCGTGAAATAGTTTCAACAGACCTGTCTCCATTCTCCTCAAGTTTACCGAAGCAATTTCTATCAAACGCTTCAAACCGGATTTATGTGCTCAGAAAGAAGCAGTTATTAGTCTTTCCTTGCCCATTCTGGTAACTGGTTGTCTTTATTCTCTCATCTGATTACGCAATCTTTGTCTTTAACCTCATCCCTTTTTTTTGTAATCTGTAATTTTGCTTGTCTCTTGTTTCTATGACGTGAGTTGAACTCAGTACATCGTTGCCTAATTTATTAGTTACTCATCATCTAACGCACATCTCATCTTTATTATGTAACTCCTTTACCATTGTATGCATACATTTGTCTTAACTTGAACTGCCTGTGTAAAAGCTATATAAGCGCAATTTTCTGAGCACTGTTTTATTAATTGTGGAATTTTCTGTCAACTAACAACATGTAAAATGTGCAAGTATGTTAAAAATTTTCTGTACGTAAACCTAATAATTTATTTAGGCTGTAAGCAACAGCTGATGAGAAGCCAACGAAATAAACAATGATGGTATCATATTATTCTGCACAAACCCCAACAGAAGATATGGAGAAGAAAATAGAGATGAATTAGACATAAGCAGCCAAGACTTTAAAATGATACTGTGGTGAGAGCTGTCTGCAAGACAGAGTTGTAGACAACAATTGACGCCAATGTTTACGTTCCAAATCGGGGCCATGAGAAAAAACAAGAACAAAGCCTAACCTTGAGGAACTCAACAACCAACCACAGCAGACTTAGTGTGGACAGATACGATTCGCAGATATATCGCCGGACTGTCCAAGAAACCAAGAGATGACAGAATAAATTTCAGGGAGAAAACAAACAATCAGAAGAGGTTGCTTCTCTGCTAACAATAACGCTAATGATAATGTACACAAAAATCTATAAATATCTCTTGATTTTCTCAATAAATGATCTGTTGCCTGGGCCTTGTCTTCTGTCGTTACAATACTACACACCAAATCTTCGAGTGGAAGTTAAATCGGAAACAACATTTAAGGGTGACATTGAGAAGATCGTGTGTAGAGGAAATGAAGGCATGTGGGCAGTCGTGGAGAACCTAGTGGAATCCTAGACTGAAGCTCTTTTCGGAATGCACAGAACAAATAATTATACTCTGTCTGTCTGGATTCAACATAGAACTTGGCACCGAAGTGCAGCAGTTCGAGTTGCCACGTTCCAAATAGCACACAGAGGTAGACAAGAAGATGAGTGAAGAGAATTAATAGAGTTTGACAAATATAAGAGTGAAACAGAATGGGTAATGGTAGAAAGGAATATGAAAGATTACAGAGATTGAATACATCTGCGCCATTGACAACGATTTTGAGCCATGTCACCTATTGTCTCCAGCCATTGATTCCTAGAGTCCCGAGGGCCCCAACCCGGGAGTCTGCATCTCCCTACCTGACTCAGTTTAACTGTCAAGGATTTCATGGATTGATGCCATGTTTTTGTTTGGCCACCACTGGCTCTTTTCCAACCTGAACCTATATCAGCTAACAATGCCCGTCGGGGGAGGCGGTGGTTAGGCATGCGCACCACGTGACCTAGCCATCTTAGTCTATGTAACTTTATAACCTCGTCGATTGATTTTCCCTCTTTGCCCAACACTCTACGCCTAACGTCAACATTACTTATCTTGTGAAACCACCTAACGTGAGACAGAGATCGCAGACATCTATGATCGAAAGCAGTCAACCTTTTCATGTCTTCAACGCGTATTGGCCATGTTTCAGAGCCATAGAGAAGGACGGAGCGAACTGATGAGCAGTACACACGTCCCTTGGTTGATAACCGGATGTCACGCCTACGCCAGAGATGGTGTAAGTCAGCGAAAGCAGCTCGAGCTTTTCGGATCCGTGCTGAGATTTCATCGCCAATCAGTCCGTTGGTGCTAATACAACTTCCCAAGTAGGTGAAGTGGTCAACATGTTCTATCACTTCACTCCCTATCACTAAGTTAGGGGTTGACGTCGTCCAGTCCTGTAGCAGCATCTTACATTTTGCAGGGGCGAATCGCATGCCAAACATACGAAGATTGCTGCTCAAGGTGTTCAGAAGACTCTGCATTTTGTCAGCATCCTCCCCTAACAGGACTATGTCATCTGCATATTCTAAGTCCATTAGATTATTCCCTGGTAACAAGTCGATTCCTAAGTCACTACGTTCAGTTAAGGATACTTCCATTAGCATATCTATGATGAAGTTAAACAGAAATGGGGAAAGTGGACATCCCTGTCGGACACCACTGGTTGTTACCAATTCAGATGACAATTCCCCATAAGCCCTTACACGACTACGTGAGTTTGAATAGAGTGCCTTGATTAGTGCAATGTACTTTCTTGGCACTCCCTTCACAGTCAGACATTGCCATAGTACCTTTCGGTCCACGGAGTCGAAGGCCGCCTTCAAGTCAAGAAATATGACAATTGTTGGACGCCGAAAAGTGTGTCTATGTTCTAGAATCTGTCGAAGAGTGAAGATATGATCTATGCACCCTCTACCTGGTCTAAAGCCTGCTTGATTTTCCCTTGTCTGTTCCTCCCGAGTTCTGCTTAGTCTATGCATGATTACTGAGCCTAGGATTTTAGAGACTATGTTCGTTAGGCTGATCCCCCTATGATTATCACACGAGGACTTGTTTCCCTTCTTGAATATCGGTATAATAAGTGACTTACCCCAGTCTGATGGTACTGTCTCTGATTCCCAGACTTTGCCTAGTACCTCAGTTAATCTACAAACTAGTATGTCACCCCCATATTTAAACACCTCCGGAATAATTCCGTCGGGTCCTGCCGCTTTGCCTCGTTTCAAATTACTGATAGCTTTTGTAACCTCACCTACAGACGGCGGACCAGTGTCTATATCCCATTCGGGTACGTGGTGGATGGCGGGGAGGTTCAGTGTGGCTGTAGGCAAGTTAAATTGTTCCTCAAAGTGTTCTTTCCAGCGTTCAAGGCGTCTATCCTGAGAGCTAATTAAGGAGCCATTTTTCTCAGAAATAGTCTCACTTATGAATTGCCTTTTCCCGCCCGATTCTGTGATGAGTCTAAAGAGTTGCCTAGTGTTGCCTATCGCCAATGCTTTTTCCATCTCTTTCGCCTTTGTCACCCACCACTGTTCACGGTCCTTGCGGAGACTTTTAGTAAGTTTCCTTTTGTGCAGCTTTCGCTCCTCATTGAATTCGGAGCTCGCCGGAATAAGTCTTCTAGCATCTATCAGTTCGGATGAGGCAGTCGAAATCCAGTGGTTTTTACTCACCTTTGGATTTGTCTTATTCACAGCTTTTACAGCTGTATCTATAGCTGACTGAATATTCTTCCAGGCTTCTCCAGGGTGAGCACAGCTGTCGGATTCAGATATGCGTTTAGCTAGTTCTTCCTCAAATAGGGATTTAGTTTCCTGATCGAGCTGGGGGCGTGATGGTTTTACCGCCAGCTGTTTCCTACGTCCGTTCAGTCGTAAGCACACACGAGCCCGGACCAGTGCGTGATCGGTATCTACACACGTGTTCCAGAAGGAGCGACAATCTCCTACCGACCCACGCCAACGATAGCTTATTGCTATGTGGTCTATTTGTGTCCAGCGTTGGTTTGATGATGGGGGTCGCCAGGTTAAACAGTGTCTCTCCTTGTGTTTAAAGTTAGTGCTTACAAGAAACAAATGATTATCTGAACAGAACTGTAGGAGACGGTCACCGTTGTCGGTTCGCTGGCACGGAACTCCATAGGTGCCACCGACATCCTTCTCAGATTGACACAATTTCCCTACTTGAGCGTTGAAGTCACCAGCTAGAACGACTATATCTGAGCGTTTAGCCTTTCTCACCAAACTAGACAGCTTTTGGTAGAACTCATCCTTCGTTTCATCCGAACTGCAGTCAGTGGGGGCGTAGGCGGAGATTACGAAAAGGCATCGGCGAGTAGTGCAGTCCTTTCTCCTTCTTACTGATCCGTTCAGACGGACAGCACACATTCGGCTATCTACTGGGATCCAGTCAAGCAATGTCTTTTCTGCCCTAGTACTCAGAGCTATCCCTACGCCAGCTAATCCCGTGAACTAGCTGTGGCATCTCCTGACACCCTCAAGGTGAATTTTGAAGATTCATCCTGTTGGCCAGGTGGGGTTAGGTGAATAACCACACTTGGGTCTTGTATGCGTGTTTCTGAAACACAACATACATCAATGGCTCGAGATGCCAGGGTCTTAGCTAGTGATGCTTGTTGTCCTATTTGGCAAAGTGTCCTTACATTAAATGCTCCTATATGAAATTGGTGGCGTGGCTTTAGGAGACTATCCGTGGTGGTTTTTTGGCTTTCGTCGTTTTTAGTGGACACAGAGTGAAGAGGGAGTGAGGAGCCATCAAGTAGAGGAGTTGCATCACTGGGGGAAGGTAAGGTAATAGAGATGAAGATGAAGACAAAGATAAGTGAGGATTAGAGAGGTTTTGTGTGCGTTTTGGATTGTGAGGGCGATTGTTACTTCCCGGCTGCCCACACCGTGGAAGTTGGTTGCGTGACCGCAGAGCCCAGGGGACAACTGCTTGTGGCCGGTCACACGCGGCCTGTTTTTGTTCGTTCTTCGTTGTTTTGTGTGCCTCAGTAGCATACTTATCACTCCCGCCCTGTGACACGGCAGCAGGAAGCGCGGTCGTTGTTAATCCGGGCCACGGCCGATCCGGCATGAAATTTTGTGAATTTGTTTGGATCATGGTATTGGATGAGGTAGCTGCTTTTTGTTTAACCGCTATCCAAACAACCTGCCTGGCATGGTAGAACCTCAAGAGACATAAGTCTCAGCCAGTATAGCTTGATTAGGTCATTGCGGTGTTCAAGCCCGACCACCACGTCAAGGTAGCAGCTTTCGGTCGGGAAATAATTATACTGATTTTAATTTAAGCCCAGTATGAAGAAATGCTGTTATCTTGTCGTAATGAGATGCCAAATTACTACCAAATAGCAGATATTACTTCGTAACAATTTTTGATCTGCAAAGGTCTTAAACTGTTATTTGTCTACTGTAGTCCTTGTAAGCATTGTTTGTATTTGACTCCAGTGTCATGTGATTACAGTCACATCTCTCTGGAGAATAAAATTACACTAGTCGTTGACAGGGTCTCCTCACGAAGTTGTCTAGTGGAGGTCTTGCACGAGTTATAGAAGCAGTAGTACTACAGAAGTTTTCAAAGTTACATTTAAAACCAATTAAATACTTATATAAACAACGTTTCTTCTGAGTTATAATGAATTTCAATTATTCAGTTCGACGTATTGGCTAGATTAGTAGTTGATATGTTTTACGTACTTATAAACACTGGTGTGTGTGTGGGGGGTATGAAATAAGGGTAACGATTTGAAATATTCAATCTAACATTTCAATCGGACCTCAAATGATAGAGACGTTGTCTACACATGAGCGGAGTAATTTAATTGAGGAGCTTTCACTATCCCTCTAAGCAATGTCTTCAGCGCTTAATTCAATGTGAAGTGAGATCTTTCTGAATCCTCGATCAACGATGTAATTGTCTCACCTGATGATCTTAGCTATGACTAGTTTTTGATTTCCTATTAGCATGGATCGTTTCGTTGACCTAAATGTTGACTTGCTATTCTTAGCGCTTCACATTGAGGTGTTATAGTTCATAAAAAACCTGAACTTTAAACCAAATCAAACAAAAGGACTAGCTAGTCAAAACTTTGGAATATTTGAGATTTTGGATATGGTTTCTTGTCTTTGAAAGGTGTATACAACCTAAAAATGTAGTTATTCAGTTAACTTCATTTGACTAATATGCGGGATATACAAAAGTCTACACCACAGATGTCGAGAAATTCTCTGTCCGGTTCCTGTTGATTTGACGGTGTAGTGATACTATTTACAGCGATGGCAGAAAACTCACTGCTCAACTGGATTCTAGTAGACAGTTGTCTCTGTTCTATCTCACTGGATCAGTGTGAAAGATGAAGGGAAGGTCAGCGTAGTCTCCATATCTACTGGAATCTCCACTTGCGCACCTATTGACTGCATTTCATATAAGGTAAAAGGTGAGGCATCTATAGAGTCCCATACAAACCTATATCATTACTTATATTTATGTTCTGATAAAGATACAGTTCGTGCCTAGCACTACCACTTAGCCACAGGTGCACATGAAAATATCACCTACCCTTTAGTTATTGACGAAATGTGTAGGTGGAAGATTACAACTGCTTCTGGTACACCTGTGTAGACCCCAACGATGCATTATTTCATGCATGTGTATGTGTATCCGCGGCATAATTGACGCAGAGAAGAGAATTCCCGAAGTCGTTATACGTTCAATTTCTTTTTGACGAAAACATGAGGTCGTTATCTAGGATTTCTCACGTGATATACGTGTATCCCAATGAGTAGTGGCGTCTACAATGTGACTTGAACCCAACAGTCATCATCACAAATACCAAAGTGTTATCCACTAAGTAACTGAGTTATAAGACATGCCTCCTGGATCGCACTCTTAGCCAGCAATTTTAAGTTAAAAATCAAGGTAATATCATGTCACGCATTCAAGGAATTTGTATGCTAAAAATAGCTGCTGATGAATTCGGTTATCAACGGGATACAATAATAATTAAGGAATCATTTTATTAATATGTCCTCCCTATTAATGTTATTACTATTCGTATAAGCTGATTGAAGGAAATCGGCCCAGGACCCAGTTTTCGTGCTTTTTGTCAATCATCAGCAAGGTGTACATGTGATAGAGTGTACTCTGATGGTGAGTCACACAGATTAGTGATCGCATTGCAAAACTTGACTGGACAAATACCAAGGTCTAGACGCATGATACATTGATTACTCCCTAATATGACTAATCAATGTAGAGCAACTCTCCACTGAGTACCTTTAATATCCCCCCCCGCCCTGAGATTTGAACCCACATTATCCAGTGCTGCGGTCAGACATGTTACCACTGAGTTATTTGAGAACATGACTGACCTCCTGTAGGATTGTAATGGATACATCGACTGGTCGCTAGAGTGGAACCATACGGTTGGGAAAGTAGACAGGTCATCATTGTTCCCAGTTATCTTTCATCGTTAAGTCGTATATCAAAAATTATATATATATATTCAACACTTACTCTAATTTTTCAAAACTGTTGTACTTAGAATTATTCTCCAGTTGTTTATTACTAACTATGACTCCATCTTGTAAGCACTTCTCTTGAACTGATACACATTCTTCCTCGTCTTTTTCCACATCAGTATAATTGGATATTGGAAATAAACTACTAATATTTGGTAATGAACCTGATTTAATCATCTATACACAGAGAGAGGCAGGGAGATAGAAGGTAGAAAAAAAGGAATAAGTAGAAAAGTATATTAGAATTATACGTTTATGTTTTGAGATGATTTCAAGAAGGTTGAACAATATATGACTTATTTTTAAGAGTTAGTTTGTAGGGCTTTGATTTGTTTGAAGTTTGGCCACTTGCTGATCGCAATTAGAGAACCATTGGAAACCTGGAAGTACTAGACAGCTGTTTCATGCTAGTTTGGGAATCTTCAACAGTACGCTCCCACCAGAGTTCGGACCTACCTTGCAACCGGAAGGTCCTGGGTTCAAAAACTTGAAATAAATCGAATCCCTACAAACTAACTCTTGAAAATTGGTGACTAGCTACAGGGCGAAGTTGACTGGATTTCTACTGAGGAGACGTGACAAGTAGGGTCCAGTAGGTCGGGCGTGAGAACTAGTACTCATCGATGACATTAGCTGATGGTTGCGCTGAAATCATGAATTGGATAAAATTGGAATTTATGGGACAGTTGGGTGAATGGTCTGAGAGGTTGCCTATTAACCTGGAGGTTTCGAGTTTGAACCCCAGTGAATGGGTATTGCTGAAGAGCCCCAAACTAGGGTGAAAAAGCTGTTCAGGACTCCCTGGTTTTCAACAATTTTCTGACTGATGCTGGTTCGTGACAATTTCCGTATTGGAGTTCTATGAAGGCCTTAAAATGATTAGTCCGGTCCTAATTCACAAGAACCACCTTCTTAATGAAGCTGAGAAGTAACCTTCCATCTCCACCTTCGATCATCACTCACTAAATCAAAACGAAAGTCTGTTGACTCAAAGGTGTCTCCCTCATAGTCTCACAGTCAAATAAGTGATATTAATTAAAAAACGTAACTAGCATGACAGTCTACCAGTCAAATACCCCCCTCCGCTCCGTTAATTGTGATTATCAGTTTATGCACTTTTTTGTTACTCTGTTCACTTTTCATGTAAATATAACTCAGACTTTAGACATTTCATTACACACGTTAATATACTATCAGTATATTTCTGCTGAACACAGAAAAGAATGCGTGGTGAAATGTCTAACTCAATTTTATTGACTTTGAAAAGGCTTTTGATAACGTCAAGCTTTAAGTTATTTAGAAACCACTTCAAAACTACGAAATTCTCCAAAACTTTATCAGCCTCACTCAACAACTACATGGTGATGTCAAATGCCATGTGGTGTGCAAGAGAAAGCTGAGAGAATCATTTGAAGTGAAGGTAGGAGTAAGGCAAGGTTGTCTACCACTTCTACTGCCGATAATATTCCTGATTGTCATGAGTTGGGTCATGCAACAGACAGTGGGAAACAAAGAGACATATATACATTAGTGAGAAAAAGACGCGAGATTCTGAGGACGATTTATTTCTAAATCCATACAAACTCTAAAATCTACAGGCGGTAAAGATGGCGCTTCAAGTGAACATAGAGAAGACAGAGGTGATGAAGATATTTAACCAACAACAACAACAACCATCAGTTACCATCAATGGCAGAAATTTGAAGGATTTCATCTCTTTTAGTTATCTAGGTAATATCCTTTGAGCTACAGGCGCTGACACGAATGAGGATATGAACAACAGGACCAGAAAAGCAAAACAGGCATTCATTAATCCTAAATCATTGTGTAAATCTACTAAACTCAGGGTAATGAACAAGATTCGAATTTTAAACACTAATATCAATCCAGGGCTTCTAATATGCTATGAGAGAATTGGCGCATGTTTCAAAAGGTTCATTTCAAACAGGCAACTGTACACCTTCACCAATAGCTGCCTTTGCTACGTCGATATTGAAGATCAAATGGCTAGTCGGCCTGAAAGAATTAGCTACAAGAAACTATGACTGGAAACAAACCAGTCAAGAGCTAATCGCTCAACAGATTTTTAAGAGAAAATGTAGACGGATTGAGCATACGTTAAGGGGGCCATCAAATGACATCACACGCAATACAGGCCATTGCTTGAGTAAAATCCCAATGGGAAGCAACGAGTGGGTCATCGTTGCGAGGGTGACATGGAGAAGATCATGGAAAGGAGGAGGAGATGAGAGATTATGGTCAATCGTGGACCCTGCTGAAGAGGACAGCAGAGAATAGAACAAAGTGGAGATGTGTTGTTGAAACCCTATGTTCCACTCTGAATCTACAGGAATAATAATAATAATAATACGCTTACTTGTCCATATTTATCTGCATCGCATTGGTTTTCTAAAGGAATTTGACCATCTTCTAAATCTTCTAATTCACAATATAAACGATTCATTTTATTATGATCTGTTGTACTTTGTTCAGACACTGGATCGTCTACAAAATCCACCTAAAGTAAGAAAGACAGTAGGGTAGGGAAGGGGGGAAAGGATAAGAGAACTAGTGTAGTCAGTATAAACTGAATTATGTATCAACCTTTTAAGACGTTATGTTTATTCAGCCTTCTAGCTTTTATTTTAGTTGATGTACATTAGCAATAGATTTGACAATATGCATTTCATTCTGTTTGTGACTCATCTACTGATTCTAACTGTATTCCTAGTGAGGGATGAGTGATGTTCCGACTGAGACTCGAATCCTGAATCTGCAAAAGTGTTATCCATCCCCACTGGGAATGCAGGTACATCCAGCTGACAACACAATCAGTAAACACAAAATGCAAATTAATCTAAAAAACAAATAATAACTGACACCTAATGCAAAGAAGTGACTATGGTGGCTCCTGTGGTCTACTGCATAATCCCTTGACATTTAAAACGACGGCTACAGGGTTCATTTCTTAGTCGGGACACTATCACTCACCAGAATGCGGGTATGTCCCAAGCTGGATGAAATACACAACCTTGGGTTGTGCTGCTAGTCACAATAAACTAAAATAACACTATATTAATCCTCAAACATCATAGAAACGTTCATACAACATGTCAACAGAGAGGATGAGCATTTCAGTCCAACATGATCAATTAGTCGAAAGTTCAAATTAGCCTAAACACAAATAATTCACCGTTATATTTAGTCTTTATTTATTTTTTTGTGATGTATGCTGTTATTGTTTGAATATCTGTTTTCATTGATCCCAGTGTGGATATGAACTCGAATTTTGTTCTGGCTTTTTCCCTTTTGATTTGACTTTCACTTGTTGATAGACTGAGTGAATTCTAATGTACATTTAATTTGTGAAGTGATTTTGAGTTTAAAGATTCATGAAATCATTTTCTGACATATTCTGTTTTATTTGTTTGGTGGAATCCTGGGTGTGTTTCGTCTTATTTAGAACTCGTCATCTGGATATGTGTGTTCTTCAGTGAATGACTTTATTCCCACTGAGACAGCAGGCATTGGGTGCCAGCCTCAGTGAGAACATCACCATTCACTGGAGAGCACGTATATTCTGTTGACAAGTTCCAAGTAGGATGGAATGTGCCTCCTGGATTCCTCTGTTAGACACTATCAAACGAATAACTTTAAGTTTAATCATGATAAGCATCGAGACGTATATTCAAGGAACCCATATGAGAAAAATGTGGCCGATCACTTCAGTCAATACATATCGACCGGAAACCACAAGTATAAGCAAACATTTTTTTGTTCACGCAGATGAGTTGTTTGGTGTATAATTAAGTCTAGCTGTTTATATCCAAGAATGTTAAATGAGATCTATCTAGTGAATTTCTTAAAATGCATCATACGAGATCCTATTGAGCACTGTGGTTGGTGTACTTTAATTCAGGATTGCATGCTGAAGAGACCTTTTCAATAGGAAGCGTTTCTTGATCCACATTTCATACTTCTTGACATTTATCAGCAAGGACTATCTTTAACTTTGAACAAACTTCTGTTATTTTAATGATTTAAACTCGTATAACTAAGTTAATGAACTTACAAAGACTTTGTTTTATGTCTAACTACAGACTAGATCGACAATCTTTCAGTCAAAATATAAATTATACAAGTATCGATTTCCTCTATAAGTTGGTCAAATAACCAACCAATCAAATTTCACTACATTGATTGCCACTCATTAATCGATCCAATGTTGTAGCATATCATTAGTCTATGATACATTTTTGATTGACTATTTTGTAATTTTATATATTTGTAATTACACTTCCACTCACCCACACGTTGGAGATACACGTTTTTGATATTAATGTATGAGTCTTATTCAAACTACCAGTTTGGGTCAGGGAAGATGATATGTATCCACATGATGTGTGTTTTGTTTTTGACAGTCTGTTATATTTTGCTGTGTATATGATCGATATTCCATTATAACTGACAATATGCTTTTGTCTGCCCACTAACTAAATAAACATGTATGACCTTGTTATCACATGATATTGCAACCAATCATGGTAAGATGTTATCTTATTGGTTCATGTGTATTAGCCATTTTCATATATACTTTGCATTGTACATTTTAACTGTTCTGGTTCCCACGTTTCGTACACTAAGTACCATTTCCACTCACACTCTTGTGTGACAATTATTTTCCTTGTCTGGAAAATACAAGTATCATCGTAAACCTGGTGGTCTTCTGATTTCCCTCTTTCCGCGTCAGGACTATTGACTACTCGACGAGTACATAACATAATTGGCGACGGGGTAAACTCTAATAACTCACTTAGCAGCAGTACATAACAGAAGATCAACCAGGAAATTATTTAGCGCTGATTGTTGTTAACCTTATTCGTGTGAAGACTAGACGAACATAATACTTTAGAATCGACCTATTTAATCCGCCACTGTAGAACTGAATAATTGATAAGAATTAGACAACACTATGGAAACCAGTATGGTTGTTTTCTCGTGAGATCTGGTAGCACACTGCATAGTTTATCAAGAGAGAAGTCGTCTAGTTATACTGAAACAAATGGATATTTTTTCAGTGTTATTTGTCTTCTCTAAACCAGATGGTAATCAAACCATATATAAAAATAAAAATGTGGACTAAACTCATTCAAATTACCTTTTCAAATAATTTGTCATCACGTGCACTAATTACTCTTGGATGCTTTAATCGATATGTAGCCATACGATTATGTGAAAATTTCTTGTTAAATAAAGCTGTTGACTCAGCTATTGAATTAAATGAATTCATTTCATTCACCTCATTAGTAGGATGCAGACAGTCGGCAGATAGGTTAACATTTGGACCACCAGGTCCACTTGGACCTGGTGTAGACGGGCTATGAATAACAGATGCTGATGATGAAGACGGTATACTTGGGATAACAGTATCAGTAGGGATTGTAGTTGTAATAGTAAATGTCTTGGTTGTTTCGGTGTTTTCTGTTTGTAAATCAAACTGCCAGGCATCTATAATTTAAGTTTTTTTTAAAAACATAATAATAAAAAGGCAGATATTATGGTAAAAAGAAACACAGAGAGTTTGAGCAAACAGAAAGTAGAAGACAACTGAAAATCATTTGGTTTACAGGATGGACTTCCTGAAGTCTTAATGAGAAAGGGTAACTTGTAGGCTCGAGTATATAGGCCAACTGGTAGTATGCTCGCCTAGTTATCTGAAGATCCCTAGTTCGATCTACGGTGGATGTGTACTGTTGAACCGTCTAAAGCTACGACGAAACATATGATTCATACTCCATGGTTTTGAATGGTTCTTTAAGCAGTATCAGATTGTGATAAATTCTAATTTGAAAACTGAAATCGTTTGAATTATTATGTAAAAAGTAGACTGATAATTCAGTAGAATTTCTTCAATGCATTGTCTGATCTATTTCTGTCAGACAGGGGTTCAAATGGCAGTAACAACAGCAAATTTACTTAACATTCGAAGGAATCAGCATAGAAAAAGTACTTGGACAGGACAATATACACATTTTTACAGCTTCGCTCCTATCAAGTACAAAAGAAATTTAGTGAAGACCCTCAGCCACAGATTTAGATATATATGCTTAGAAGAAGTAATTTAAGATGAATTAAGCATTGTATATGATACTTTGATCGAAAATGGCTATCCCGCCAAATTAATCAAGAAACACATGACAAAGAAAGCGGAGAACGACTACTCACTATCTGTAATTAAAAGAAGCCTCTTTATATACGACTGCAATTCAAGGGCGATATACCAGGTGAGATAACTATGAAGAAATTAAGAAAATCAGTTCAAAGAACTTTTAATACTGGTAAACTACAAATCTTATTTTCTACACGACCAGTGGTGATTTCTCGATTAGAAGATGAAGTTTCTAGACTAGCCACTTCCAATTGTATCTTCTACCAATTCAACTGAGCTTGTGGACCCACTTATATTGGCTGTTTCTCTAGGAACTTGATTTCTCGTTCTCACTCGGGAACATCTACCACTATGACTAAGTAAAGGTGTAGTTAAAACCATTAACAGTTCGATATTGGACCATCTGGTGCAAACCGGCCACAAAGCCAGTGTGGAAGAATCCTTCTCTATAATCTACAGGGTTCCTAATAAATTGCCAAAATCATCGAAGCACCAAATGCTCCAAATAGCAGAGGCTATTGCAATTCACCTCAAAAATCCAGTGCTCTGAGTTCAAAAGAAGCAAGTCCAGCCCCTACTACTGCCCTGGCCTCCAGTAGAGACCATAAATTAATGAATTTGTAATATAATCTTTCCTAATTTTTCTGACATTCAGCTTATTTTATGTTGATGCTATTGAGCTGTAATATATTTATATTATTGATTCGATGTTATTTAAACATTAATGTTGTTCATAACAATAATTCATTCATTCACTATAATGTATATATAACTGTAGAGCCTGATGATGAAGTTATCGAAAAGAGTCCTCTTTGTTCAGTATCCATTCTTTTGAAAAACTAATAATGTATCCGCGATTTCCAAAGAAATTGATGCTCTTTCTGAGATTCAAACTCATGTCGCTCACTTTTACGGTTCGTGACATCATCAATGACCTATTCGTCAGTGCTATTTGCCAATCAACTCCAACTATGAAACGCAACCCAACCTTTTCTCTTCACCAGTGTTATTACTGGCTTAGCGACGTTAAAGAGTGCGCTGGCCGGGGATCGAACCGCGAACCACCTGCGTGGTGGGCGACGCTATGGGTTAAGGAAGAACCATTAATTACTATTGGTATCGATCAAAAGTATGACTGTGAAAGGAAAACGACAAGAAAACTAGAAATCCTCAATTAAATGACATCATGTTAAAACTTGAAGACAACATCAAAACATCCACACAATCAGGTGATATGTAACCAGAGACGGAGGTTTTCGGTTCAGTGCCACGACCACTTCAAAATCACTTCTATAAATTCTAACGCTGTTTGTCTAATTAATGTTGTTCATACTATTGAAAGTAACCATAACTTACGTTTAACAAGACTTCCTAAACCATTTAAACGATTTTGTAAATTAGATTTTTCTGTATTTAATTCAGTATTATCAATTATTGTTTGACTATCACCAGAACCTATAAGGGAAAGATATCAAAGTAATCAATAGAAAATACTATACAATTTATAAAAATAATTATAATAATCATAATAGACGTTGAATGCAAACATTAACTTCCAACTTTTTATCACATACAATATCAAAGTTAGCGGCTGATTAAGATACACAGTTGAAAGTAGACCATTTGAAAAAACGCAAATCTTTTAAATATGAGTATTTTGCAAACATTTCTCCCTGGAATCGCTAAAATACAAAACTGTTGTCAGGCAAGTTTAATTCACATCATGGCTCACAACAGTGTATGACCTTTAAACCTGAACTTCATTCATCGGTACATACACTGTAGACAGTGTATTGATCACAGTCGACCAAGGAAAGAAATTTAAGTAATTCAAGACGATAAACGACAATCTAAAGGTAGGCATGAGCACCTACAAAATTTTCCCTCAATAAATGGTAATGCACTTAAATTAATGACTAATTACACTAGCTAAAATCCTAGACACCCAATAATGACTACAAATCACTAAATACGTCTAACAGAATAGAGCTAGTCGAGGACAGGGAAACCATGTTCAAAAGGAAACCGATTCTAAAAGTAGTCGCCACAAAATTCAAACCGATTGGAAACAGTCAAAACACCCCTCTCTCTCTCTCGCTCACACACACACACACACATCAACCTGAATCATATTCAACTCACACTAGAAACTCTTGACTCTGTCAAACACCTCACTACAACAACCCCGTCTACATTGAACAAACCCTCTACCAAATCAAACTCATTCTACCACATACACATACATACATCATCAGTCGGTAAAGTCAACATTTCCATTCCACATGGGAGACATCAGTACATTTGATGTGTTACCTACAATTGCAGTTAACCAGTGGAAATAGGTAAGGTGGAATGCCGACACATGAAAAAAGTAGACTCCATGCTCTACTTTCAATCAATACACAAAGACAAAGTGGCGAAGAACATGTCCATCCAACAACAGTGAATACATCATCTCCAATATTGTCTTCTCTGTCGATAATGTTTTGCATCATTCATTCCATTGGTTCAAATGCTGGTCAGTGAGTGTCAGTCAGTCCTCACTTGACACACTCATTGATTCGTATTCACAAAGAAAAATGGCCGCCTTGGTAGTAGTCTGAATTGAGTTACACCAGCCAATCTCGCTATACGCGCTCAGCACAGGCATTCTCAATCCGACAATCACACCTCCCCCTCCTAAGGAAACCCTCAATCACCGGGTATGCGGTGCAATTATCAGAGCCGTTTCTGTTAACCTGCACTCTTGTTAGCAGAGCCTCTCATCACGAGAGTTAGGTGCTGCTTGTCTCAGACCTTCCCGCAAGGCAGAAATGGACAACTAAGCGTCCGTCGGTAACCTCACAGTGGCTATCTCCAAGGCGGCCGACAGTGAGTAAACTCGTATGCTCTATAAATCACGAATCCTAAAATTCATAACAAAAACTCTATTTGCACACATTGCTCAAACAAAGTCATTTGTTACACATAGTAATTCCTAATGCATATTCATACCGAGAAGACAAAGGCCGAGCACTGAAGCAACCCACTTCGCTTCCTCTTATGTAATAACTCAGTCTTGTGTATAAACTTTATTTAAGTAGTATATACAGTTCCGACGAAGTTTTAGATAGATGACTACCTCCCACTGGTTATGGTTCAGTGTGTTTTGATTATATTCTTGCTTAAAATTCGAATTACGAATATTGCTAAGTAAACTTAATGACAGAAAGGTAAAGCTGTAAATTCAAACAACTCGTATCAATGGCGTGCCCAGTCTGTCATGTGCTCTGATTGTATTGTCATTACTTTTAGTGCCGATATTTCCGTCATAATGCATCATATTTTCTACGGTTCTTATCGTTTTCTTTGAGCAAGCTGATTTCAGCAAACACTGATTCCTGGGTCACAAGGTGGCTGTCTTCATACTTTTCAGGTAGAAAACAACATACTGTTTTGAATGAAAAGCACTCCACTTCGTTGCTAACGGAAACTGGTATGCCTCAATGCGCTGGACTCTCTCCATTCCTTTTTCTTTCTTTTTGCATGACTCTCCATATTCTCCCAAATCTAACTTCGTTAAATATGCCGATTATCTTACCATTTTTGTTGCAGTAGTTTCTGCTTTGGATTGTTCTTATATGAGAAAAATTTTGTCTGAATCTAACAAATGGTCTCACCTAAATGGTCTTAAATTAAATCTAAGTGTGATATTGTTGATTTAAGTTTCATATGCGAACAAGACTTAAGTGGATTAATCCAGTCGCATAGTTCCTATAATACTGACGGTACTGTATTAGGGAGTAAATCGAATATCTCTCATCTTGGTAACAGTTCCTCTTCGAACCTCTGTCGGTCGTCTCACATCCTGTTGATTTCTAAGAAAATTTTTCCTTAAACTTATTACATAAAGCTGAAACTTTCTGGCATAACTCAACCTCTTCTTTTACTGTTTCTTAATTCATGTATCCTGCCCATTCTCCTTTAATGGTTCGCCATTATTCTTCCCTGGACTTCTCAACAAAGACCTTGTCACAATACGTAGAATATTGAAGGCTGTAGGTAAGGCTAGTGGTGTGAGCTTGACTCAGCTAATTGATATTATTGTCAATAGGCACTTCACTTCTTGTAAGCATTTGGCTGAAGTCATTTTTTCTGATACTGAACATCCTCTTTATTCTCAACCTTCTCTTTGTATCTCTTCGGGTAAACCCAAAAGAAACTACATAAGAATTTACACTCGTACAACTAAATATACGGATCCTGCCATAACATATTTGGCACAGGCTTTTGTGAAGAATTAAATGTCAGTTAGGCTGAGGATTCTGTACACCGTATGAAAGTTTTCCTCAGGATAAAGTTATCTTATTATTTCTATTATTATAGAGTATTCCTTAACTTTATGGCATTGGAAAAGCTAATGATGTCACAGGATATCACTTCCTAGTTTTTATTTTGTCTCATTACAGATAATAGATAAACAATTAGTGAAGGCAAAGGAACATTACGGAACCGTTACATCCCTTTGTAGAAGTCTTCAACAGTCTGAACCAATCAATAGAGCCCATAACAATCAAGTTACGTGGGACATTACAAGTTCATATCCAATGCTCATTAGGGAACAGCTACAAGACAATTTCTAATGTAGCTCCAAAGGCTCCACCGACTCGATGTAAGGAATGATACTAAACCTTATACAGTGGGAGGTAGTCATCTATCTAAAACTTCGTCGGAACTGTATATACTACTTAAATAAAGTTTATACACAAGACTGAGTTATTACATAAGAGGAAGCGAAGTGGGTTGCTTCAGTGCTCGGCCTTTGTCTTCTCGGTATGAATATGCATTAGGAATTACTATGTGTAACAAATGACTTTGTTTGAGCAATGTGTGCAAATAGAGTTTTTGTTATGAATTTTAGGATTCGTGATTTATAGAGCATACGAGTTTACTCACTGTCGGCCGCCTTGGAGATAGCCACTGTGAGGTTACCGACGGACGCTTAGTTGTCCATTTCTGCCTTGCGGGAAGGTCTGAGACAAGCAGCACCTAACTCTCGTGATGAGAGGCTCTGCTAACAAGAGTGCAGGTTAACAGAAACGGCTCTGATAATTGCACCGCATACCCGGTGATTGAGGGTTTCCTTAGGAGGGGGAGGTGTGATTGTCGGATTGAGAATGCCTGTGCTGAGCGCGTATAGCGAGATTGGCTGGTGTAACTCAATTCAGACTACTACCAAGGCGGCCATTTTTCTTTGTGAATACGAATCAATGAGTGTGTCAAGTGAGGACTGACTGACACTCACTGACCAGCATTTGAACCAATGGAATGAATGATGCAAAACATTATCGACAGAGAAGACAATATTGGAGATGATGTATTCACTGTTGTTGGATGGACATGTTCTTCGCCACTTTGTCTTTGTGTATTGATTGAAAGTAGAGCATGGAGTCTACTTTTTTCATGTGTCGGCATTCCACCTTACCTATTTCCACTGGTTAACTGCAATTGTAGGTAACACATCAAATGTACTGATGTCTTCCATGTGGAATGGAAATGTTGACTTTACCGACTGATGATGTATGTATGTGTATGTGGTAGAATGAGTTTGATTTGGTAGAGAGTTTGTTCAATGTAGACGGGGTTGTTGTAGTGAGGTGTTTGACAGAGTCAAGAGTTTCTAGTGTGAGTTGAATATGATTCAGGTTGATGTGTGTGTGTGTGTGTGAGTGAGCGAGAGAGAGAGAGATAGGGATGTTTTGACTGTTTCCAATCGGTTTGAATTTTGTGGCGACTACTTTTAGAATCGGTCTCCTTTTGACCATGGTTTCCCTGTCATCGACTATGTTTATTCTTTGAGAAGTAGTTTCTGAGTTGCATTCATTGTTCATTCATTCTGAAACCTGTAAGGAAACAATTATATATGCACTCGCTCCTTAACACTTTTGAGTTCGTCGACTGCATACAAGACATGAATGTATCTAAGAAAATTATGTTGTCATTCAACATTGAGTCACTTTTCACCAAAGTCACACTCATGGAAACGGTCTGCTTCATATGCAGTTATATAGATGACAACCACCTCAGTATTGGAATACCAACAACATACTTGCAAGGATTATTATTGAGATGCACTCTGAACGTCCAGTTCACATTAAGCGACATCATCTACAGACAAAAAGATGGTATTGCAATGGGATCTCCGTTGGGTCCACTACTATCAGATTGCTTCGTGGCGAGCCTCGACAGAGGTCCACTAGAGCCAAGCATTGACAATTTGTGACTGTATAAAAGATACGTGGACGACATTTTCATTATTTGTGACAATAACAACGACCCCAATCTGCTGCTGAAGACATTTAACAATTGCCATCCATCAATAAAATTCACTCTTGAAATGGAAAATGAGTCAAAAATTCCGTTTCTTGATGTGGAACTAACAAGAAGAACTGATGGGACTCTAAGAAGATTGATCCATAGAAAACCTACGTGGAATGGTCAACTAACAAGCTCCTATAGTCGGGTACCCGTTCAACAAAAGCGGAATTTAATTAAATCACTTGCCACCCGAATCCGACGCATCTGTAGTCTCGACGTTCTGTGAACAGAATTAGATATTCTAAGAGAAGTCTTCATCCAAAATGGATACCCAATAAGATTCATCGACAAAAATATCAAACCAAGAATTTGGAGAAACGAAACTTTAATTGTGCCTAAAAAGAAACTCTACATGAGCTTGGATTTCAAGGGAGATTTAGCAAGCGATATTCTCAAGAGAAGGATCACATCATCTCTGAGAAGAACATTCTTTGCAGAAACGCTAAGAATAGTGTTCTCCATTCGCCACTGATCTTCAGAAGCCTCAAGGACAAGATCCCGCATCCGACCACTTCTATGTACATATATCAATTCACCTGCTGCTGTGGAGCCAAGTACATCGGTCGTTCGACGCGCACCCTGTCCAAGAGGATTCAAGAATACTATCCAGCATGGTTACGAAAAGGCAGTAGTGGTGCATTAAGGAGTGCGATAATTGAACACCTGGTTAATGCTGACAATAATAATTTGCTTTATTCCAAAGCAGTACTTGCGATACAGAATGGAATTCTCAGCATTTTACTACAGTATTGCATCCAGTTAGTACATTATCAATAAAATAAAATTCATTATGACAACAACATTTGGCATGTTGGTAGCAAAGCCAAAAATTGAACAGAGTGTTTGAAGGTGTTAGAAAAGTAGATGCTAGCATATTTACTGGCGTGAGCAGAAGAAAGAAACAAAGCAGCATATAACAGAGAAAAAGAGAGAGGGAAAAGGAAAAGAAAGAAAAACGTTGTACCTGTAAATGATATGAGTTGAAAAAATGAGATCCAGTTGTTCCACTGACTATTTAATAAGTTATAGGTAGTAGAGTAAGGGTTGGGTTATACCAGAATGTCTTAACTTCTTGATGTAGAAGGTAAGACGGAATATTTTCTTAGAAATCATCAAGATATGAGACGACCAGGAAAGATCAGCAGATAGAATAATGCCTAGGTATTTAATTTCCGACTTGGTTTCTATTTTAGTACCATCTATGTTGCATACCTCGTGAGTGGTAACCAGTTTGTTCATTCCATTTCAACAAACGCCTCCTTCAAAGTAATCTAAAGAGTCAAGAATAACCTATCAAAGGCAATACGGTTTCGTCTTCTTTGTATCGCTGAAGCTCTGGCCATTCACATAGAAAAACCGGAGCTGTGCATACAAAAGAAGATTACTCAACCACATTTACTGTCATGGTAACAACTTTTTTTGAGTTTTTTTGTTTTAATTTTGATGACTTAATTTTGTTTCTTTGCCTGTTCTTTAATTGCTTAGAATTCTTGTATTCACTCAGAACTTTACGTAATTCCGTATTATCTACTTTGTTTCCATGTGCATCCCGAGTACAACTCACTCATCAAACTATTCATATTATTATTGCATAACTTCTTTTAACTACTGTTTGTGACAACTCATCACCTTTGTTACTACCCTAATTTCATTAACACCTAATTTTCTTGACTTGTATTACCAATCTTCACCTGTTTAGTTAAAATAACCTTAACCAATAGTAATTTTGTTTGACAAACTTAATGTACACATACATACAAAATAACACAAATATATTTGCGATTGTACAGCTAAGAAAACGAATTCGCCGAAAAGAGTCTCTTCGCTGATCTACGTGTTTTATTTTCATTAATGCCTGAATGGAGATTATCCATGCATTATTGGTGTGTCTAAAATTTTAGCCAGTATAATTAGGTGTTTATTCAGTTGTATCACCATTTTTGGTAACTGGAAAATTCTTAAACTTTCTGTTTTACCTGGTATATATTCGATTGATCGAGTGATACGTGTTATGATATGAAAAGTGAGAACTTGTTGTAATGCAGGAAGATAAGTGGTCTATTAGCTTTTGCTTTCTATTCACTGCACTCATTGCTTCTAATGTCCTTTATTCAATGTTGTGCTTACGTACTTTTTTTAGATTTGTGAGTTAAAGGATTCCTTTGCAATGCATAGTTTGTTAACTGTCACATGTTTAACGTAGAAATTCTTTCAACTAGGGTTATTAACTGGCCACCAATCAATATTATCTAAAACGAAACATTGAATTTCTGCTATGCTTCAGGTTTGTGATAAATATCTAAAATGTGTACTACTGACAAGATTTATGAGTAGTGTATAGATGCAGATATAAATATATGTATATCATCTGAAATAGTATCGAGTGTTAGAGAGTTGGATTTAATGGTGAAGAGAAGAAATGAAGGACTCTTATGAAGCAACCTGGAAAGCATGAAAGGAAGATAAAGAAACACAATACGGAAGATATGTTCATCCAAATTGTGATTTTAACGAATGGTAAACGTATTTCGCCTAGATCTGTGTTCTACGGGTCCAATTTTATCCTGCTTATCTTCGTCCAAAAGTTTAGTTTAGTTGACTAGTATTTGAAGAGCTTAAATTGATTGCTGAGTCATGCATAAAAAGTAGTGAAGAATTCATCATCTCTAATTCTCTACAAATGATTTTCATGGATGAGGCTGTTCACTTTCTGATCATGAAATGAACCAGAATTCCTAAACACTACTGCCTATTAGACTGATACAGAAAAATAAAATCAATAGATGACGAAAAGTAAACTGTGAATCGGTAACACAGAGGTTAGTACGCTCGCCGCCCATACACATAGTCCGGGATTCGATCCCCAGCTGACGCACACCTGATATCACTGGTCAGCCTGCTAAACTTGGCCTACTGAAAATTCCATAGTTGTACCATAAATACTGTGTGGAATCAAGCCATAATAAAATTAAAAAGTTAAAATAAAATAAATAAATACCAGAGACATCCGATACTTCATTTAGTCTGTGAATAACTGTATGCGTTGGATTCAACCTGTCAGAAGTGGAATTTTCATGATAAGGTTGATTTATTGACGACGATGGTGGTGATGATGATAATAAATGCGTGGATTCCATTAATGTACCGCTTGTTTCTAAGGTACGTTTAGCTAAATTATTTAAAAATGTGCTATTTTCAAGTAACTGATATTTTCCTAACTGCTTAATCATAACATCTTTATCTTGAATAAGATAATTTTTTAAATTGTTACTATTTTTAGCATTTAATGGTAATTTATTCCATTTGCCACGTGAATCTGTCGATTTAGCATTTAATCGTCTTAATATGTTGTCTTTTTTCTTTCGGATAGCATTACTAAAAAAACAGAAAAGAAAAAGAAAAACAGAAGAAAGAAAAACATCAAATTAGACAATCGACCCAAAAGGAAGTAAAGTTTTACGCGTATATTTTCAAAGTTTGTTACACTGAGAACCCCAAGTTACCACATATTATTATTACTAATATTCCATAAGTTCCTAGAGAAACATACGGCTTCAGTACCCACCACCACTTAACTCCCTTCTCTGCCGTCATTTTTAGCTGGATCCACGATTCTTATAAACCTTCATTTCCTTTTCATACTGTGGTGAGCGCTGGCTGCTAGCCAAATTGGTAGACAGTAATTTACGTCAATGTTTACGTCCCCAATACTGGTCATGAGAAAAAAACGAGAACAAAGACTGATTCAACAACCAATCACAGCAGACTTTGCGTAGGCGGATACAGTTAGCATGTAGATGATCTGATATTCAAGAAACAGCTACAAAGTGATGAAAGATTAACTTTCAGTGAGAAACAACCAATCATAAAACAGTTTTTCCGCTAACAATAATCTATAATAATGTAGGTGAAATTCTATAAATATGTGTCGATTTCGTAAATAAACGATCTGTTACCTGGCCCTTGCCTTCTGCTGTTACAATACGATCTTTATGTCACAAATGAATCCATGCCCAACTCCTCGTTTTCTATTCGGATCATACTGCTGTGCCGTGATATTACTCACTGGTATCCTCAGAGTATGTCAAATCCATCTCTATTTCCTTCTGCATATTTGTAAGTCAGTAGGTTGTTGGCTGGTTCGTTATCAATCAGAGTTCTTTATTGCTTGTCCTTTTTGCTCAGCTATCTGATCTTCAATATGTTGTCAGTTATTGCAACTGTTGATGAAAGTTTTGCAGTAGCTTATTGGAAGTATTTCAGTGACGTGTGCGCCAAGTCTGTAAGATAGTTTAAATCACTGATTCGACTTGTTCCTCATGTTGATTGCTATAACTTTCCACACTGAATTTAGAGTAAGGAAGGTTGGCCTGGCTTTTCCGATCTTCGTTGGATTCGACATCCTCATCCGTGTCAACTGCAGCTGAAGAGATGTTTCTTCCCCAGTTAAATGAAAGCGACGACTTTCCTTACATTTCTCCCATTGATTATTATATTATTATTATTGTTCCCTTGGGTTCCTAGTGGAACATTGGGCTTCAACTGCACGTCTCCACTTGCTTCTGTCTTCCTTCTGCTGTACTTTTCACCTGCATCCATCTTAGTCCATACTCTTTCAACTCCCCTTCACACCATCTCCTCCATGTCATCCTTCCACTGACGTCCCACTCGCCGCTTCCCTTTCGGCCTGGTTCCACTCGAGCAATGGCCTGACGCGCGCCCCATGTCACCCAGCGGCCTCCTCAGCGAGTGTCCAATCCATCTACACTTTCTCTTTCATACTTGTTTCGTTTGTTCCCAGCCACAGTTTCTTGTTGGTGATTCTTTCCGGTCCGGCCATCTGATCTTCAGTATAGAATGAAGACAGTTGTTGATAGAGGTCTGCAAAAGGCTGTTGGAAATATTCTTTGTGACCCGCCCACAAAGTTTCTGATCCGTATAGAAGAACTGACTGACTTCACGTTTGCATTGAAAATCCGACTGGATTTTGTTGTTGATGCTGAGTGACAAAGATTTTCAGATTGGTTTCAGGTTGATGAATGTGTTTCTTGCCTTCCCGATTCTCGCTCAATTTGACATCCTCTTCCGTTCCAACTGCCTGTAGTTGAGACAATGCTCCCTAGATGTGAATAAATGAAGTAACCTCTTTCAATTCCCTTCCGCTGACAGTGATTGATAATCATTGTTGTTGCGATATGTTCATCACCTCTGTCTTGTCAAAAATCATTTGAAGTCCTTCTAGTCTCCGCTGCTTTTTCTGCTATTATGTTAGCTTTCGCTTGGAGATCTTCAAGTTTGTGTGATATTAAATATAAGTCGTTTGTGAAGTTCAGGTCTTCTTGGGTCTTCTGTCAGTTTAATGTATCCCTGCCTTCTCTCTTCGTACAGCCTGTTGCATGATCTAGTTTACTGCAATCAGAAATATTACCGGTAATAATAAGTACTACTTAGTGGTAGCTGAAGACAAAATATGAAAGCGTAACTCGAATAAGGAAATACGACATTACAACTAATATGATGACGCAGCCTTGTAGTGTGTGCTACTGATAAGATCTATCAGTAGTATATAGAGAGACGTTCACCGACATAAAATATAAATAGCGGAGAGGTCGATTCGAATTCAAAGAGAGTAAACGATTCAACGTTGTGGAGAAACATCGGAGACACGAAAAGAAGACAAAGAAACCCAATACGAAGGACAGAAGTAGCACAACACGGAAGATCTGTGCAAATGGTGATTTTCAGATAAAGTGTACATAATATCGTTATACAGAGATACCAAATTCCAACTGAGCATTCGATTATCGTGTGTTCTACCTATACAACTGGATATTTTATGCCGATGAAAGTCTCTTTGATGTGGTTTTGTTCTCTGAGCTGGATGGTTAATTTGCTAAGCTTTCATCACCCCACTGGGTGACATCTTCAGCGCATACTTCAATTTGAAGTGAGTTTTTAGATTTCTCCACGAGTTTATTAATCATCTCTCCTGGTGACCTTGGACGTGATTGGTTGTTTGTGTGTGTTTTCACACCTTCTAGGTTACTTGTATTGGAACTGATTGTTTCTTTGACTTGAACTTTGACCCTTTGTGTGTGAAGTTTCTTTCTTATTGGTTGATAAATTTTGTCTATCTCGATGTGTCTATTGATTGATGATTCACTGGAATGCCAAGCTTCTAAAAATTCCCTAGCATTCTTGTTATTTCCTTTGTCTAATATTTGAAAACATAATTCTACCAAAGATCAAACCCAAGATTTGGATACGATACGTCGACGACACATTTGTAATAATCAAAAGAAACGAATTAGATAAAACTCACAACTTAATAAACAACGTCTTCAACGACATCAAATTCACAAGAGAAGAGGAATCCGAGAACAAAATACCATTTTTGGACGTCTTAGTCAGGCGAACAATCACAGGGGAGTTAGAAACTCAAGTTTATAGGAAATCAACTCACACAGACCAAATACTGAATTACAACAGCAACAACCCAATAACACACAAAAGGAATTGCATACAAACACTATTCAAAAGAGCAAGGACTCATTGCAGCACTCCCACCTTAAGGAAAATTGAAGAAAAGTATCTCATGGACGTCTTCCAAAAGAATGGATATCCACGGAATTTCATCAAGAGACATATACCTCCAAACCAACCTACCAAAGCAAAAGCCACCAAGGAAAGCACAAAGAAATTCGCCTTACCATATATAAAAGATATCTCAGAAATCACTACAAGACTCTTCAAACCTTTAGGAATTGACGTCGTACACAAACCAACAAAGTCGCTTCACTCAATTCTATGTCAACCAAAAGACTCAACAGCGAAAGAAGACAAAACCAACATCATCTACAAAATAAACTGTAACAACTGCGAAAAACACTACATTGGCCAAAGTTGACGTCCCCTTCGTCTTCGTATCCACGAACATAAGCTAGCCGTCAAAAGACATGATATCCACTCCCTCATTTCACTACACACAGACAACCACGGACATCAATTCGACTGGGACAACGCTCAAATATTAGACAAAGGAAATAACAAGAATGCTAGGGAATTTTTAGAAGCTTGGCATTCCAGTGAATCATCAATCAATAGACACATCGAGATAGACAAAATTTATCAACCAATAAGAAAGAAACTTCACACACAAAGGGTCAAAGTTCAAGTCAAAGAAACAATCAGTTCCAATACAAGTAACCTAGAAGGTGTGAAAACACACACAAACAACCAATCACGTCCAAGGTCACCAGGAGAGATGATTAATAAACTCGTGGAGAAATCTAAAAGCTCACTTCAAATTGAAGTATGCGCTGAAGATGTCACCCAGTGGGGTGATGAAAGCTTAGCAAATTAACCATCCAGCTCAGAGAACAAAACCACATCAAAATCATCCACCTGAGCTACAAATCTTCTCTATCATATCTAAAGTCTCTTTAGATACTATTGATAAATCTTATGAGTAGCACACGTCACAGTATAAATTCCTCAAAGTCATTGTGATGGGCCATCAGAAGATTACATCATCGAAACTCGTCGACTACATATTCCAGTTGTTTTATGGAACTTTATCAGGGCATGCACCCTTCTTTAATATACATAAAGATATTATTACAAACAAAGATGATATTTACTGTTGTCCGGTGTAATTTAGAATAAAGAAACTATTCTAAGTTGGGATCGGGGTGAAATTTTTCTATGGCAAATTCCCTAGTTATGCTTACCCGGCCGATAACTGCTACCTTGTCGTGGTGGACGGGCTTGAATACCGTAATGACCCAACATGCTAAACTGACTGAGACTCTCTGCCTGCAGGTCCTAATATATCAGGAATATTGTTTGGATAGCGGTTAAACTTAAAGCAGTTACTATGGGGTACATGGGCTCCAGTATCCAATCGGATCAAATGGCGTATGAACCCATATGGGTCACCGGAAACCATGGGAATGCAGCTCCGGACGCTGCTCCGATGCCTCGTGGATTAGATTCCAAGTCAAAGGCTCGGGCGTGGTCCCTTAATAAAACCACCTGCTTCGGTCTGGGTGCCCGGTCAGTATCTCAGCCCTCACACAATAAATTGAATAAAGCAACAAACAATCAATGAAACTTATCGCGTGCTATTACATGTGTTGCAGTTTCCTTCTTTCTTCCCTTCCCAATGATAGTTAACGAATACTGTTTGAACTTGTTAAGCATGACTGTTTTCCTTCCAGATGCAGTTGTTTATCCGTTCTCTACTTATATATATATATTTTTATTTTTCTTCTTCTTTCTTTTGATCTATGTTGTTTTATTATTATTGTGTGGTGCATCCTTCTTGGTGCCATATTGTATCAAGTTTTTATGCGTTTAAATAAATAAATAAATAATAGTTATGCTTTGCAATCAAAAGCGTGTCAATCCAGAGAATTGAAGTGGCATCTATTAAAGACTGTGTCAGTATGGAACTTCTGATAGACTCTAGGACTTCTTTTCCTAACTACACTCGACAATATTCAAGAAGGAGATGGTAGGCTTGTTGCATCGTCATTCTACCAGTGTAAATATCCCCAGGAGAACAATTTTTTAAACGATTATGTCAGTTCATATGATAACAATTCAGTTAAATAATAATGTCAACTTTAAGTTAATAATCAATTGTGTTTAGATTAAAATAAAATACTCTAACCATTTATGTAGTTCATTTGAATGAATTGAACTAGAATTTGATGTTTGATCTTCATCATCTTCAGTGATAAGTGAATTCTCCTCTCCATCTTCAGGTTTATTCATATTTTCATTTGATTGTGAAGGTTTATTGATTTTTTGTAAAGTAGGCATTTCATTCAATTTTGCTAATACCATACTTATACTTGGCGCTTCTAAAGGTCGTGGAGTAGTTATATCCGATGAACTGGATTTAAATGAAATGCAGAAGAAATGTCAAAATATCAAATATTTTGAAATACTTCCCCTAAAAGTGCATATATATATGTATTGAGCATCAAGCTTGAAACCTGGCATGTGGTTCACCGTTGTCAAATATAATATGATAATACAAGACTGCTCTGCATTGACTTCTAGTTTAAAGATAAGGAGTGAAACGGTTAAGCGTGTTGACCACCTCATTTATTTGGAAATTTACATTAGCCCTAATGGACTGGTTTCTGACGAAATCTGTGCACAGATACAAAAAGCACCTTCTAACCGATGTCATCTATGGCGTAGATGTGATATCTGGCTGTCGATCAAAGGACGTGTGCACTGAGCAACAGTTCACTTCATCCTTCTTTCCGCCTCTGAGACATGGTCAATGAAAGTGGAAGATTTAAAGAGGCTGGCAGTCTTCGATTACAGATGTATACATTGTTCTCCACGTTAAGCCAAAAATATGCTGAGTAAGGCGTAGAATGTTAGGTAAGGAAGAAAAGTCAGTCGATAAGGCTGTAAAGCTGCGCAGGTTACAATGGTTGGGACACTTGTTAGGCATGCAAAGTTATTGCTTTCCTCGTCCATCAGTGTCAAGTGATGTAGTATTAGGTTGGAAAAAGTTGGGAGTGAAGAAATAAAAACCCTGCATGAGTCCATGAAGTCTTTTACTGTTACTTTGAGCCATATCGGCAGTTTTAGACTTCCTGATTGGGGTCCTCGAGACACCAAGAACCATTGGCTTGAGAATAGCGGTAAATGCATTCACTCTTTACGAGCTTCTGGATCCATCAAATTCTCACTATTTTCTATACACTTATTCTTCCTTCAGTTTGTTATAATTAATGACTTTGACTAATGGAAGAGAGAAGGACGGTGAAACAAAAGATTATCCAGTGCACTGACGAGCAACAAAAACAGGAGTTGAATGCAAGCTACAATACACTGAACAAAATAGTAAAGAAGAGTGTCATGGGAGACAAAAGAAAATATTATGAAGCCATGACAAGTGAAGCAGAATAAGCTGCAGGCAAACAACTAGGCGCCTATCGGGCTAAAATTCGACACAAATTAAGCCAGTCAAGGATGACAATGGAAAGTCAATCACCAAAGAAGTGGAGCAGGGAAAACACTGGACTGGACACTTCAAAAGACTTCTAAATCGACCGCCTCCTACAAAGCGTCCAACAATACCAACAACGGAAGCAGAACTACCAGTGAACATTGACCCCCGACGAAATCAGAAGTCCTGAATGCAATCAAGATGCTAAAAGCTGGAAAAGCAGCAGGACCAGATGGAATCCCAGCAGAAACACTGAAAACGGACCCAGAGACAACAGCGGACTTGATGACGCCATTAATGGAGAAGGTGTGGAAAGAGGGCAAAGCACCTGAGGATTGGAAGAAACGATACTTATTCAGACTACCAAAGAAAGGAGACTTAAGTCAATGCAAGAACTGGCGCGGTATTATACTACTGTCTATTCCAAGCAAATTACTAAGCCACATCATCCTGGAGAGAATCAAACAAGCCACCCTGGATGAAAAAATATCAACCGGAACAGGCTGGATTCAGGAGAAACAAATCATGTATTGATCAAATCGCCACACTACGGATCATCATTGAAGAGAGCTTAGAATGGCAGTCACCTCTCTATCTCACTCAACTTCATCGACTTTGAAAAGGCCTTCGACAGCGTCGATCGAGAGGTCGTTTGGCAACTACTTCTCTACTACGGGATGCTATCGACAATTATACATCTCATCCATACAGTTGTATGACAATGCTGCATGCCAAGTAATCCACAACGGGAAACTTACGGAATCCTTCGAAGTAAAGACAGGAGTAAGACAAGCTGACTGCCTACTATGGCCAATGATTTTCCCAATTGCAGTAGATTGGATAATACGACAGACAGCGAGCAGCAAGGAAACAGGCATAAAATAGACTCTCACAAAAATCTTGGAGGATCTGGACTTCCCCGATGATATATGTCTGATTTCCCACAAACTGGAAGATATGCAAGTGAGAAGCAACGAGTTGGCAGAAGAAGCATCAAAGATAGGACTCCAAGTAAACATATAAAAAATAGAGGTTTCGAAGATTCCTAGCCAACATCAACAGCAACAACAACAGACAACAATCAGAATAAATGGGAGGAACCAGAAAGAAACAACCTCTTTACATACTTACTATCTGGGAAGCATCGTTTCAACTACAGGTGCAACTGACGAGGATATCAAAGCGAGGATCAGAAAAGCAAGACAAGCTTTCATTACTCTCAAGTCTGTGTGGAGTTCAACAGCAGTCAGCATGAAAACGGAAATAAGATCCGGATTTTCAACTCCAATGTGAAGTCAGTCAGTGCTACTATACGGATCAGAGACTTGCACTGCGCGTCATAAAGAGCATCTCAAACAAACTTCAGACCTTCATTAACCACTGTCTTCGCTCAACACTACTCAAGATCAGGTGGCCAGAAAAGATCAGCAACAGGGATCTCTGGCAACGAGCGACCCAACCAGGAACCGATTGTGAAACAAATAGATAGGAAGAAATGGAGTTGGATTGGTCATACTCTAAGGGAACCATCAAGTGACATCACTAGGCAAGCCCTCGAGTCGAACCTGAAAGAGAAGCGGCGAGTTGGTCGTCAGTGTGAGGGTGACTTGGAGGAGGTCATGTGAAGATGAGATGAAAGCGTGTGGGCAGACTTGGAGCGGGGTAAAAACGTTGGCAGAAAATCGAATGAAATGGAGACGCGCGGGTGAAGTCCTATGTTCCTCTAGGAATTAAAGGAAATAATAATAATGACTTTGAATATTTCTGTGATTGTGTACTATGTGGAGGCTTCAACCGCTACACTTCTGTGCTAAAAATAAATGTTTAGCTTATCATATAACGTAATTTCATACGGTAGCTTGTTTGAAATCAGTTTCTGGGACATATGTTTTATGATTCAGACTATGGACTACACTCATTGTATGAAGACTGATAATCCTATCCAGTTACCCAGGATAAAGTAGATAAGACCACTTTGAACCCCGGAATCCACCTACTGTTAGTCGACTGCTTTAAGCCAATCAGACACGCCTCCGTATTCAACTGAAATGATTAACTTTGTTGATCATTTTACTTAGTCGAGAAGATCCCTTACCTACAAAGAACTGATAGTTAATGAAGTCTCAGTAAGATGCTAAAAATGAATGGTTATAGGGTGTCAATATATGTGTTAAATTTGGGCACTGTGGTAGTAAGTAATTGTTTGTCTATTAGATGTATCGCGTTGGTGGCATAGCTGTTAGGACGCTCGCCGACCATGCACATGGTCCGGAGTTCGATCCCCGGCCACCGACGCACTCCTTTACCTCACTAAGCCAGAAATAATCCTGGTAAAGAGGAAAGGTTGGGCATGAGATTAGCAACTCCATCCTGTAAAATAAACACTGCTACAGAAACTTCAAGCCACTAGCTTGAAGCCCTATGTTCCATAGGGGAACGTGAAGGAAAAAAATTAAATGCATCACACAGTGAAACAGTATTATTTGCTGGATGACCTTTCGAACAATATTTATTGTTCATAATAATATCAATTGTAATCACACGACTTTGAAACTTGAGTTTTATAGTTTTCTTTGTCTTCTCCTATTTGTCGTTGGGATACATACAACAGGATGGGATACGATGAGAGTTTTAAAATCTAATGTCACAGGGTGGAGGTAGAGATTGATAGCAGAAGCTGCAGATACCTGTAATGGGAATGATTCAACACCTGTTCATCCAGATTTCTGGAAAATTCTACTGTCCCAACGACGACAAATAAGAGAGAACGAAGAAAACCATAAAATTCAAGTTTCGAAATCGTATGATTATAATTGATATGATTATGAACAATAAATTGTGTTCGAAACGTTATCCAGCAAATAATACTGTTCCCCTGTGTGATACATCTAATAAACAAACTAATACGGAATTACTTACTACCCCAGTACCCAAGTTCTACACATATATTAACATAAACAATTAGGAATAACTTTCCATCGTGTATACATGATTTGCTCCAACCCTTATTACTGTACCCTCATGAACTAACCTTTTGTTTTCTTATTGAAACTTAGTCATTAATTTACACCCTCATACACACTCACAACGTTTTAAATCATTTTCTGCCCCGTCCTTGAGATTATCACTCACCCAATGATGTCTGCACAGTTTATCTCATTAGTCTGTCAGTCAGATAACAATCATCACATTTCGTGCCATGGTGGGCGTCAACCAATCAGAATCTAGCAAGCTGCTAACGCTTACTATCTGTTGGATATATGCCTACGAAGTCTACTGTGTGTCTTTGGAATTTAATGGTTTGAGGTCACGCAATAATTGACTACGACATTACCACGAGTTCATTATCGCCACTCAACATTTGTATTCACACTAGGTGACATTATAACATTCATACTAGGCTTTGTTACTAGTGGATTATTTCCTGACCCGAAACTAGTAAATTCCACACGGTGGGGTTGAGAATGTGTATATGTTTGTAAGACAAATAAGCATGAATGTGTCATAAAAAAGGCTTGAATAGTAGGGATGCTGGATTCTGATTGGTTGACGCTCATCAAGTGACAAAGTGTTGTTTCTTTTTATCCGACTAACAAACCAACGGGATAATTTGTGGGCACATATCATTTAAGTGTTGGTTTGTAGGGATTTGATTGGTTTCAGGATTTCATCATGAGCTGACAGTAGTTAGAGAACCATTGGAAAAACTGGGAGTACTTGACAGCTGTTTCGTCTTAGTTTGGGACTCTTCAGTAGTACGCACCCACCGGGATTCGAACCCAGGACCTTCGGTTACAAGGCGAGCTCGTAGACCATTAAGCCACTGGGACCCGATCCAATGGTCCTTGGATTCTAACTTCTGCCAATTCACGACATAGCGCGACCGCTAGCCAATGTCTTCGGCGAGTATTTGTCCTCACACCCGACCAGCTGCACCCAACTGGTCACATATCATTTACATAAATTCTTCTCCATTTTTTCCTCTTTTAGTTCATTTGTGTTTTTGGACCACTACATGAACTCACGCACGCCTTTAGTCGGCTATAAACATAATTAATGCAGAGTACTCAAAGGCAATGAAGGGAAAATATTGAAGAGGAGTGAATGTTGTTTCAGATGAAAAAAACAGCCTAACACGAAATACTGCCGAATACTATTTACTTGTGGTTCCTGTAGGAAAAGCAGATATTTAGCAGTTTAAGTACATTGGAAATTCTGTACAATGTGTTAAAATATTGTCTAGAATAATGCTATTGTTATAGATATTATTATTGGCTGACGGATCCAGGCTCATCCACCTGAAAAGTCCCAAACAAGAAGAAATATGTGTCCAGGATTCCACTGACCATCACCATTAACCAAAATAGCAGTGCTAATAAGTAACAATGACTGACAGAAGTAGGCTATTAGGTAGGATGTCACTGGCAGATTTTATTTTTATTTATTTATTTTTTATTTTTGATTACAGCTTGATTCCACACCGTATTTTTGGTACAAGTATGGAATTTTCAGCACGGATATCGGTAGCCCAAATTTTGCAGGCCGACCATCTGATATCAGGTGTGCATCGGCAGCGGATCGAACCTCGGACCATGTGCATGGTCGGTGAGAGTCCTAACCACTGTGCCACCGACGCACAGTGCGAGTTCGCCTTCTAAGCGGAAGGTTCTGGGTTTGAACCCTAGTGAGTGCGTACTGACGAGGAGTCTCACGCCGGGATGAAACGATTGTCTAGGAATCCCTGGTTCTCCAGTGGTTCTCTAGCTGATGTCAGCTCATGAACGAACCTATAAGGAATCGAATCTCTGCAAGCCAACACTCGGAAATAATAAAAGAGAAAATTCAAATGAAAGCAAATATTACAGTAAATGTTAATAACTAACTCTGATGCATTCTGCTGATTTTCTTCATGAATATTTTTATTTTGTAGTTTATTTAATCGTTCAAATTGTTCAAGCTAAAATATAAAAGTGAAAAATAATCGAGTTAAACATGATTACTAATCACTTTTCAAACAAAAAAAATTGCCAAATTAAATTACACCATTGATATTCTCCTCCCAGTTTTATCGTCTATAATAAATTTTCACTAGATCATTAGTGATTCATAGAGTGTCTTCCCTTGGTCTTCCGTCTCTAAAGAGGCTAAAGAACAAAATTTGCAGTATAAAATGTACACTTTTTTATTGTGAGGCTAAAATATACAACAGTATTAATTTTCTATAGTTGGTTTGTAAAGTTTAATTTTGTTTTTACGAGTTGATCGCGGATTGATATCAGTTAGAGAACCATTGAAAGCCAGTACTGGAGTACTGGACAGCTGTTTCATCCTAGTTTGGGAATCATCGTCAGTACGCACCCACCCCACAGGGGGTTCGAACTCATGACCTTCTGGTTACAAGGCAAGCTCGTATACCATTCAGCCACTGGGACCCGATTCAATAGCCAGCCTATGAATTTTAACTTCTACCAATTCGTGATTTAGCTTGACCACCAACCAATGTCGTTGGTGGGACATCTATCCTCACACTTGATTGGATGGACCTCACTCGTCACGACTTCTCACTAGAACTCCAGGAAACTCTCTCCTGTAAGAAGCTACTAGCGCGCATCAGAGAACCCCAGTGGGTGCGTACTGCCGATGATTCTCAAAACTAGGATGAAATAACTGTCCAGTGCTCCAGTGCTGGTTTTCAATGGTTCCGTGATCAACTCGTAAAAAAACAAACATAGTATTAACAAAATAAGAAGATATATTTTGTTACATTCTATTAACAGAATTTTTGTATGATGATTGTAGTTCAGGGAGGCAACGATGGATAAACTATGACGGGCCTAAACAGTTACAAACAACACAAAAAGAAAGTGGTTATTTATATTTATCATAAGTCTGCAAGAAGTTCTATTATTTGCCTGAGTAATAACAGCAACATACAGGGAAAAAAGACAACGTAACATTATACGAGTAACCAATTGGAAGGGATTAGAAATCATTTATGTGAGTTAAGATCAGTGGATCAGAAAAAGCCATGGTAACAATAGTGATGAGAATAGTGAAAAAGAAATCAGAAAGAAAAACAAAACAGAGTGCACAATTACGTAACAAGTGAAAAAAATTGATTAATCTTAGTTTACCCTAATCCGGGATCGATTCTTGGCCAGCGTACTCCTAAATCTTGCTCAGCGGGTAGCAAGTGTGATAAAGAAGGCAGATTATGCCTGAAGCTAGCAACTCTATCCCGTAAAAAAACAGAGCTCAAGTCTGAAGGCCTATATTCCTCTTGGTACGGAAACCGATGAAATAAAAGTCAGTAGGTTCGAAGAGTGTTTTATTCTTTGAAGTTTATTTAAACAACTAATGAAATTATTTCCTGAATACTGTAAGTAAATAATTGATATGTGACCATAGCTTATTGGATATTGTTTTTCAGCGGCAAATGAATAAACTACAGTTGAAAAGAGGTTGCCCACAATAAAACTTAGATGTTAATGACTGAAGTTGTCTGAACAACTAGTTGATTAGGGTAGATTTAGTTATCAACCAATACTATTTAGAGAATCGCTGGAGACCAGGCAGCATTGGCTGTATGCGATGAAGATATTCCTTGGTAGAGCAATGAAAGCTTCGCAAGTAAGCCATCCAGATCAGAGAACACAACTACATCAAAATATCTCAGTTTGTTTGACACAACTAATATAATTCTTGCTCTAACCAACAACTACTATTTTGTCCTTTTTTACTGAACAATACTCATGGATTTAAAGCAAACAGGAGATAAATAAACAGGATCCGTAAATGTTAACCATAATTCATAAGATTTAATTTACTAATCTCTAAATATACAGAATAACGATGGACAGAACATAAGGTTTTAAGCTTTAAAGTGTCAGTAGCAACAATGTTGTTTCAACAGGATGAGGTGGTTCGTCTTATACCCAGCCTTCCCTCTTTTCCAGGTATACTATCCACTAGGAAATTCGTCGAGGTTTAGTGGTGCATCTACCGAAAATCAAACTTTTAGCATATGAGTGGATATCCAGCATTCTATCACTAGAGTTTAATAATAAAAATTCTGATAAAGTATGGCACCAAGTTAAAGCATAGCGACCACGGAGTGTGAACGCAAATCATTCATAGGACCATAGAAGTTGCTGTTAATACAGAGCCAGTATGAACTCTGTGCACGAACTGAAGTACTAATTTCATTCTGATCTGGCTTTTAAGTACTGTTTGGGCAATGAGTTGTTACGACGTAAGGGTTAGGATTGTGATTAGGATTATAGTCAAGGTGAGGATTAGGGTTTTTATTATTGTCCGTGTTTTCCTTTAAATAAATATACATATGAATGGAGAGTATTTCCAAGTTTATATAGATGAAATTTAAAACAATTAGTTCCCTTTATGAATTTAGATAAAGCAATAAGAAGATGTAATTTGTCTGAATCGTGTAATGTATTTGCGCAACATATTTCGAACAATCTGATCACACACGGACTTGTCATAGGAATATATATATAAAAAATTAATAAAGAGGTAAGAGGTGAGAAAAATAGACTTAGGTCAAGTTAAAAGGAAATATTCAAGGTCAGAGTAACAATGAAGACCACTAAACCATAGCAGATGTACTATTACCTCTGCTATTTGGTTCGAAATGTGTTGCGCAAATACATTACACGATTCAGACAAATTACGTCTTCTTATGGATGAAATCGTTTTGATAGCTTTAAAACTTAAAAATTGATACCCTTCATTGTAATTGGAAACTATTTTTCAGCTACGTAAGGGTAAAATGAAGTCTTTCATGTGTTTCACTATTATTACGTTAATTTTTCCCGTTCCATAATCCAAGGAATAGTACGCGTCCAAGGTCATTGATGCGTTCTCACTCCATGGTCGTTATTCTTTATGTTTGTCAAATATGGTATAAAAGAAGAAAAACCATTTTTATTTTACCTTAAAAAGTTGATGTTGTCTTTCTGTTTCAAAATCTTTTTCTTGTTTTCTTCTAAGTTCTAAATGTTCCTTTAATAAACGTGCACGTTCGTTTGCTTGTTCCTAAATTGGAAATATGTATATATGTATAAAAAAAAGAAATACTGAGCAAATCCTAATAAGATGAAATTAGTCTACATAAACTAAAGGGTAATGTGGAATTGAAATATAAGAAAATCGATAAAACCTTCTAACTAACATCATGCAATACTATGTAAACTAATCAGAGAAGATTGTTTCACGTAAGGATCTTCCCAAAAAAATAATATTTTGTCAGCTTTTAACTTCCAATCATAGATTATTGATCGATTATGCAATTTACTTTTAAGCTCAATGATGCATTCCTGTGATAAACTGCCGATTGCCTCCAACCATCTAATACTATGTCTAAGTGTTAGATGTTTACAAACAGAAAATTAATCAGGAGTTAATCTAGAGGATTATCTAGAAAAATTATTTAATTGAATTTTAGATTTTTCCGTCGACTGATTGGACTGAAGTGCTAGGTCTCGGGTTGACATGTCGGCTTCTGGTGCAGATGCATCGACGATATCTGGGTATGTAATTAGAATAAAATTGGTGGACGGTGACTAGCAATGGAATCCAGGTTGCTCATATCGTCCTATTTGGGACTCATCATCTGAACGTGCCTGCATTCCCCAGTGAGTGATGATGTTCCCACCGCAGCTCGAACCTAATTCAATTAAATAATTAATATGACTCGTTGCACAAGATTTGTCTTCCATGGCCCAAGTGGTTTAGTGGATAACGCTTTGGCGTTCGGAACTATGGGCACTGGGTTCGAACTTCGATAGGAACACCATCACTCACTGGGGAATGCAGGCACGTCCAGGTGACGAGTCCCAAATAGGACAAAATAAGCGTCCTGGATTCCATTGCTAGTCACCATCCACCAATTAAATTCTAATTACGTAGGGAAGCACTAAGCACATCACTACACTCATTAAGCAATGTGCATCTTCGATCTTGAACAGTTCCATGTCCTTTTCATGATTCAAGTTTGAAGAGATTACCTATAAGCAATTTTAGTCACAGCTGACCTTCTACAGGCAATTAGACTGCAGATAAACACTAATGATGAGTATTTACTAACACAAAACTTACTTTAGGTAGGACAATCCTTTGAATGACTCCCTATTGCTTCTAACATCAAATAACGATGAATCACAGGGCCCTGCAGTAGTCTCGAATCACTTAGGCGAGGAGGCAGGATCACCACATACTTATGATCAATAAATGTTAGTCAACACACTTAGAAACCGACAGCTGAATCGATCACATTCGGTGACAGCTTGGCATACATTTTTTATGCTTTCAAAAGAGCTCAGTAAAAGGAAAAAAATCTCATACACTCATCCCTCTTTTTGAATTTAAATAAATCAAAAACAGCTGTTTGAGTAGAATCCGATGATATCATTTCATTTCAGTAGATATGTATTTAAGCAGATGTTTACTTACCTTCTAATCTAGTGAGAACCAAGCTAAAGTGTGCATGTGACGAAACAACTTCTTATTGTCGATATGTACCTCTTCTCTATTACTCACTGTCTGTCGTATGTTATGCGCTTTTCACCGTCTAAGCGAAAATGACTGATGCAAGAATGGGAGAGGCCTGTACCTGTACTCACTCTTTTGGGTGAACCGCTTGAATTTGACATGTTCATGAATGTAGGTAGTTGTGTGTGTGTGCTGGCAGAAGTGTATAGGATGACATTTCTAACCATATAGTGAAAGCTAGGATGGCTACACTCATTTCAGCCACCACCCGCACCTTCACAACGTAAGTTTGGATGTGAAAAGTCGGTTTTACAATGCTTGGGTGTAAGCAGTCTTTCTCTACATTTGTGAACTTGATTTCTCCGAGCTTAGAACGTTGCTGTCTCCGTGGAATCACTTGCATCCGATGACATCACATGACTAATTCTAAGTCCCAACAGTGTGCGTTTAGACATAGTGGAGGTCGTCATTCATTGAGTGTCGTCATCTTGAAACTAGAGGTTCAGTGGCTAGGATACGTGCTACGCATACAACCCTACACTGCTCAGTGTTTGCTAGCCCTAGAACTGAATGGAAAAGAGGAGTGGCAGTCATCCTATGAAGTGATGCTATGGGATGAAGGACATTTATGTAAAGTTAGCATCCGTAGGTACATCATGACATACTGGGTGGTGTGTTCGATGGATAATTCAAATCGATAGCTCAAAACATTATCGGATACGGCCAGGAATGGTAAACAATGGCATTTATGCTGCAATTTTATTGTTTCAAAAAATGATAAACTAATCAGTGAAGGCAAATTTGTCTCATGTAGTAAGTTCAATACATGTTGCGAAGACATTAAGTAAACAATCGGAAAGAATTTTACATCTATTTGTATGAATATACTTTTAGGAGGGAAATAATTCCCGATACAAACGTATGTGATTAGTTAATCAGTAGAGAATGTCAATTCTATTTTATTATAATTATCATTTATCATAATTGTGAATTCGATTCACATCGTAATAAAATACATTTCAAGGTAAATATAAGGCAATGTTATAAATTTCCATATCGTAGACGTTACAAATTTCCTGGGATAATTTTATCACCATCAGACTGAATCATTATGAAATTACTTCAAACAATCCCAGTGTGTTTAGAAAATCGAATTAAATGACACAAAACAACTGTATTTTGATTGGACACTGGTAACTGGTGGGACGTGTTCAGTCTTTTCTTTGGTGAGGACTGAATTCTACCAGTCAGGTTTGCATTGTGGTCACCATTCTAGATAGCTTCCCATCACGGTGTACATTAATTTGATGAAATTAGATAGTTGAAGGCAATCGGCCACAGGAAGCCTTGCCTGACCTAGGTTTCCTACTAGTTGGCACTCATCAGTCAGCATGGCGTACCTGCAACCTTGAAGGAACCCATAACCCTTCTGAGATTCGAACCCGCGTCACCCAGTGACGTGATTCCCTTCAAGGTTGCAGATACGCTTTGCCGACTGGTGAGTGCCAACTAGCACGAAATCTAGGTCAGGTAAGGTCTCCTACCGATTGCCTCCAACTATCTAATATACAAAACAACTGTTTCTATAGGACAAAATGTTCAAAATATGAGACTTGTTATATATGCCAGAAATCAGTAAACAGGTGAAGCTCAAAGTGAATGGATATAAACTATGCACCAAAATATCTGCTTAGAAATGAATTACAATTAAAGAATTGAATTTTTGATTTTCCCGTCGATTGATTGGACCGAAGTGCTCGGTCTCAGGTTGACATGTCGGCTTCTTGTGCAGATGCTTCGACGATGTCTGGGCATCTGCACAAGAAGCCGACATGTCAACCTGAGACCGAGCACTTCGGTCCAATCAATCGACGGGAAAATCAAAAATTCAATTCAATAATTAATATGACCCGTTGCACAAGAGGTGGCTCTCGTGGCCCAAGTGGTCTAGTGGATAACGCTTTGGCGTTTGAAACTATGGGTACTGGTTCGAGCCTCGGTGGGAACATCATCACTCACTGAGAAATGCAGGTACATCCAGCTGACGCGTCCCAAATAGGACGAAATGCGCATCCTGGATTCCACTGCTAGTCACCATCCACCAATTGTATACAATTAAAGAATCTTGAAAAGAAATATCATCTATAATAATGTATACTACAGAGAGAGCGGATAAAGAACGGTTGACCTCTAAAGCCTTTGATATTTTAACCACATCGAATGCAATAAATACGAGAGAAGCAATAAACTTATCACCTATGTGGCAAACTCGAATGAAGGAGAATAGAACAAATAAATTTTGAAAAAATTAATCAATCCTTTGTCATGAAACTGTGGCTCACACAGCAAAGTGTTGAGAATGAATCATTTTTCTTATTTTCTAAACACATTGGGATTATTTTAAGTAATTTTTACAATAAGTATAAGGTAACTTGAAGATGACCAACTAATACCGACAACAACAAGTACTAATCACTATCAAAGGGAGAAATTTGAAAGCGGTTACTTCTTTCACTTTATCTACAAAGAATCCTTTCAGCTACAAGCGGAACAGATGAAGATGTTAAAGCCAAAAACGCAAAGGCAAGACAGACATTCATCTCTTTGAAATCAGTTTGCAAATCTCCTACACTCAGTACAAAGAACGAAATTCGGATTTTCAACACAAATGTTAAGTCAGTCAGTTAGTCAGTCCTTCTTTATGAGTCAGAGACTTGGCATCTGCATTACCAAAAAGCACTACCATAAAGCTACTACAGACTCTCACCAACAACTGCCCACTTCACTGGCTCCATAGTGAAAATCAGATGGCTAGTCAGAAAGGGTTAGTAACAAGAAATTCTAGGCATGAACCAATCAGAAGCCTATTGCTCAACAAATATGCTGGAAAAAATGGAGTTGGGTGACCATCGAAAGATATCGCGTGCCAGACCATCGCTTGAGTGGAATCCAAATGGGAAACGACGAATTTGGCGTTGGTCCGACAGTCACATGGAGGAGATCACGCGAGGAAGAGATGAAAGCTTATGGGTAGTCGTGGAGCCAGCTAAAGAGGACTGCAGAGAACAGGAAAAAACTGGAGATGTTCTGTTGGAGCCCACTTGGGACTTTAGGGGACAATAATAATAATGATAAAGTAACTTAAATATTATAGAGAAACTTCTTATTACGCTCAGTCGCTTACCTTTAATGCTTCAAACTTTTTCCGTTTCTCTTCTAATGCTTTCAACTAAAGAAAGAAAGAAAAAATAAAATGATTTTGACTATTCAGAACTTTAAAAAAACTGAACTGGAATGCTCACTATTACTTTGTGGCATATATATTTTAAGTCTTATTCCAATATCCCTTTGTTTGATGATAATTTCTGAAGGAACTTAGACTATAAATACAAAGTATGACTGGCTGAGTTTTAACTTAAAACTTCGCAAAGATTTGCAGCATTTGGAGTTGCCGCACTCCATGACGCCCATAAATGTTGGGGAAATTAGGGAAAAGATATTCAAAAGAACTACAATGAGCAAAAACATACAGAAGAAAGAATAATTACATCGAGTATAATGAGGACTTACAGAATCTGTGCCAGTGAGAACAATTCTGAGTCATATCAGCAACAGTCTCAGGCTGATGGTTCTTAGTATCCTGAGAGACCTCAGCTAGAGGGTTTACATGTCACTCCTACCTGGCTAAAATCAACAGTCAAAGACTTCATGGATTGATGCCATGTTTTGGTTTGACTAACCCTACCTTCATGCCGACCCAATTCTATGTCATCTAACATTGCTTGATGAGGAAGGTGATGGATCAATAACCGGAAAATGTGTCCTGGCCATCTCAATAGATATAGCTTCACTGTCTGATCGACTAGTCTTCCCTTGTTACCTAATACTCTCTGCTGAACGATAATATTACTGACCATATTATTACCAATTTACACGGGAGATAGAATGTAACCATCTGTGATCAAAGATTTTATAAAGAATTCAACTTTACTTATCTACATTTTACGTTAACTTTCTCATTTGTACTTGAAGGCAACCTAAAAGGCTGTAAAGATCTGTGATATAGGGATCGTTTAGAAATTATTTTGCCGTAACGACTGTCAGGTCAAATACATAGGTCAGAGTGGCAGAACAGAGCGGAGCGCAGAACCTAGCAGCAAAATCCAGATTGGTTGACCCGAATAAGATAAGAAATCTAGAGAATAATTCAGCTATAGCACTACATGCAATTACACACAATCATACAATAGGATGGGATAAGATGACAGTTTTAAAATCCAATGTCACAGGGTGAAGGGAGAGACTGATAACGGAAGCTCTGTTTATCAAATCAACTGGAAATACGTGCAATAGGAATGATTTAACACCTGTCCCAGATATTTGGAAAATTCTACTTCCCTAACGACGACAAACAGGAGAGAACAAAGAAAACTATAAAACTCAAGTTTCGAAGTCGTGTGATTACAATTGATGCAATGATTATGAACAATAAATTTTGCTTGAAACGTCATCCAATAAATAATACTGTTTCACTGTGTGATACATCTAATAAACAAACTAATATGGAATTATTTTGCTGAACTACATTAATCTACTATATGTTAACATACAGTCTCATTTCATCATCAATAGTAGGTTCTAGGTGTGTTTAGTCAAGGAGTCCTTAATTGAACGAAACGCGCACTATGAATTTCACCATAGTCAGTATTAAACCTGTGTATTATATCTTATATTGACACGTAAGCATTCCCTACTTGTCTTATGTGGACAGATAAATAAACGGATAGATGCACATGGTACTATGGCAGAGAACCAGCCAACACTCTACTACCTGCCAAATATGCAGAAGGAACTGGAGATAGATTGGACATACACTAAGAAGACCATTGTGCTTGACACCACTTGCCAGACCCTGAAGTGGAATCCAAGTGAGAAACAACGAGCTGGGCCTGTTTCTAAAGTTGAAATCGAAAAGACTATGTGAAGATAAAAAATAGGCAGTCGCTGAGCCATCGAAAGAAAGACTTCATGGAACAGGATGAAATGTAGATGTTCCGCTATACTCCTATGTTCCACTCGGAACACAAATGAATAATAACAATTTAATAAAATAAAATATACTGATTTGAAACTTCTCCTAAGCACAGGAGAAGTTTCCAGAGTGATTTCGATCAGCTACCCAACATTTATAGGAGTAATTTTGAATGAATAAAACTGAAAAGGACGCAAAGTCACTCTTTGGAAAGTATTTAACAGTGCAGATCCTAAACCTAGTGAAGAATAGACTAAACTCAAGGTAATTTACGATGTCATTACACTAGTTATTCAGTAACCAGGTCAGACAATGCATTTATGGAGTGATAAATAAGTTATAAAGAAAATGAATGAGACAAAAGGGATACTTACTTCTCTTTGATGATCAAGAATAACCCCTGTATAAATTTAAAAATAAAACAATTTAATTAACATATAAACTAACAATCGTATACACATTGGTATGGAAAAACAACAGACACACTATGATCAAATATTTTTCTACCTTAAATGAGATCTCAGAATGAAAAATAAAGACCTCAATAGAAAATATTACATACAATATGACCTGCTTCAGTCAAATAGCAGCGAGAATGATACATAAATGTGTTTATTTTCGTTACTATGTGCTAATGGTGACGACCCGTCACATTTGGATACTGATTCATGAATTTTTGTAAAACATCTCATACTAATGACAATTTTTCAGTAGTATAAATTTTGTCCGCAAAACTACAACCATAAGGCGGAAGATGGTAATACATGGAAGTGAATGCATACTTTCCATTGTTGTTACTTGTTTTAAAGGGATAGAAATGTTTCCAATCTATTTTTCTGCTTGAGAAGATTGAGGCAGTTAGTCTTTTGGACCAATTTAAGCAAGGCATCAAGAATATGAATATGAGTTGGTGATAATAGTTTGGAGTTTCCTTATGTTCACCTTACAGCTATCATGAATGGGAATAATGAAGTAAAATGTTTGACATTTAATTGGCTAAATAAAAGTGCGTAGGAATGATAGATTGGATTTTAGTAGGTCAATTAATTCATAGTAGGCAAATGGTTGAAGTCTATTGTTTCCTGCAAACGTAATACATAATAATAATGGCTTTATTCCAGACATTATATTAACACAAAATATAGAAGTTTCAGCGCATTTAAATTATAAAATATTTATTCTTCGTGCACGGTCCTCAAGCAAAATGGTATTTGGTAGTCTATCGTATAATAATAATAATAATAATAAATTTACTTTATTCTAAAAACAGCACTTATAATACAGAATGGAATTCTCAGCATTGAGAATATTAAATATAATAATAATAACAATAGTGAGTTTGTTTCAAACAGTATTGTCGATTCAGTTTGGAAATTTTTAGCATGTTATAGATTATTGAATCTAATGTTATGTTGATACAGTGGTAACACATCTTAAACGATGTTCACACTTATGAAAAATAAATAAAAACAAAAAATTGAGAGGATTATAAATATAACAAATACAATAACAATAAAGTTTGGTACTGTAAGGGTGGAAGAAAGTGTTTATTTAGTAGTACAAAGAAGGTCAGTTAGTTCATGCCTGACACCATTTTCATCACATAAAGTACGTGCTAAATACTTAAACATACGTGCATAAATTCTTCTGAAAAGACTTCTTGTTTTACCTGAGGAGACACAAGGTTGGAGCTGCGGGTAGATTGGGTTCTCAGAGTCTGACAAAATTCCTTTAGCAAATTTGTTACATGACATCAAGTGCCTATCCGTGACAATGTCAACGATATGGCCCAATGGGATACCACTCTTCCTACTGACAGTCTTCAGAGTTCTACGAAGTATGACATAGTCTTTTTTAAGCAATCCAAGAAAGAGTAAGCAAGGGTGAACAGTAAAGCAGAATAGGTAAAATACTCGAGTTGACAAACTGTAAGAAGAGGATGGGTTGGGTTATGCCTAAGTGCTTTAACTTCTTAATGTAAAAAGTCAGATGAAATATTCTTTTAGAAATCGCTAAGACATGGGCAGACCAGGATAGGTCAGAAGAAAGAATTAATCCAAGATACTTAACTTCAGACTTGATTTCTATATCAGTATCATCAATTTCGTAATGCTGTGTTGATCCAACTGAGGCAATATCCAAAACACCATATTTTTTCTTCATTTCCGTTAAGAAGTGTTCGGCATTACAGCAAAGTAAAATTGTGCTCGAGTTCATGTAGCAACCCAAAAACACAGTTAGATGATTAAAATAATAAGAAATGGAGAGCAGTTTATGCATAATACTAGATGGAAATTTACGTAGAAAGTTTTCACGATATCCAATGACCAAAAAAACTGTGAATATGCGTGTATTTACAGCTTATTCTTCTATCGCATATTCTGAACATTATGAGGAATGGTTGTTAATGGTTTCATATGTTTATTTCTACTTATTAGAACAACAATTTAATAAATATTAGTCTTTCGTGTTATTTTCAGTTTATATTGTATTGTTCCCTTGGGTTCCAAGTGGAACACAGGACTTCAGAAACACGTTTCTACTTTGTTCTAATCTCTGCAGTCCTCTTCAGCTGGGCCCATGATTGCCAATGGTCTCTCATCTTTTCCTTACACGATCTCGGACGACCCACTCGTCATTTCCCATTCAGATTCCATTCGGTCGATGGCCTGGCGTGCGATGTTGTTTGACAGCCACCTCAGTGTATGCCCAATCCATCTCCACTTTCCTCTGTTTGTTTGCAGAAAGGTAGATTCTCGGTTGGTTTGTTCCCATAGTTTCTTGTTGCTTGTTCTTCCTGATCATTTGATCTTCAGTATGGAGCTAGCGAAGTAGGCAGCTGTTGATAAAAGTGTGCAGTCTGTTGGAAATCTTTTTAATGACACGCTGGCCAAGTTTCTGAAGAGCTGACTCACTTCACATTTGTGTTGAAAATCCGAATCTTGTTCTTCATGCCGTAGGGTGCAAAAGATTTCTAAGCTGGTTTCTGGTTGATGAAGACGCATCTTGCCTTTCTATGCTGACTGGCTTTTGACATCTTCATCCGTTCCACTTGTGTTCGAAACAATGCTTCCTAGATAAGTAAAGGAAGTGAGTGACCTCTTTCAAATTTCTGCAGTTGATGGTGATTGGTGCTGGTTGTTGTTGCTGCTGCTGTTCGTTGGTTATCTTCATCACCTCCGGTCTTCTCCATGTTTACCTGGAGTTCTGTCTTCACTGCCGCTACCGCTAGTTTCACTTACTCTTTATTTATAACACTAATTATTAAAGAAATCACTACGCTGAAAAAACTCTAGAGTGTTAGTGACATTATACTAACTCAATGCTAACCCTTATTTCAATACTACCTGAACAATACCTAACTGGTGATATTCTTGAATAAAGAATTTGTCAATATCAACCAAGTTCTTTTAGAAGACGTCAACTGTATGAAAGTTGTCTCTACGCAACGTTGACCAGATAGAAATTAAGGGTAGCTATGATTTTCTGTTAAGCATTTTGAAATTAATTAACATAAACTATATTTTTTGTTTGACGTAAATGTTGTCCTTAGATAATTTCAACAATAAAAGAATTTCGTTCGGTGAAAACGACAATCCTTATCAGAGAAATTAGGATGCTGAGAGTAAGCTCTGGTCTGTTATTATGTTTTCTTGTCATTCTATAACATTGCTCATTATAAGTTTTTTCTCACTATCTTCTGATGTCTTAATGCTGCTTCTATACTAGGAATGACAACCTCGGATTTTAGCCAATCAGCAGCCACAGCTGAAATTTAATCAGGCTGCCCTGTTTTAAGTTAGTTCTAATCGGTTATCACCGTCAGTTAAAACCCATAGTAGTTATATCCAAAAAGTGATACTAACAAATTTAATTAGTTCAATCATACGACGCTAAGATGATAGATCGTAATCCTAAAACAAGAATTTATTTGTGAAATAATCTTAAATCGATGTTTAATGAATATTTGACTACTGTCATACTTGATAAATAACAGAAAGTGCGTAGTTGATTGAAAAGTTTTGATTCTGTTATATCAAATATATAGCAGATCAATGGAAACCTCTCTAACTACAATGCTGACTGACACGAGTTCAAATCACCTAAGTGGACATCAATTTCATGGAGGATCCATATGCAATGCTAGTAAAAAGATGAGACCTGGGATCAGATTTTCCTGCCGATTATCTCCAATCATCAAATACTGATATGCAGTCACATGATGTCTACCTTGTTTTGACAGTCTGATATATTTTGCTGTGTGTATATTGATCGATATTCCATTATAACTTACAATATGCTTTATCTGTCCATTAACTAGATAAACAGTGTATGACCTTTTCGTCACATGACATTACAACCAATCAGAATCCGATCATGGTAAGATGTCTATCTTCATGCATATCAGTCATTTTCGTACATACTTTTGTACTGTACACTTTTATTCACACCGGTTCACATATTTCGTACACTACGTACCCTTTCACTCACACACTTGTGTGACAGTCAATTTCCCTTGTTGGAAAATACACATATCTTCGTGAACGTGGTGGCCTTCTGATTTCCACCTTTTCGCGTCCGGACAATTAACTACTCAGCAGTACATAACAAATACTCAGTTGCAGTGCCTTTTTATGTGCTCTTAAACAAAATGAAGAGGAGTAATATTGTCTTAACTAGGCAGACTATTACAACCAACAAACTGCCTAGATGCATAGAATTCAGATAAAATGTCTGCAAAGTTAAACTTTCGACACCACTAACAACCAATCAGCAAACGACCTTGAACGGACCAATCACAATAAAGAGGCATTTATGGTAAATGGAAACGTATATTTATAGAAAAAAGCAAAAAAATGATATAACGGTTACAAGGGATATCTCTCTCGAACATGTGAGAGAAACATTTCCAGTTTAGCATGGGGCTGTCAATGGAGAAGTCACACCACATCCTGTAAATGTATTCAACTAAATGACTATAAATGAGATCCTTTTGAGATCCATTTATAGCCCTTATCCTGTTTTTCAAGCGGCCCAAAAACCCTTCACTGGAATTCGTATGAGACTTCGTAACGGGATCCACCCAGCAAACAAGTGATTTTCTCCATTTTCCACGAAGCAATATCTCTGCAATGCTGGTACCACTGAACTGTTGAGACGAGGCTATTTTCCGTCCCGGCAGCTGCTGCTCTAAGCGACTGTTTCAACACCCAGTAGTTGCAGATATACAAATTCTGGGTTAAGGAGAGATGCGACCTAGCGAAAAAAGTTCCTACGGAATATTAAAATTATCAGCTTACCCTCTCTAACGTTAGCACGTTTGAAACATATAGCACAACGATGAACAAATCCATCAGCTATAGCTTTATAAAGTCATAATACCACCACACGAACAAGTCTGCTCCTTCCGGAGCAACCCTAAATCCAGGGAATACTGGAAAACACTGTCCTCCTCGAATTGCAACCGTAACCTTGTTAGGTCACGCATAAAAAGTAAATCAAGTGCTATACAACATTGAAATACGTTCGTGAATCTCACTGGATAATTCGACATCGTTCGCTGATTGGTAGTTAGAGGTGTCGAAAGTTTAACTTGGCCAAAATGTCAAATAAAAATTAACAGTGATACAGATGAAAGAAAATGATTACCTTTATTATTTATATTAACAAATGGTGAACCGCCTAGGATACCAGCTACACCCATAATATGTCCAGCACCTCGGGCACGATTAAATGCTGCCTGTTGACGAATTGATATAAAATCTTCAACTAATTTACATTGTTGTATTTCTGAATAAATTTTTTCATTTTTTAAAACAGATTCAGGTGGTTTAGAATATCCTAAGAAAACAATTAGACAAGTAAATTAAAGAAAGTAACTGTATTAAAATATGCTTTCAGAAAGATGAGGGATTTACAGACCAAGTACTAGTATGTAGTGAGTGTTTCGGAGTCATAATAATAACAGTAATCAAAAAAAGCTTTATTTCAGACAGTGTGTGAAGCCATAGTACAAAAATTTTCAGCGTGTTTAGTTCCGAAATATCTTCTATTCATACAAAATTTACATGTAAAGTGATAATCTCAAGGATATCATGTGACGTAGTGTATCTGTAAATGAAGAGAGAACCAATTCTGTATACGCTTTCTTTATCTCCTTCAAGAACTGAACAGCATTTGCTGAAGGCCAATTTATGTAGTCAATCGTTTGATATAATTGCATGATGAAAACAATAAGAAATGCAGAAGAGTTGGAGTATTTGAATGAACAGAAATTCTAGTAGTTCAGTGACTGAAGCAAGCTTACAACTTTACACAACAGTCCTAGTTACCGCTTTACTGCGAAACTACAATAAATGGCAATGTACAGAAGAAAGAATAATATGATTGAAAAATAATCCGAATTTAGGTTCTTACAGTCTCAACAACCCTAGCCAAATAGCTTACATCTCCGTTTGTGGCTCAAATCAGCAATGAACGATTTCAAGGAAAGATATCAGGTTTTGGTCTGACCATTTTTAACATTTTTCCAACCAAATCCTAACATACTGATTTCTTTTTTAAACATCATCAAAACCACACGAATGAGAGTTACGAAAAATCTATAGACAAATAAAGAAAAGTGCCCAGTGAATGAGGACAAATAATACTATGAATTAGATAAAAATTCGGCATGGTGCTATCTACGCCAGTGTAGTCGATTTCGTCCTCCTTTATGACTGCGAGTGACACCTAGCCATTGAGAGTGGAAGACATGAAAAGATTAACTGTCTTTGATCATAGGTGCCTGCACTCTATATCCCGTGTGAAGTGGTATAATAAGGTGAGCAATATTGCGGTTAAAGCACAGATTGAGTGGTGCTAGGTAAGGAGGGGAAGTCAATCGACGAGGCTGTGAAATCACATCGACTGAGATGGTTAGGACATGTGTTACGTATGCCTAGTCATCGCCTTCCTCGACCGACGGGCAATGTTAGCTGATATGGGGTCAGGCTGGAAAAGAGCCAGCGGAGGTCAAACAAAAACACGGAACCAGTCAATGAAATCTACAACAGTTAGTTTAAGCTAGCCACGTAGTAAGGTGTAGACTGCCTGACTGACTGGTTGGGGTCCTCGGAACGGTGAACACCAATGGTTGGAAACAATTGGTGACATGGCTCAAAATCGTTCTCAATGGCTGGCGCAGATGCATCCACTCCTTGTGACTTATGATTTCCAATGAAACTGTTTTGTTCTTCGTTATTACTATTCCATTGTCTCACACCTCTGTTTACTGTCTTTAATATGCATTTCTTGTACTTTCTTCTGTTGCTTTGTGTGCCACATGGAGTGTGGCGACTTGAACTGCTGTACATCGATGCAAAGTCCTATGTCGAAAACAAACAGACAGTCAATTTCGTAACACCTCATTTAGAGTCTCTAACCATAGTATCATTTAGATTGGATAATGCGACAGACCGTTCGGAGCGAAAAGATAGGCACACGTTGTACAGATTAAAAAAGACTCATGAAGATCTGGACTTCACTGACAACTTATATCGAATGTCTCGCAAACTCGAAGACCTCCAAGAGAAAACCAACAATTTGGCAAAAGAAGCAGCAAAGACAGTGCTACAGGTGAACACTCAGAAGACAGAAGTGATGGAGATAGTCGACAGCCAACAACAACAAACATCAATCACCATCAACAGGAGAAACTTGAAGAAAGTCACCTGATTCTTTCAATCACAGGTGGTGGCATGTATGAGGATGTCAAAGACTGAGAGGGTAGGAAATGCAAGGCAAACCTTTACTACCCTGAAATCAGTGTGGAAATCTAATTCAGTTAGTTTAGTGCTAAAATACCAAGTCAATGATTCTACATGGTCCATAGAATTGGTTCACATCCTGACAAGTCTGTTTCAAGCAGACTGCTGCACACTTTCATCAACAGCTGCCTTCGCTGCCGTGATACTGAAGATCAGATGGTCAGCCAGAACGGATAGACAACAAAAAACTTAAGCAGCAAATCGAACAAAAACTTACCATCCAACATATATGCAGAAGAAAATGGAGAAGCAGTGGACATCTTTTTGTCTGTCTGTTTGTTTTCGACATAGGACTTTGCATCGATGTACAGCAGTTCAAGTCGCCACACTCCATGTGGCACACAAAGCAACAGAAGAAAGTACAAGAAATGCATATTAAAGACAGTAAACAGAGGTGTGAGACAATGGAATAGTAATAACGAAGAACAAAACAGTTTCATTGGAAATCATAAGTCACAAGGAGTGGATGCATCTGCGCCAGCCATTGAGAACGATTTTGAGCCATGTCACCAATTGTTTCCAACCATTGGTGTTCACCGTTCCGAGGACCCCAACCAGTCAGTCAGGCAGTCTACACCTTACTACGTGGCTAGCTTAAACTAACTGTTGTAGATTTCATTGACTGGTTCCGTGTTTTTGTTTGACCTCCGCTGGCTCTTTTCCAGCCTGACCCCATATCAGCTAACATTGCCCGTCGGTCGAGGAAGGCGATGACTAGGCATACGTAACACATGTCCTAACCATCTCAGTCGATGTGATTTCACAGCCTCGTCGATTGACTTCCCCTCCTTACCTAGCACCACTCAATCTGTGCTTTAACCGCAATATTGCTCACCTTATTATACCACTTCACACGGGATATAGAGTGCAGGCACCTATGATCAAAGACAGTTAATCTTTTCATGTCTTCCACTCTCAATGGCTAGGTGTCACTCACAGTCATAAAGGAGGACGGAGCGGACTGATGAGCAGTACACCCGCCCTTTGATTGATAGTCGGATATCACGTCTACGCCAGAGACTGCGTAAACTGGCATATGCGAAACTAACCCTCTGTATCCGTGCAGTGGACATATACTGGGGAGACAACTGAACAACCTTAAACGCCGGGACCACAAGTGGAACCTCAATGAGAAACGATGAGTCGTTACGAGGGTGACATGAAAGAGATCGCGTGAGGAGGAAATGAGAGATTATGGGCAGTCGTGAAGCTATCCAGAAGCGACTGTAGAGTACAGACTGTAGTGATGTGCCATTGTAGCTTTATTTTCCATTCGGAACTCAAGGGAATAAAAATAAACAAAACTTAAACTAAACAGTGTTTACTGTCACTAAATATTCTCACGACTACCGCGTCTAATAGCAATGGATGTTCGATATCCTCCTAGTAAATTTCCCTTCTGTAGTCAGTAAATAGGAAGACTAAAACAGATGATATAAAAACAATAAGAAAGTGTCAGTTAAGAGTAACACGGAAACTAATCACAAAACAATCTAACTTGAATTTTGAACATCTGCAAAAGGGTAAAATCCGACTGAGTGGTCACCTGATGAAATGATAATCACTATTTATACAATTTAGACTCTTATTTGGTAGACTTACAACCATACATTATTCACATATAACAGCAACAAACACTGGCTTTCAGAACTGAGATCAAGAATCTGTTTGTGTGATACCACCTTGCCTAGTACATGTTTCTTTTTCCCACGATATATTCCCAAGTCGACTAGTGTAGCACGTTGAGATAAACGTTAGACATTTCACGGGAGCTACTTTTAGCGAAAGTGATATGTAATTTATTCAAATGAATGACACGTCTAACCTAAAACTGTATAAATGACTTGTCCATCATGTGCGTGTATCAAAAAACGAAGACATTGGTGCTGGATTTCCACAAATCGTCATGGCTATGTTTCTCAACCATACCTATTATTCACACGAAAAGATAATCTCTAACGTTACGTAGTACAGCATTACTCTTTTACAGTTAGATGAAAAAAGCAAAAAGATTATCCAAATTTTAAATAACGCAACGAAAACTCGAAACAGTTTATTAAACTACCTAATTTGGACAGTATTTACATGCTGGAAAATGTATGGATAAAATTTTTGATTTTATGAGAATAAATGGATAGTTTCATGGAGTTAGCGTTGAACACAAACGGCATTAAATATAGATTCACTGAATATAAAAAGAAATAGAAAATTTCTTACCTGATGGAAATTTACTCTCTTTACTTCTGTCATCTTCACTGAGACTTTGATCTTTTGTATTAATGTCAACAGATATATTGACTTTATTATTATTAGCATTATTATATTGATACAATAAAGGACAAATATCGTTTAGCTTCATAGGCGTAATAACATCCTTGCATAATTGTACATTAGTTGGTTTATTGTCGACATGAGATGAAAATGGTACACCATCAATTGATGGTTGTACTACTTGATGTTGGTGTTGTTGAAAAATCGGTTTATCATCAAATGCATGAATTAGCTTAGGAGATTTATTTTCATATAGGTTAATACCTAAAAGTTTTGAGATGTTTTAAGAACAGAAAGCATTGATATGTCATTTATAAAGATTGCTAAAATGTGCTTAAAGGGTCTGACATCATTGATTGATTTAATCATCAAATATATATATATATATATATATATATATATATATATATATATATATTAAAAGAATGATTAGTGAACAAATATTATTCACTTCAGTCTGTCTGTCTGTCTGTCTGGATTCAACATAGAACTTGGCACGAAGGTTTTCCATCTATATGTTTATAACTCAGGCTGCAGACTTTTATCAGTAGATGCTCACTTCATTGGCTCTATAGTGAAGATCAAATGGCCGTCCCGAAATAATCAGTAACAAGAAACTATGACTGGGAACAAATCAACCAAGAACTTATTGTTCAAAAAATATGTATAAGAAAATGGAGATGGATTGGAGAAACGCTAAGGAGACCGTTGAATGTTATAGCCAACTAGGCCATTGCTCGAGTGGAACTCCAAAAAAGGAAAAGACAAATTGATTGTTGGTCCAAGGGTGACATGGAGATCGTGTGAAGAGGACATGAGAGACCATGAGCAATCATAAGCCCAACTAAAGAGAACAAAGTGTAGATGTTCATTATAATAAAGGTTTTCTTTGTATTTCCCAATGAATGAAAAACAAAACGATATTATTTTTACTGACTTTTCGCTACTTAATGCTAATAGCTTTCTCAAAGTAGATGTGTTGTTGAAGCGATTTATAAATTTATGAGTTCCACAGCACGCTGGGGTAGCAATACTGGTTGGACCTGTTTCATTTATACACAGACTCCTATTGTTTTAAGCGAATTGTAATATTCCTCTGCTGTTCTAAGTATTCAGTATATATAGGCCTTTGGTAGTTTATTTGATACCCGATGGATGGTAGAATAAAGTTCTTTAAAGCTGACTACTGAATAACCTCTTTGGATCAAGTGATCGAATATCGAATTGTTCACAGTCTTAAATATACCTTTATTTAACCACACTGGTAGATGTTTCCGAGTGTATGAAAAGTTAAGTTTGTAGAGCGATGATTAATATAACTAGCTCCATAGAGGTAATACTTAATAATCCTAATTTGTATAAAACATTACCGATAAAGTATTTAGGGTGTATATAAAATGGTAATTCATTAGCCAGCAGAATAACTGTTCAGTCAAGTCAAATCTGAATCTAGCAATCGATCTCCATGACGTCTTTGGCAGTTGATTTAAGCCAGGCATACAGAGAGAGAGAGAGAAGTGTAGACTGCCTAGCTGATTATATCAATATGGCTGAAACCTATTCCCATTGGCGTACATGCATTCAATATTTATAAAATTTTTAAATTCATCAAATCCTAATTATTCTCTAGTACATTTCTGTTCAATATCCTTCCTTTACATCCTTTTTTCTAAATTTGTCTCCTTTACGATAGGAACATAACTTTTACTACTTCACTTCTGTGCAAAGTCCTACTCTGAAAACTCATTCAATCAGTCAGCTGTTCAGTTTTAGATTACTTAATGAAAAATTCATTAAACAATTATGAATTAATTATGAAGTGTAAGATTGCATTAAGAATTTTGGTGAAAATAAAAACATACAAGTATTTATTTATTTATTTATTTTTAGAGTACTTAAAATATCTGATTACTGAAATAAGAAAGATTATTTATTCTTCAATTGACTATTTTCCCAGTATCTTCAACTTCCAAGTTAAACTACGCATCATTGAGTAACATTTCATAATGATATAAAGTTAATTATTATTATTTTTCAGATTTGGGTTTTCCAATGAGAATAATGTTCACTCTAATGAGGGAAATTTTACAAACCACTCTAGCATCAAGAAACTGTTGATCTGAAGGCCGACTTTTATTACATGTTAATGTTAGCCCGCTAATTCAAGACTGTCCCTAGATAACCTCATCATCCATTAAGGATGAACGTAGAGTATAACCTGTAGAAGTTGTTAGTAAAATGTGATAAAATATACCCAAGCCTTTCCATGAATATTTTGAAGCCAATTCGGTAAATATCGAACAATTTACATATTTCCTTTCATAGAAGTAGGCAACGCATAGGTATGGTTAAATTCTACATCCACATTCGTATAAAAAAGTATCGATTTCTGTGATCTACTTTTACTTTTGGTCTTCACAAATCATTCTGTGCACCAGTTTTCAGCACCGACCTTATTAGGAAGCATGAGCTCCTCTATTATAAGCAATCAATACTACAGTATGTAGAGTAATCCACATGAATTTGGTATTTTAAAGATGACTATGATAGTGACTCTTAAATAGGAGGATTTCTGACACTTGAATGAAAATATTTTCCTTAACAGCCTTGAAGATGATATTCTTTAGGCGCTCAATGTTTACTAGTATCAGTTTACTTGCCCCTCTGTAGCCAGATATGTGGGTTGTTCAGTGCTTCGCCTTTAATGATACTTCAGATCAGCATGTTAGTATTGCTATTATATGGAAGCAAACCACTTTTTGTTCCGAGAGAAGCATAGGGCTTCACAAGAGCATCTTCATTTAACATATTCTTTACAGCGTTCTTTTACTTGGCTCCACGATTGCACATAAGCCTTCATTTCATCCTCGTACGATCTCCTTCATGTCAGTCTGGGATACCCAATTCATCTCCTTCCACTGAGCTTTCACTCTACGACCTGGCGCGCGAAATAACTCAGTAGTCTCTTCAATATGCATCCGATCCATCCTCATTTTATTCTACGTATTTGTTAGGCATCAGGTTCATGGTTGGTTCATTGTCAGAGTTCCTGACTGCTTGCTAATCCTTTCTGGCTAACCATCTGAACCGCAGTATCAAGACGAAAAGGTGCAAGTTTGCATTCCGCTGGAAATGCTTCTGGGTAACAAGCATGCCAAGTATCTAAACCATAGAGGATCACTGATTTGCAGTACAGTAGTAAAAGTGCAAATCATGGTCCTTACGCTGACTAAACTAGATTTCCTTAATAATTTCCGGATAGTATAGGTCCCTCTTGCTTTTCCCATCCTTCGTGGCTTTGACACCCTCATACATGCTGCCCTATTAAGTTAAAGAGACGATTTCCTTTAGATTTCTCCCGTTGACGGCGATTGATGCTTATAGATGTTAATTAGGTATCTTCATTACGACTGTCTTCTCTATGATCATTTGAATTCGTAACTTCGATGACATTTTAGAGGAATTTAATGATTTTTCTAAAAATTTAGGAAGATTTTGCTTTCACTATGAAAATTTCCTGCATAACATTGGAATAGGAGTTTTCACTTTCACAGTAAAAGACACTGACCTAGTCTTAAACATTTTTTAAAAGTTACTTATCCATATACTTTTCACATTATTATTAGTAGTATTATATTAGCAAAAAAAAACAAAATAATAATTCATACTTACAAGCATCATTTTTTATTGCCTCATAATATTTACAATTCATTTGTTCTATACGATCTCTTTCTTGTTTATACTTCATAAATGCATCAGCTACAATCATACTTGGCGATGGAAATGCATTAGATTCACTCGATTGACTACTAACTGAATTTATTATTGGCTTATAATAAACATCTTTTGATTTACAATTTTCGTTAATCACATTAATCTGAAAGGATAAAAAAATTTTTTAAAGTGAAGGAGAAGAAAGTTGAATAATGTTCTGCTCAATTTGTTAAACCTATTGCTTTCTTTATGATCAAGGATTCGAAAAGTTTGCTCGAAATATACAATAGAGACCTAATTGAAGTCTCTAAGAGATACCCTACTCATGAACGCATATCCGCCTAGATTTATTGACAGAAACATGAGAAGAAAACCTCTATCACCGCAGGTTGAAAGGCTGTCTTCATGAACCTAGAGTTTATAGTTGACACTGAAGCAGAAATTCTTAAAAACCACTTTTCTAACTGTCTGAAGAAGACATTTCAAGCAATAGTCATTGTGAATCACATTCTCCAGCAGACACTTAGTCCTGTGGAGCAAAGTCTTTCAGCCGTGCACAGAATCAAGTCGGCAAATGTATTCTGGAATGTTATCTAGCCTGCATAGAAAAGTAAAATACCAACACTTCCATCCTCGAACACTTTGTCATCTCTAGGCATAGGGAACTCTTGCATGATTGGTTCACAGTGTTACACAGATTTCCTCAATATCGTACAAAAAGGACTTATACACATCCGATTGACTGCCTATTCAGGACATGAAACTGGAACTCTGAGACCTAATGAAACCTAGATTGGTTGGCCCCGAATAATCTGCAAAATAGCTTAGCTTTAGCACTGCATGTCGTTAAACGGATCCATGTAACAAAATGGCAAAAATGATAATTTTGAAACTTAATATGACAAGGTGCAGGAGGAGATTGGTAACTGGGACTTAACTTGTCAAATCAACTGAGAATACCTGTAGTAGGAATAATTCAAAATTTGTCTCAGACATTTGTAAAATTCTGATATCCTGCAGGACAAGTAGAAAGGAAGCAAGAAAACTATAAAAATCAAATTTGAAAGTTGTGTTTAGTTAAAGTTGATAATATGATTAAGAACAATAAATTGTGTCCAGAACGTCATCATCCAGTCACTAATACGTTTTCACTGTGTGTGTGATATATCCAGTAAACAAATAAATATAGAATTACCTATCAACTACAGTTACACAACTTCCAGACTTGGTTTCTTATAGTTATCATCCTTTTTTTCATTTGTCATAAGGTTAATCGAATTTTTCCCAGATGTCTGGGACAGCTGTTGAATCAGACGATGATAAAAACAATGGAAGCTCTACATACCAGTTACATAATACTCAAGATGAAGCGAATCGATAATCGAAATGTCAGCAGATATTATAGGTTTATAAAAGGAGCGAAGATAAACAAAAAATATAAGGAGAAAGATTTTGATGGTCGATTTCTACATCAAGTTGGTTCAGAGGCCATGAACCAAATTCACCACTACCTTAGTCGTCGCATTTTTAGGATAATTTTTCTCTTAACAGAGAGATTTTTGACTGAACAGTAGTCAGTAACTAGTGTAGTGTGTGTCTAGTCCTATCTTTGGTGCAGACTGAAGTCTATCAATCAAGTCCAGTACAGTCCTATAGGAGGTCAATCGCGAGCCTGAACAGCTCAGCGGCAAAGTCTCTGACCGCAGCACAGAATGACGCAGGTCCTAGTCTCAGAAAGGACATGAGTTCCTCAATGTGGTAGATACGCCTTGCTGATGAGTGCCGACTAGTGTGAAACCTAGGTCCAAGACTTCCTACTGATTGCCTCCAACCATCTAATACAGATATTTTTATTGTTAGTAAATTTCCCATTAAGTTAGTAAGTAGAAATGATCATTAATGCATTAGTTGAAAATATCATTTAAATTTAATGAGGAACTTTATAACAATATGAATATAAATTTGAATAGACGCCATTCGTGTTCAATGTTCAACGTTGAATACAACCAAGTAGATGTATAATTTTTTTTGAAAAAACAACTCAACCATGAAATGTATTTCTTACTGAATTAAATTCACTGTAAAAGGGAATTAATAAAAAAAAAAGATGAATAAACAAAGGCTAAACTACACTTACTGCATTCTTTTCATTAGCAATAGGCGTTACACATACAGGTGTATAGTCTAATAATTGTTTCCAGCCTTGTTCACGTATTTTGTTTCTTGCCTCTAACTGAATAAATAAAATAGAATAAAAATAACCATAATAGTAGCACTAATAATAATAACGATAATAATTTGAACAAAGCTAGAACGATTACCTATTTTCTGGATATAAAGGGATCATGTCTTTGTTTTAGTTTTTTTTACTTCACAGCTTTTCATCAGCTGCTAACAGTCTAAAAAATGACACAAGTTATTTATAGCAAAAATATTCATTCAGACATCCATAAAACACAAAATAATCGAGCAAAGAATATTCTTTTCGATAAATTCCTCTTCTGGCTCTACAATTATATATGCATGTTTATATACACAAAATATTCAAGATTGGTAGTCAATAGCAATATTAGTGTTTTTTTAAATAATAATATGCAATTACAATCCACTAAAAATACTTAAATTATAATAGCAATAAAGATATAATAGCGAATAGAATATCAACTAAAATTAGGAAAATTCCACAAAAATTCAGGATAATTCAAACCTGGATGGCTAAGGTAATGATAATGTCTGAACTAACTTCTTTTGGATGCACAAATTAGGCTTGTTAATATGGATCCCCACAGTCTCAGCAATATTTAGTAGTCGAATACTTAAGGTAAAATTGAGATTCATAGGTATGCGCTAAATCACCCTGAAAGCATGGTTAACGTCAATCTTGTGTTCTGTCTCCACAAGATGAGACAGAATAGCGCTGCGAATAGATTTTGTTTGTCCTTTACTTAACCACGCAGAGTGATGTTCAGAAATCCGATGAGAAACACGCCTAATTGTGCGGCCTATGTAACTGGCTCCACAGGAGCAGTTAAATTGGTAGATACACATGGATGAGGCGAAATTAGGCAGTTTGTCTTTTACTCCCGAACGCAGAAGAGGAGTGGTTTTAAAGATACAGCGTAATTCAGCCGCAGGGAATGCTCTTTTTACCGGATTTCTAAGGCAAATGCAAAAATATGCATCACAGTCTTGCAGAATTATTTCAACTCAGAGAACATAGTTATAAAACAAGAGATGTAAATACAAGATAATTGGCATTCTAGCAATTAGACTTTATTCATGTATAATGTAGTGGAATGTTAGAGGAGGGAGGGTGGGAATGAAAAGAAATGGTGATTAGAAGTAAAATTATTACGTCGACAAACAATTCAGTGAATTGAAAGATTATTAATAAGTTCATTTAAGTGAATTTTAGTCAAAAGAAAGATTGTGACTCAACCAAAAACAAAAAAGAAACACAACAGAGAATTCTAGTTACCAAGTAACTGAGAGACGAATCACACTATCTATCTGTATATAGACGTCAGACTGAAATCATTTGATAGCAATAGCTTCTGTAAAGTGAAACAACTAGGATTTCCTCCATATATTGATGATTCGGAAAGTTTAATTGATTTCAACAATATGCCATGTGACAATTAGGTGCTTAGCAATTACACTTGCAAACATTCTTTTAATTCCATATGAAAATTGATAACAGGTATGTTCAGAAAGTCTAATAGATGGTTTCCTCTTAGTCATTCCTATGTCCCTGCTAGTGCAATTGCATGTCAGTTGACATGAACAAGATATCTATCGACTTTGAACTGTATTCAATGTATATCTCGCGTTGGAAACAACAAATTGGTCTAACTATAGGTTATATTCTTGTCATTGAACCTTCAATTCATTTCTCGACTATTGTTGATACTTCTTTCACAAGTTTGGGTTGAAATCACTTTTAAAGTATGTTTTATCAGTTTTGAATTTATAATAAATAATGTCATTTTTCAGGCTGTTAGCGTCTGGTAAAAAACCGTGAAATAATAAGGTTACTTTTCGGTTTGTCCAAGGGGACTAATCGAGTGATAATAATAACTATAATGCCTGGTTTATTGGCATGTGCAGAGTAGTATAGAGTCATTTTCATGGAGATATCCATTACAATACCATTTAGTTATCAGAATTCTAGAAGGAACGATAGTATTTAACTTACTCAATTCAACGGTGGATTTATCATTTACTGGAATCACCTAGAAAAGCGCTTCAACTTTGAATCTGAAGTGTTTTTAAACTAGAGCAAAAAGAAGATGTATGCACTCTTGACTGCTTTTCAATCATTATTATAACCCTGAATGAATTAGGTATGGTTAGAAAATAGCATTGAAAAGCATTACAAAAGACGTCCAAAATTCACACAGACGCCAAGATTTACAGACAAAAACCAACAGGCTAGCAGAACAGGCAGCCAAGACAGGAGTTCAAGTTAACACACAGAGAAGACAGAGGTGATGAAGACACCTAACCAACAACAAGCAACAGTCACCATCAACGGGAGAAATCTAAAGGAAGTCACTTCTTCCAGTCACCCGGTCAGTGAGGTATTGTTTCAACTTCAGGAGGAATAAATGTGGATTTCTAAGTGTATCGGAATCGGAAAATCAAGACAAACGTTCATTAGTCTGAAATCAGTGCAGAAATTCGCTGCCCTCAGCATACGGAACACTATCCGGATCTTCAGCACTAATGCCATCTGAAGAAGACTAAAGAAAATAAGGTGAAATGTTGATATACTGCTGAAGGCCTATGTTCCACTCGAAGCCTAAGGGAATAATAACAATATAGTAATGTCATTTTATAGTGCTCACTGTCTTATGTCTTCTCTGATAAAAATACTTGAGTCTCTTCAGCATTGAAATCTATGAAATAGATAAATTTATATGACACATCTTTTTACATTTAAGACTTGAAATATACACACACACACAGTGTGTGTACTTTACAGAGTCAAGATTAATTGTTTGTTCAAATTTACTTCACACAATGTAAATATCACGAAGTGTAGGCATAACACCTTTGTTTCTTAATATATAAGAACAAGTAAATTAACATGTTACCTTGCATTCAAGGAAGACATGAAGAGAAATGGAATTATATTACAATAGGCAGTATGAAAGACAAGTGGACAGCTGAATGCGAAGTAATAAGAAGGTTCTGAATACTGAGGTTGATAAATATCTAATACATTCATATGATAAGGAAGTTAAGGAATAAGGATAACCAAGAGATGTGAATACACCAATGGCTTTGAAAGAAGCAATTTAACTGGGAAGGAAATTCGGTCCTCTAATTGTAGCTCTAATCTTCTCTTAATCTAACCCTAATCCACTCAAATATCTCCCTAACCTATCTCTAGCCTAGCCCTAGTCTTTCCCTTACCTCACTTTAAACTAAGTGGAAATCCTTTTTAATATTTTTAAACTTCTTTCAACATCCTTTCCTATGAAAATATCACTATTTATCTGGTTTGACTGCCTTGCTCTGACGAAGCGTTCCAAAGGCTGAGTTAACGACTTTCAGGTATCTGTCTTTAAACTTCTTCCATATAAAAAAAAACGGGATTTGGGCAGTGTGCTAGAGTACGATTCCATGAGCAATAAGTAATACTCGATCATCATGCGTGTGTGTGCTTCATCAAACAAAATGAGTCTGTTATGGAATATAATACATTCAGCTAATTGTGATCGGTTTGAAGTTATGTCATGGGAAACCCGAAAATGCTGACTTTTAATGATCTCAACCACATAGCTCTTACCTCTCTCTCTCTCCCTATAGCTCAGAATAATAGTAATAGACTTTATTCGGTTGATGTTATGTTTTTGTTAGGCGATGGTTATCAGAGGTTGTAAAAGCCCTTTCCAATCTAATACAGTATACGTCAACAGGACTTGACGACTTGCTTCCAGACACTTTAAAGATGATGGTGATGATGAATTACAGAATAGATTGACTAAACTATTAGAAAGATGGTTGATCACGTCAGTTTATAATAAAAGATATGGATCTTTTTATGGTGACCATTGCACGATCAAACTAACAAACACATTGATAAAATTTAAAGGTTCATAATTATACAGAGGTAAAGAAAAACAGACAGACTTTTAGGCTTGGATGACAATGTATTCATCATATCTTTACCTTTCAATACATCCTGAAACACTGATGCACTGGCATCCAACACTTATCATATTTCTTAAAGGACGGTAGCACTTGACACTGCCAATTGAGAGGTGTTTACGTAATTTTATAATGATAATTAGTGACATGTAATAAAAGCTACTGTCAAGAAGACTGGTTATTATAGACTACTTAAATCAGATTATTTTTAATAGCTCATATGTATATCTCGGATGTGTACATTTCCTACAGATTAATAAACGTAAGAATATGAGAATACAGTATAGTACCTACTCGTTGCTTTTCAATCAGTTCCCTTTGTCTTTTACGATTGGCATCAATGAGTGACTCTCGACGTTTGGCTTCAGATTCTGAGTTTGTTACATGTGAATTAATATTATTATTATTGCTACTAATGTTTTCGGATTTTTTAACCATTTTATTATTGTTGTTTGCCTCGCTGAAAAATACAAAATATGCATTAATTATTTAGCTACTGAATCAAAAATGTTAGTAATAAAAAACGCTTGATTTAAAAAAAACAAAATTACAAACAACTTAGTAGGTTAGTCGTAGAAATCACCCAACAAGTTTTTAAAAATCAGCGTTTAAGACAGTGAATAACTCTTGGACGGCTGGTTCCTTTTTTAGGAGTAGTCCCGAGTGGATTCAGATGCCGTTTTATTAGTAAAATGCAAAGAAATAAATTCTTTATATTCATATTTTTTCGTTCCTTTGAAGCTTCTGTGACGCCAAGTTGACTGTGTGTGTGTGACTGTACAGCACTTCAATTTGCCATAGTCTGTGTAACACACAGGGATAGGGAAGAGATAAAAGGGATTGAAAAGAACAACAATAAGCAGAAATACCCAGAAAAATGAACAGTAACACGGAGAAACGTGAGAACTTAGTGAATCTTGAAGGTTATAAAGAGCGAATACATCTGCCCCATTGAAAAGGACTATAAGCCATATCACTAATAGTTCCCAGTTACTAACTCTTAGCATCTAGAAGATCCTAGGTGGGCAGCCTATACTTCCCTACGTGGCTGTCTGAAATCATCTGTCAGACTTCATGGATTATTGCTAGATTTTGATCTGACCACCCGTAACCCTGTTGCAACCTAATCCAATGTCAGATGACCAGATGGCAATTTATATATAGAACGAAAACATGTATCGAAATGACGATTGTATAGCTCTATTGAAAAGGATAGAATTTTCAATTGAGAACATTACAATAAAGTATATTCACTCCGTATGCTACACGCTTCATAAAGTATACATAAAGTAAGGGGAAAGAAGAGCAAAGCAACATATAGGAGATAAGATAATTTCACAGGTTTGTTTCTCTTGAGCGCCTCCTAATCTGTTCAGAATTATGTAACCGATAATTCTGAACGTTTTACATATGGAAATAGACGAAATGATATCTTTGTTGAACTTCTTGCTTTCTCTCTGACTTAAAAGGAACTATAACAGTAAGTCTTAAGGTAATTTCTCCATAGTATTTATATGAAACAGAAATCCCTGACTATTTCTCTAAGCTGTCACTTACCTGGCTGTTGTCATCGTGATTCCAAATACAAAGACAAGTATAACCTTGGTTATACACCTCAAAATATTTCACAGCATTAAATTCCATTTGTGCGTCGGTGGCATAGTGGTTAGGATCCCCACTCACCATGCACATGGTGCGGGGTTCGGTCCCCGGCCACCGACGAGGCACTCCTTTACCTCGCTAAGCCAGAAATACAGCTGGTAAAGAGGAAAGGTTGGGCATGAGGCTAGCAACCTCATCCTTTAAAAATATACATTGCTACAGAAACTTCAAGCCTCTAGCTTGAAGCCCTTTGGGAAAGTGAAGGAATAATTTTTTAAATTCCATTTCCAAAAATTTAGGAAAACTCAACATTTTTACTAAAGTTCGTAAATTATTCTCTCCTATTGACGATCATGCTGACTGTTGATGTTAGATGGTTGGAGGCAATTAACAGGAAGAATTAGACCTACGTTTCGTACTAGTTAACATTCATGAACAAAGCGTATCTACAACCTTGAAGGGACTCATATGCATTCTGAGATTTCAATCCATGTCACCCAATGCTGCAGTCAGAGAAGTTACCATTGAGCTATTCAGGCTCGCAATTGACCTCTCTTTGATTGTATTGGAAATCTTTGATTGAACACTAGTTAGAAACTGGTGTCATGTGTCTAGTCCTCCGTTTGGTGCATACTGAATTCTATCAGTCAAGTTTGTAATGTGGCCATCATGCAAATAAGCACAAAACTTAAGTCTAAGGCTTCCTGATGATTGCCTCCAAGTATCTAATTTCAACAATTCACAGTGCAGTGCATCCTAAATGGTGAGCCACCTAGCATGGTGGCCTGACTGAAACGTTGACTGGTAGAATTCAATCTACATCAAGCAAAGGAATAGACGAGTTTCACTAGTTACTAACTAGTGTCCAGTCAAAAGGTTAGGCTGATTCTTTGTTATGTCACATTTCGTCTGCTCACTATATATATATATATATATATATATATATATTATATCCTTTAATTCCTAGAGGAACATAGTACTTCAGCTGCACGTCGCCATTGCGTTAGGTTCTCTGCCAACGTCTTCACATGGCTCCAGGTCTGCCCACATGCTTTCATCTCTTCTTCACACGACCTCCTCCAAGTCACCCTTGCACTGACGACCAACTCTCCTCTTCCCTCTCAGGTTTCACTCGAGCAATGGTTTGTCTAGTGATGTCACTTGATGGTTTCCTCAGACTATGGCCAATCCACCTCCAATTCTTCCTGCATATTTGTTGCACAATCGGTTCCTGGTTGGCTCGCTCCAGAGGTCCCTATTGCTGATCGTTTCTGGCCGTCTGATCTTGAGTATTAAGCGAAGACAAGTATTGATGAAGGTCTGTAGTTTGTTTGAGATGCTCTTTATGACGCGCAGTACAAGTCTCTGATCCGTATAGTAGCACTGACTGACTTCACATTGGAGTTGAAAATCCAGATGTTATTTTTGATGCTGAGTGCTATTGACCTCCACACAGACTTGAGAGTAATGAAAGCTTGTCTTGCTTTTCTGATTCTTGCTTTAATATTCTCGTCAGTTCCGTCCGCCCGTAGTTGAAACGACGCTTCCCAGGTAGGTGGAGGAGGTTGTTTCTTTCAGGTTCCTCCCATTTATATATATATCTGTATAATACTGCGTCGATTTGTTTTTCTTGACTTACTCAGACTTACTAAAACTTGTTAAACGTAAAAAATCTGTCCTAAATGGTGGAAATGTTTAGTGATGACACTTTATGTAAAGTAACTAGGAATCTTATACAGTAATTCAGGCGTACTAAAAATATCCAATTGGACAGTATGTGGAGTGGCGTTGGTTGTTTGAATTATCTGAGATTAGATAAAAGCATAAAATGATACATTTAAGGAGTAACAGAAAACCATGATAAACTGAATAACTATTTCATTGTACATTCATATGAACTGTGATCAAATATAACTTTATAAATATTTCATTGTACACTGAGACTACTCAGTGTTATGCACCAATGATCTCATGAGATATGAACCTCAGGACTGTCAAACTACGCAATGCAATGGACTTGTCTGTTCACTAAGTAGGTAGAAATCTAATGGTTCATGACTCCTTATTATCTATGTGTTCGTAGTATTTAAGGAATCATTCAACATGCTCACTACATAATATTTTTTCAATCTTTTTTATATTTTCATCATAGCTTGACTCTACACAGTGTTTTGTTACAACTATGGAATTTTCAGCATGCGATATCGGTAGCTCAAATTTAGCAGGCCAACCATTGATATCAGGTGTGAGTCAGCTGGGGATCGAACCGCGGACCATGTGCATGGTTAGCAAGCGTCCTAACCGTTGTGCCACCGACACACATATGATACGTCAGAATTTCATCTTTCATGCAAAATCTGAACAGATCCAAATAAGAATGAAACAACTAACTGGTATTTCTCGATTTTCAATGTGGTTCAGTTTACTGATTTCATTTCTTGATGAAAATCTATAAGGAATATCATTTTCTTAATGTAATAGATTCATTGATACAATTTGCTAAACAGTTGACATACTTTAACTTGGATTTTTTAATCACTAAAGGTTGTTGGTGTTGTTGTTGATGATGTTTCAAGTTGAAAATACCAATTGAACGTTTATTATTTATTAAATTTATATTATTAGATATTTTATCACTTTTTCGTTTAGAATGTCGATGAAGTACTGTATGACTAAATTCTTCAGCCATTTCCTAGAAAAAAGATAATAACAATAAAAGATACAGATTAATAGCAAATGATACAAAAGTTTCAGAAAAATAATAACAATAATAATGATTGATTGTCTGGCTGTCTGATTGACTGACTGACTGACGGGGTTTTAGATATGATGGAGGCATCTTAGTGAAGTGAATAAGCACAAAAGAAATTAGAAACTCAAGTATACATAAGGTCAGCTCACAGCAGAGGAAAAGAAGAGTTGTTTACAAACATTATTTTAAAAAACGCAGGACACTGACTGATTATGTTTCAGAAAAATGGATATTCATACAAATTTAATCAAAAGATGCCTGAACTCATCCAAGCCAACCAAATTAAAACAATCCTATGAAAGAATAAAGAAAATCGTCCTGTTATATGTGAAGAACATATCTGAAATCACTGGGAGACTACTGATATCTTTTGGAATAGATGTCACCTACAAACCCACAATGAGGAGGCCACTGGGTGACATCACTCGCGAGTCAGGCCATTGCTCGAGTGGAACCCGAAATGGAAGAGGCGGCGAGTGGGACGTCAGTGCAAGTGTGACATGGAGGAGATCGTGTGAAGAGGAGTTGAAACAGTATGGACTAAGATGGATGCAGGTGAAAAGTACAGCAGCAGAAGACAGAAGTGGCAAGTGGAGACGTGCAGTTGAAGCCCTATGTTCCACTAGGAACCCAAGGGAACAATTATAATAATAATATAATACAAACCCACAAAATCACTTCAATGTATACTATATCAGTTGAAAGACACAAAAGTAAAAGAAGACATAACCAACATCTTCTACAAGATAAATTGCGCAATAGCTGTGAAAAACACTATATTGGTCAGAGTGCACATCCTATTTCTCTTTCCATCCGCAAACATAAACTGGATGTCATAAAACGTAATATACATTTCCTCATATCAATGCATGCAGTCAACTATGGAGATGCATAGATCCTAGACAAAGGAAACACTAAAAAAACCAGGGAATTTCTAAAAACCTATAATTCAGTTGGATCTGCAATGAGCTGACACATTGACACAGTCAATAAAATGGAAGTTAAATGGACAAAAGGTCAACTTTCAGGTCAACAGAATAGTCAGTACCAGTACGAGTGGACTGGAAAATGATAAAATATCCACCAGCAACTAATCATCTTCAAAGTTACAGGGAAAGCTGGCTGATAAACTCGTGGAGAACCCTAAAAGTGTAATTCATATTGAAATATACACTAAAGATGTCACGAAGAATGACAACGAAAGTTTCTCAATTAAATCATCCAACTCAGAAAGCACAAGTTAGTCGGAATTTTCAACGTACAACTTTGCTCAAAAGTCTAGTAGCTCAGCTTATTACATTCTATATAGCATACTAAAAGGGATAGTATTAACAGAGATAGGAAAGCAAAAGGATGAGGTTGGACGATGATTAGTATAGCTTTGTGTGCCTATGGAAGCGCATGTGAACAGTTATTACCTTCTAGTTGCCCACACTGTGAAAGTTGGTTACTTCTCGGAAAACAACAAGAGCAGTAACATGGCGTGCCTGCAGAGTTCATAGGCAGATAACTTACAGCCTGTCTGAAGTGGTCAGTGGAGTTTTGCCCGTACGAAGATCTTACTGCTAGCTATAGACCAACTCAAGAAAAGTTGGGATGTACAGTTATGGAAGTAGACCTTTTTTAACACCTAACCCTCCTCAGAGAGAAGAGGCGGCATGACTGACATGCTAGTTGTCCTAGGGAAACACCTTACTGATGTTGCATTCCCATTCGCCAGCCGTACGAATTCGACTCACTGACCTCCAGTATATTGTAATCGGCCTACACTATTGGTTAATTTTAAGTATTCACTAAGTGTTAAACTTAGTATGAATTCCTTGACCATTAAAAGTTTTTTTATGTAATAAGTTATCAGATGTATTTGGTGTATGTGCAGTCTTACAATACAATAATGCTGTCTTGGTCCGAGTAGTTAGAATAAAGTCTAAACTCGTAACTTTTCTTCAAGTAAAAAGTTAACGATTTGAAAAAAATCCATTATGCACCCACTGTTAGTAGAGTTGAACACACTAATTAATGTTTAAGATCTGAAGCCCTCTTCCTATGGAGTTACATTATAGTACAATTTACTAACAGCGCTATGTGCATCCATTTGTAATTGATTACGTTTGCAATGCAAACGGTGAGTTATATAACAGTTTTTAACAAACTATAATTTTGTTTTAAGTGTTAGAAGTCAAGCATTGAGAAATCCTGTTTAATAAACTCATCAACAAGGCTTATATGAAAACTTATGAAAAGCCTTATACCTTCTAACTTTAAAAACGCTTGTCATTATTCACTCAGCTCTATATTTGAAAACTTCACAGAAGAGCTATAAAGACTGCAGAATCTCATCAGTTAACCTCTTACATTTGATTAACTCCTATAGTTCTCATCTCCAGGTAAATTTTGACTCGATAAACCCTATACGTTCATTAATTAAAAATCGGTGCGGAAATCTCCTTCACTCTTCATAAGAAACAAGATTAGGATCTTCGACACTAACGTCTACTGTTTCTGTATTGTTCAGATAAACGCTGCAGACTTTCATCAACAACTTCCCTTGCTATCTCAATAATGAAGATCAGTTAGCCAATCCGAAAGCAGAAAGAAGTTGTAGCGACAAACCAACTAAGAACGTTTCATCTAACAAATCTATAAGAAGAAATACAGATGAATTGGACATACACCGAGGATACTGTAGAGTGAGTTGATTCACCCGACCCTCGAGTGGAATCCGAATAGGAAACGATGAGTTTGACACCCCAGAGTGATATGGATAAGATCATGTGATGAGGAAACGACAGATTATGAGGAGTTGTAGAACCGGCTAAAGGTGACTGCAGAGAAGACAGTGAAATAGCAATGTATAGCTGAAGTCCCATGTTCTATTCCGAGCCCAAACGAATAATAATAATAATGGAAGAAATTATGATAAAGGTTTTTTTGTATTTCCCAATGAATGAGACAAAAACAATATCATTTTGTTTTTCACTCATTGTGAAATACAAAAAACCCTTATCATAATGAATATCATATACTCAGTGCCCGAATATATTTCAAACTGTTAAAAGTGAACTTGGTTTGGAGATATATAATGGTACAAATTCTCCATATTTTTAAAATTGTGTAAATATGTTTTGAATGACTTTTTTTTCCTTCACGTTCCCAGTGGAACATTGGGCTTCAAGCTACAGGCTTGAAGTTTCTGTAGCAGTGTTTAATTTTACAGGATGGAGTTGCTAGTCTCATGTCCAACCTTTCCTCTTTACCAGAATTATTTCTGGCTTAGCGAGGTAAAGGAGTACGTCGGCCGGAGATCGAACCCCGGACCATGTGCATGGTCGGCGAACATCCTAACCGCTGTGCTACCAACGCACTATTGGATGACTTACTGATATAAAATTATATATATATAATTTTGATTAAGTACCACATACCATAAAATACCCTAGTAAAGAGAAGTAGCTTTCGGTCATAATATAAAATACTCTTTTTCAATCACTTGTCTTAAAATATGCTGATAATTTAACTTACCGTTTCTGTTAAATATCGATAGATTCGTTTTGACAAGAATGGTTTTCTTAGGATAGCATTAATACTTGGCCTATCCCTAAAATATATAAAAACAAAATTTATAACCAATGATTTGAAAAGATAATCTGTTCATAGACTGTCAGGAAAGGGTTACGTAAGAATTTATCAGCTATCCAAGTACATACAATGAAATACTGGTAGGCTGTAAGAGGTTGGCACGAAGCTATGGTTAAAATAGGTTTCCTTGCACTGACTAGTGGACGAAATCAGTACTTTCTCATAGATCTGAATCTTCATCATTCAGTGCTGCTGTCAAAGACATTATAACTGACTTATTCAGTGTTATCTAACTTTGTATCCGAAACTTGTGAATGAGACCACCGATCTTTAAAGTAACCTGCTGTATTTCTTTGGAAGTTGAGATGTGACTCATTTGCTTAAGCATTTCACTACCAAATGATGAGTTATTGGTTCCAATCTCACTACACCACCTGGGTAGTACCACCATTCCTACGCCACTCCGAATTACAATGAGTATGTCTCACACAGCTTGGCGCATGCTCAGGATAACCGAGATAATGAACTATTCTTGGGAGTTACATTCATCTTGGAGATTATTTCACGCACAACGCCATTCCGAGAACCAGTCTCTTTATTAACTCACGCAAGAAGATGCAAGCTATCAGACTGTGGTTATCGGAATGCTTATGATATAATTTCAAGGCTCATCGTAGTTTTATAGATTTATTCACACTGTGTTCTCTTCAAAATTGTGAGTATTAATTGTTCTTTTTCCATACACAAGTTTATTTATTACGATAGAATAATATATCTGTTATCTTCTCCTTTTTTATGGTCTTTTCTGAAGTCATTATGTCAATTAATTTGTCAGATAGTCATCGTATCACTAAATAACTTATTATGATTTTAAGCTGTCTAGAAAAGTGTAGATAATCTAACCCTGAAACAATAAAAATCATTGGTAAGCGATTCTAGGCGGTGTGGAGTACAATCTAAGTAGTCATATGTGATGTGAAGGCATTCGCACTCCTTCATCAGAACAATAAACACATCACCTTCTCTTTAATGTAACTATTTTTTTATTTTCTTTTAAATATTAATTGGTTTCTCTTGAGATTATTCGCAGGCTGGGTAGTGTGTAACAACAGAAGAAAAGGGCCAGGGAACAGATCGTTTATTCAGGAAATCATTACATTTATCGATTTTCATATACATCTTATAGATTATTGTTAGCAGAAAAACACAGTCTTCTGATTGGTTGTTTCTCACAGACAGTTAACCTTACATCTCTTTGTGGTTGTTTCTTGAACGTCAGATCATCTATATGTTAACTGCTTCCGCCTACGAAAAGTCTTTGTTCTCATTTTTCTCACGACCAATATTGGGGACATAAACATTGACGTAAATTACTGTCCACCAATTTCGACTAACAGCCAGCCCTCACCACAAGTGTACTTAAGTGTAAAGTCAGAGACAGAAGGAGAAGAATTATTTAATGGCTATAGCTAGGAATGAAAGGAAGTCCACACAATTCATTCCACTCTGGAATTTCAGAAGACTAATTACTGAACAGTGAATATTGTTTCTGATAATTTCTTTATCAGGTTCTACAGATATGCGATCATAATAGACTTATTGTTATTACCAATCTTAATTTGCAAGATAATACTGAATCAATAATATCAACAGTTCAAAAGAATTTGTGAGTGCTAATACGCGAAAACACAACACTAAATTGGTAAATTAAGGAATATAATTTAGAATTTGTGAATTTACAGATGCCACAGAAGGTTAGGCACTCAGAGTCCCAGTTGTTTTAAATGAATTGCCATGGCCCCTGCTGTTTAGAATGTTTAGTATCTAGAGGCCTTTGACAGTTCCTTTGGTACCTGACAGATTACTAACCTCTTCTTGATCAAGTTGGTGATGGGGAAGACATCAATTCTTTTTGAAGTCGGTTTCAAGAAGAATAGATCGGTAGGTGACATACTCCACAGTGATCTAATTTTTCTTTGGCTTACAAATCCTACGCTACGTCCTCTGAGATGTTCCGAACTTTATCAAATGGAAGACGACCATGGGAAAGCGACGTTGCAGAATAACTCTTCAAATAAAAAACTGAAGTGGTTAATGATAGAAAAAGATTGTTTAATGTTGACTTTATGACCTATTTGGACCAGGCGACCTAATATAGAGCTGCTGGTGGTTTTAACTACACCTTTATTTAGCCGCACTTGTAGGTGTTCCTAGAACAATGGCCAATGTAACTGGCTTGACAGTAGCTGTTAAACTGATAGATACAATAAGAGGTGGCTAGCTCAGTTACTTTGTCCTTCGGTTTCGGAATTGCAACCGGTCCTGTGGAAAATACAAACTGCAGCTTCACGACATTAGACGTTGTTTGACTCGATTTTCACAACGTTTTGGTTATTATTTCGCTTGGTAAATCACCTTTGAAATGTAGTTGGATGCGAGAACAACTACCAGTATAGTTATGACCGTCGAAAGTTCGATATATTAGATCACCACGTCCGAACAGGCCACAAAGCTAGAATCGAAGAGTCTTTTTCTGTCGTCTATTGCGTACCAAACAAAGATCTTTATATATCGAACACTGCAAACAACATAGGACACTGCAATTCGCGTAAAACAAAAGCGGCTATATGTGGAAAAGAAACAGGTCCAGTCACTACTGTTATTCCGGCTTAATGTGGAAGGTATAAATTCATAAATTCTCTATTACTTTTCCTAATTTGTCTAATATTCACTTTAGTGTTATACTGATGCATATTATCACTGTAATATACTGACCCTGATAATTCGATTTTATTTAAAACATTTATTTCTTTAATAACTATAATTCTTTAATTATTATGGACGCATATAACTGTAGACCTTGATGAGGAGGAAGTTATCAAAAACAGTATTCCTGTTTCCGTAATCAGTTTTTTGAAATTTCTAATGGGCATCTTTAATCATTGTCAGTTGAATGACTCTATCTCTCGATACAACATTGTGCATAACGAAATTAAAGGTTACTACACATGGTTTCAGATACCGAATACATTCAGCTGACAAGTCATAAACACGGAGAAGTGTGCTGATCTCTTCTAAATACCCAACTAATAATTCCAATGTAGGTCCATATAAGGAGCTATACGTCAATAGGTAACATCATTGGATAAAGGCCATAATCATCTGAAATCAACCAATCACATAACGCATAAACTGACAACACTAGATAACCAAGGTGACGCCCACGCACTTATACTTCCTCTGACTAGTATATTTCAGTCTAATGACAAAAAAGCTAAAAAGCTGATTAATGCCTTTATCAGCTGACACAGGAAACACCTGAAACACATCAAACGTAGATAGATGAGGCGAAACTATAATAAATTTGCTTGTTGTACTTTACCTTGGATTTCGACGAAATAACTGTGAAATTAAACTCCTCATTTCATAACTGTATTTCGATGAAACGGGTGGATAAGTCCCACTGTGGAAAAAACATAGAAATGAAAAAATAAATAATTTCATTCTACCGTATAATTTTCAACACCAAATTTTTCATATTACCGGCTTCAAACTGAAAAGAAAGAATGAGAGAGAGAGAGAGAAAACACGGGGTTAGTTTCAAAATTTCATAATTACTGCATGTTTCAATGTTGTCATCTCGTAGAGTACACAACCAAGCGCCCAGATATCACTTTTATGATCATATGGTTTATTTTCACAAATTTCGGGTGATAAATAATACGGTGTGCCGATACAAGTACGCGCCAAATCCAAAGTGTGATTTAATACTTTAGCAATGCCAAAATCACCCAATTTTAAACGACCTTTTGAAGTAAGGAATACATTCTGTAAAATAAAAGATTAATTTCTGTTTGGAAAAAGGAAAACCATTCTTACCTGTGTTTTTATATCTCTGTGTAGAATCATTCGATCGTGAATATGCTTTAATGCTAATGAAATCTGAACAAAATAGTCTAATATCTTTTGAAAAAAAAAACAAGTGAAGCAGTGAAGTGAGAATACATTAAAAGGCGATTACCAGTGTTTCTGGCATTAAAACACCATTCTGTTTATTAATTTTTGTATAAAGATCACCCTGGTCACAATACTCCATAATAATATATAACCAGCCTGATTCTTTATAAATAGAATACAAAAATGGAAGAAATAGAGAATTATTGACCAATGTGTAAGACATTACCTTCAAATGAATCACAATATTGAACAATATTTGGATGATTCATTTTCGAGAGGACAGAAACCTAAATTTTAAAAAATAAAATAAAATTGTGAATACATTTCAATAACGAATTATGACTTAACAAATGACTGAGTTTCAAAATAGAAGTTGACACAGAAGTACAAAAATCCAAATTGTCACAATCCATGTACCACATAAAGAGAAAGAATAGTGACAGGGGAGGACATGAAGATATAATAGATGCGGAAGACTACAAACAGTGAGTGCCTCTGAGCAACTGAGAAAGATTTTAAGCCATATTACTAAAAGTCGCCAATCATCGGTTCACAATACCCCGAGCAGGCAGTTTATACTCCTCTACGTGGATCGAAGCAACCGTCAAAAACTTCATGTATCAATTCAATGTTTTGGTTTGACTACCCCTAAGACTTTTCCAGCCCTAATCTCATCTTAACCAACATTGCTCATAGAGGAAGGCGGTAACTCGGCATGTATGAACGCAAATATATATGTTTAACTGTTAAGTGATTTACCGAAGCTGTGCATAATACAACTTTCCTGTTTGTATTGGTACTTATGAGTCACCCTAATAAAGACTTATATTATGCTAGTATGCAGTATTCATAGATCTGTTCGCTATGTTAATCAGGTTAGAATGGAATATTTGTAGAAAAAAACTTTTCACCTTACTCATGCCCTATAGAATAGACAGAGCAAGTATAAGAACACTATTGAATTAGTTAATACCTAACAACCACTCCTTCTGATCTAGACGACCCGATCCCACAAATGGGTTAGTAGTGTTCTTGATGATCTTAGAAGTCACTGTGACGCAGATTTAGATTGAGAAGGGAAAATAAGTCTTTCACATTGGAAGGTATGACTTTCTATCAACTTTCTATCTACCTCAGTCAGGGTTTCCGATAGACTGACCACTAAGGTTTTATACATGTCAGTTAGTGTGAACGCGAAATGAGTCGTCTTGAAATAAGTTATGGTTCAGTTATCCTACAAACTCACTATAAGACCAGTTTTACTCGTTATAGTTATCTCATATAAGTTAATTACAAATCATCTTACTATTCATTACTTATAGTCCCTACGGAATGCGGTGGGAAGAACCACATCATCAACTGGCAGTTCAGTGTAAACCGATGACTGTTGGTTGTTTATGTTATAGATAAGTGTAAAGCAATTGAAGAAAAAATAAATGAAACTTAGTTATTATCACACACAGACAACCAAATGTGTAATGGTACGCCAAGTCAAACTCACTCTCACTGAGTTCCTGTCCAACTTTAATTACTATTTGGAAATTTAAAACTGACAAACCAAAGAATTTTGAATAATTGTTTCACTGTTTCCCAGTTCAATGCTTTAAAATCAATACTCGAATGGGAAGTGATGGGTTGAGTGTCTGATGGTGATATGGAGGTCGTCAAGAAAAATGAAAATTTGTGGGTAAAGTACAACTAGCCAAAAAAGATAGTAGGGAACAGAGTGGAATACAAATGTGCTGTCGAAGCCCCATGTTACTCTAAGAATCCAAAGAACTAATAATAATAACAGTAATGATAAATTATAGTTTTGACCTTTAATGATATTGAGAGTAATCGATTTTGTAAATTAACCTCAAGAAAACAAAGATGGTGGAAAATCTTTCTCATAATTAGTTAACTGATGTCGACGTAATATTCCCTAAATTCTACAACTTTAATGTAGTCTATGAGAATTAAAATCTCATCTTATAATATTCAAACTATATTATAAACTGGCATTGATCAGAAAACACAGGATTGTATTTCCACCCAATTACTGGATAGTAACATATTCATTATACGATGTGAAAATCTTCAGCTGATACAAGCAGGAAGTCGGCGATAATGAGAAAATTCAAAAACTAGGACGAAGCAGTTCTCTGACAGTAGGTCACTTTTACTATTGCTTTAACTGATATTAGTTAATAACAAAATCTATTTCCAAGTGTAGTCACGGATTGATAATAGTTAGAGAAGCATTGAAAACTAGGAAGTAAGTTGTTTCGTCCTAGTATTAAACTCATCATCAATACGTACCCACAGGGTTTCGAAGCCAGGACCTTCCACTTACAAAGCAAGCTCGTAGAGCATTAGTCTGACAATGTAACGCTAATATTAGCTAAAAATATCGTAAGGAAAACCAGTAGCTCAAAATTTATGTGTTTAAATTAGGCAGTTCTCAAGTTCTGAATACTTAAATCTCAAAGATTTCAATATCACTCCATAGATCACTATCAATTAAATTTCATAACAACATGTAAATGGCGATTATACGTCATCTGCACGTAAGTCAATGGAGTTCAGACACATAACCTGATAATTATAAAGCAGCATATGTCATGGATTGTATTTTACAACACAGTTTCTCTATAGATGCAATAATTTCAAGGTGGTAATAAACTTTTAACTAGAAAACAGTTAAAATATATGCTTTTAATAGTACCAGTCCAACGAATTCTCTAACTGATGTTGGTTTGTGACGAAATATACATTGGAATCAATCCACATCCATGCAAAATATGGGTCGCTAGCTAATTAGTGGCTACTGGATGGATGTCTAGAAGCTATACTATGCAGTCTCCACCAGTAGAGGCCACTATTTCAAGGTAAAGTGGATTATCATCTAAGGCATAGGTTAAGAGTAGTTCTATATCGCGGATTGACAGACGTCGGAACCGACAGGTCCTTGAATTCCCTCTCGAGTTAATGAAAGTTCATTGGGCTTGTTCTAATAACCTGAAGGTCTCTGATTCAACCACTGGTAGGATCGTGGGTTAGCACCACTAAAGCATCTCAAACCACAACAAAACAAATGCTCAGTGTCTCCTGATTTTCATTGATATCCAGTTGAAATTATGCAGTAAACATTTTGAGCTCAAATTATCCTCCATTACTTTTTTCTCCCTAAAGCATAACAAAATTTGTTAGTTCAGTGGAGATTTCATCATAAATGAATATCAATTAGAGAATTATTGAAAATTAAGTAGCACTATAGGGCTGGTTAATTTTGGTTTGAGTATCTCAGCAATGCTTGCCAACAACTCCACCAGCAATCCAAACCAGGATCTTCAGGCTATAAGGTCAGTCCGTTGACTACAAAGATATAGGACTGAAACGTGATGACCTGTGAGTTTTGGCATCTGTCACTACAATACAGTGTTACCGTTACGTAACGTCACCAGTCTCCGACAGAATCCACGCTTAAATTAACCCAAATTCCTAAAAATATTCAAAATCTGGAAGTTCGCAGCACTAGTTCTGTTCTCTTATTTTCAAGATTCACTTAGTAACTTTAAAAGTACGATTTTCCGATTTGTTGGTCGAATGAAGGATACACTGAGATCAAATTTTTGCGTGGAAAATAAACAAAAAACGGATTAACCTGGGATCTAGTACAATGGTGCACTAGTCCTCACTCTCTAAAACTACAAATAGATTGTGTGTCATGTAAATTAATAAAGATGTTCAGATCTATAATACTACTGTCTTAAGCTACATTAATTTCAGAAGGCCATTGTGTAATTCTCTCAATCGTTTTATTAGAACAGCTGACAACGAAAAATTATTTGGAAGAAATCCAATAAGAGACACTACATAAACAAATGTTTTTGATACGGTTATTAAGCCATATACCCTTGGCGCTATCAAAAGTAACTTACGAATTCATCGTTCTTTATATGGAAGTTAATATAACTATTCAAACTTCTTTTAAAAACTTAAGGTGTCCCTTAACGCTTCCTCTGAATAAATTTAATGGAAGTATAGAAAATTAATGGAAAAACCTGATTAAAACTGATTAAATTAACTTTACCAAACAGATGATTGAAAAGAAGATGAAAAAGTGGGATTTATATGGTCAAGTATTTTGGAATGTTGTATGATGGAAAAAAGACGAAGTGGTTAGACTAATGGAGCATGACAATTCAGAGGAAAATCAGGTATGAATGTTTATCTCATAGATTCCAAGACAACATTCAAAGTGGTTAACCAGAGATATCAGTGTAAGTCTCTTTACTAATCTACTATACGGCATAGTATAACCACCTTTATTTTTATGTCCTTCACTTTCCCCATCCCAGAGCTCCGAATATGAGGAAAATTCAGTGTGGAAACCATAAAAGTTAAATACGACAAAGCTACCTAGGTAGATGGAAGTCCTTAATTTCTTCAACAAACTTCTAAATCTTATCTTAAACAACTCAATACTTAAAAATACTTACCGTGGTGATCTTAATAGCCGTGGGATAGTACAGTGCTTAAATGTAACAAACAAAGCGGACAGTAGGCATAAAATAAAACCCTGCTGTCACACATTACTTCAGAGCCCTTGTTAAAATTACGAAAACATCCTGATAAAATACAGTGAACTAAAACACCACACAACAATTGGAAAATTTATATATATATATATATATATATATATATATATATAGGTTGTGAAGCTTCCAGAGAGATTATAAAGTAAATGTACATGAGTTAACTCATGTACATTCACTTTATATGTACTACATATTTATATAGTACATTTAGCAAAAATACAGGCTGGGAGTGATCACTAATATTTCAATGAAAAAGTAGATAATGGTAGAGAGACTAGCCCTGCTAAATTAGCCTCTACGAAATAATGCCTGAAAAGAACAAATTAATTCATCGAGGTGTAGAAGCTTCGAAATTTCAAGCATTAATCATAATAGCAATTTAGGGACTCATTGCATATCTGTTTACTGTATAAAACAAACAATGAATGTTTTCCTAACATTAGCTTTAGCTGATAAAGTAACAAAGTAATCGTGAAAATATATGGGAATTCGTTGTCATCTCTTTTACAAAAAAGTTATGTACACATACAAATACCAGAAAAGTCGGTATTAAATTCTATAATCTAGGTAATAGCTATGCTATGCAAAATTGTATAGATGCGTACATATACAATTTCGCCTAAATAACCAAAAAAATATTTACCCACCTCTTTCCGAGCTTCCTCTCTTTCCTTGAGACTCATCTACGTTAATACAATGAATAAATAAAGAGATCATCAGTACTTTGCTTATATTAATTTCCTTCATAACTCTGTGTATATTCTCTGATTTTGATAAAACCAGTATTGCTTTTCCAAAAGCTCCCTCTCCAATATTTCCGACCTTCTCATATTTTATTAGGTCAGACATTTCAGTCTACAAAATTATTGTCTGAAATCCTAATCCTCAGAAACACAGATAAACAATGTGGGTACCATGGAAACCGATATTCATAGGAAGCGCGATGCTGTCTTTCGACATTTAACATCTCTTCCAAAATCCAATATCGTTTTTACGAGCTAGTATAAACCAATTTGATTTCTTTGTGCTCGCTTCTTGATTGTAAGATATAGGTTCCTGATCTTCAGTAAACTTCTGCGTAGCTTGTCCCACCACTCGACTGTCGTAGCTTTGGTTGACTTCAAAAGGACTACTGTTATGTGTGACTAACGGTTTCGAGGTACTAACCTTTCGATCTGAAGAGTCTTGCCTCATACTTTCGTTGTATGCCCGTGATAAATACATGAACTTTATTCTTTACTGGTTCTAGATTTGGGGGAAATATTTTTTGTTCAGAGCCCATCAGTGTAACATTACGCAAGTTCACAAGATTAAACGCTGTCTAAAAATCCATAAATATTTCTGTTACTCCCGTGACACCTGAAGAACAGAAGAGTGCAAGAATTTGTATTCTTAAAGGAATGATGAAAATTCCTCCAATTAAGCGTTCAAACGAACAGTTAAGTTTCATTTTTTTCAGCATACATACCGAGAGTTTAACTCCATGACTAAGTGGTGACCAAGATTTTAGGTCTTTTCAATATCTGGTTGGCAATCTTTTTTGCTCTAAAAACGTATAAATATCTAAAATAAAAGTGGCTTGGAACCCTCAGTTTAAAATACTTGACTATTAGTAAGGCAATCTTGAGGTTACAGAAGTTGAAAATCCTGACATTGCTAAGCGTTTGAAGAACAGGTGTATGTCATTATTAGTTGGTGTGAAATCGCTGGTCAGATGGCAGTCATAAGCTTCCGTCGATATACGAAGACAGTGTTATTACTATAAATAACAAAATTTGAGTGGGACAGTATGTATTTTCAATAAGTTTTTTATTATAGCTTGGTTCCACACTGTATTTTCGGTACAAGTATGGAATTTTTAGCATCTGAAATCGGTAAACCAAATTTTGCAGGCTGATCATTGATATCAGGTGTGCATCGGCAGGAGATCGAACCCCGGACCATGTGCATGGTCGGCGGGAGTCCTAACCAATGTGGCATCGAGGCACAGTTCACCAACGCTAGTCAATGTACGTGTTGCTTTCACACTGTTTCATGTTTTGAGAAAATTACTGAAAATTCCATTAATGGCAACACTGGCACGAGCTGTAATGTGTCAAGTATGAGTAGGTGACCTTGTCATTAACGAAGAATAGTTTTCCCGCATTTCCTCAATAGCAATCAGTAAAGGCAGATAGATTGATAGGAAAAGACTTAGCTGGAGATTACGACGAGCAGTCATTTTTCGCACGACAGCTTGGGGTTTCGCGCTGTAGTCAGAGTGGAATAACGATATATATTTGGCAGCTAGGCCTCATAGCTGTACTGACAGAGCGTCAGAGTAGAATCTGCGAGGCCAAATTTGTTACCCTATTAGCGTCAAAACTGTTAATTTGTCTCCAATTATCAGCTTCCTCATAAGCACCCTGATATGGAGAAAAAACTTTTGTTTGTGTAACGATTTATGAAATACACCGCCGTTTATGTAGGGACATACTACAACAGTGGTTTAACACAGAGGCATACAACACCTGTGTCACCAAATGGATCATGTCAGAGTTTGATTAGCTCGATGACCTTCAAAAGCTATTACTGAATAAAGGAAGCTAAGATTTTGAAAGGCAGTTGCAATATTTATCGTTTGAAAATCCACTCCATACCCACATGAATATAAATGCCAAAGATTGCACCCAGACTCTGTCCTTCTGCATCCCTTCGTTACAAACGAGGCGGATAGTGATAAAAGCAAGCTTCTCCACTTTTTTGTCATCTATAGCAATCGAATTTTTAGGCAGAACTCCCCCCTCAGTTAAAACCGTTTCGTAAGGTCCATTCTTATTGATATAATTCTAGTTAATGTAGCAGTGAATTCTATTGGTGATTTTAACCAACTTTTCACATCGGCTAACAAGATAATACACTCGCGAAATCTCGCATGAAATCCTAAATGATTCTGTCCAATTCTAAATACTAACCATCCCAGTTTCAGAGCAGTATAGTGACTTCACTACTCTTTTAATGATCTGTGACACTACGTATTCCGCTCAGACAATTTTAGCTAATCAGCCGATGTCAGTTTTAATTTTTACAAAATGAAAACCATTCATACCGGTTAACTCTAAATGTCTGCTTCGAAGTCAGCATAATGGATGTACTGGTACCGCTGGAGATCATAGGGTATGTACTTCGGGTGTTTTAATTTCACTGATGTATATAAGCTTCAGATTCCCCCAAAGCGATTATATTCCGACATCGTTTGGAAGAAGCCTACGAAAGCACTCAATAAAATACTACAGATATCGTGACTTATCGTCATTAATTGCCATAACGTCCCTTCTCAATAGAATTGAAGAGTTGAGAAATATAGGCCTTAGAAACAAAGAAATGCAGGCCATTCATGCACCGCATAACTCAGGAGAGATAACCAAACTTTTCAAAAGTAGGTTGGCGAACTCCATAACACCCTATCCGAAAATAATATACTTAGACGGCATTGCTTACGAAAATAATGAGGCGATATGTGAACTGTTTAGCAAGCACTTCGCCAGATTATACACCTTAGAGAACGATGAGGTCGTGGATTTCCCACGTAAAACAGACGAATGTTTAAGTGACATAATTTTCACCACACATGAGATAGATAAAGCTGTCGCAAATCTCAAGCTTAGTAACACTACTGGTCCAGACGGTATATGTTCCGTTCTGCTGAAAAAGGTGGTAATGACATGAATTTACTCTTACTCAAGTTATACTCAATTTCATTAGGCGATGGGACATACCCTAACTGCTGGAAGAAGTCTTATATTGTACCTATCCATGAATACGGGCCTGTAGCTGATATCAACAACTACCGCCCCATCAACATCACGTCTGTAGTTTCACGTGTAATGGAAAAGATAGTTAAGACTCAAATCATTCAGTACTTGCTGTCAAATGACCTACTATCCCCATCCCAATACGGTTTCTTAAGTAGAAGGTCGTGCATTACTTGCCACTTAGATTATTTTGACTACATTACACAAAGCATTGATAATGGGCGTTCGGTAACAACATTGTTTCTTGACGTTAGCAAGGCCTTCGATAAAGTTCCACATATCAGACTCCTAACAAAACTCCAATCCTACGGAATAACCGGAAATCTTCACAAATGGATAAGTTCTTTTCTCACAGAAAGAGAGCAATTAGTCAAAATCAACCACCAGTTGTCTTCCTCAAAGCCGATAACCAGTGGTGTAATACAAGGTAGTGTTCTTGGCCCTATTCTATTCCTCTTATTTATAAGTGACATAGTCTCTGTGATCAAGTATGGCAAGCCATACCTTTCTGCAGATGATCTCAAGATAGTATATGATTATGGGTACGGTGATATGAGCGTCGAAAGCAAGATCCAACAAGACTTAAACGATCTAGGCGATTGGAGCGAAAAGTGGGAACTGACTTTCAACCCAGACAAGTGCGGTATAACCCACCTTGGACGCTGGAAACCGAGAATGTGCCTATATATGTACGGTAAGCTCCTTTAAAGACTGAACACAGTCATAGATCTCGGGACAACATACTCAGATTTATCCTTTTCCGATCATGCAAATAAGGTTGTATCTGACTGTAAACGACTTACTGGCTTTGTACTGCGTAACTTCTACACCCAAGAAGCAAGATTAGCTATATATAGGACATGTATCCGTCCCAAACTTGAATATTGTGCTCTCCTATTTAGTAACCTCAGGTCTGTAGACAGAAAAAAAATCGAAAGTGTCCAGAGATTCCTCACGAAACGCATAATAGGGTTCGACCAACAAGTGGAATATGTTGACAGGTGTGTACGTCTGAAATTAGAGCCTCTGTGGTTAAGGAGAGTGAAGTGCAACTTATTTCTACTCTTCAAAGTCATTAGGAAACTTTGCTACAGTAACTAAAGTAACCCTGGAAATAATTATAATAGCATCCACACCTTTTAACATTTTACATATGTATATACTCATATAATAGAACTTAATAATGATGCATGTTCAATTCTTGAAATTAGATTGTTATTAAAGTACATAAAATGATTAAAATATTTATGCAGCAAATGTTCTCTTGCTTTACCAAGCTTGTTTCCCTAATAACACTCAATTATTGAGCATAATGTATTCTTTGATAATACGAATTATAACATTGATTATACTCTTATCATTTACAGTTCGATTTGCTTTACCGCTCCCTGTAAGACTAACTACCCTTCTTCAGTATACACACACTGCAGTATTGTTAACCAAATGCTAAAATTTTGTTGGTTCAGTGTTAATATCTTTTTATAATATGTGTAGACAGGTTACTTTGCAATGTCAAATGTTTACTATATATAAGACTGTCATGATAATTTAGTTCACTAAGTCCTGTCAACCGACCTTACCTCCAGTGCATACTACCTACATTGAACCCTAACTATAGTGTTCTGCTGAATCTCGCTCCACTACTCACAAAACCTATTCTTTTTACTCTTTAAGGTTTTGACTTCTTTTAAAGTAATCTGTTCATTAGGACGCATGCACACATATATAGTATGTTCATAAAGGTGTACGTGGAGACTCACTGGAAGCACTCATTAAGAAAGCTAGGGAGATGGAATACGAGGTAGGAACATGTTTGGTACTAAGCAGTATATTTGCTGTAGCCATAATAATCATAGTCTCAGAGTCTAACATAAAAAAGGAGGGAGGGTGGTGCTAGCTGATCAGTAGATATGGTGCTGGTCACTAAGGTGAATCGCCTAATTCTACAGGAACAGCAATATGCAATTTGAAGGCTCGAGATATTTCTGATTTTTATGAGGGCTTAGATATTTATCTTGAAAAAGATAATGATGAACGCCTAGACAGATCATGCTT